TTATTTATGAGCAACTTCTAAGTGTTTTAATTATTTAAGTATCTTTAATAATCATAATAATTTACTCTGCTCCACCCCTTGAAGAAAAAAATACAATTTAAATATCTCTAAAAATTTCCAATATTGTTGGCAAAATACCTTTATTATATTTTATTATGCATAATTCATCAATAAACTTGTATTGTTAATTACTCACTCACAATCAGCAATAATCTCCTTTTTAAGTTACCTAGAAATTACTAAAAAAAAAATTGAATTTAACGAGAAATTATTATTATTATTATTATTTATTGACATATGAGACGTCGCCACGATGGAATTACTCAGTGCGACGCGTCCCATTTGCAACATAAATTAATTATTTCAAAAAAATTTGAAGTGTAAAAAATCAAACTATTATTTGTATTAAATTTTACAAAATACAAATTTACAATTTTAAATTTAAAGTTTACTATTGTAATATGACATTTTTGAATCTGAAAATATAATAAATGGCGTTTCTGTAAAGTTACTTGCAACTCGAAGGAGCTCAAGTCAACTTTGCGTCAGTTGACGTCAAATGGCAACATCATTTGACGTCGGGTGGAGTCTGCATTGTCAGAGATAAAACCCTAAAACAACGCTTGAGCTTGGCGAACGATTGTCGAGCAAATTTCCTCGCAAACAAGAGTCTCGGCGTCGCCGTGCAAAATTCCCTTCAACTCTCAAATGGCTTGATCTCGAGAGCTCAAGTACTCGAGGGAACGTTAAGTTTGCATTACCTGTTTTAAACTAAGCCGACCAAAGTTTTGCACACACACACGCGCGTATCCAGAATTTGCAACTCCAATAAAGCAGCTGCTCCCATCGCGATTAGGCTTCGAGCAGCCAATACAGGGCCAATCTGAAAGATCAAAGGGTGAATTCCGCTTAAATGTACATAATACGGGCCCCTCGTGCATATTCAAGCGTTCCTTATTAAAAAGCGGAATTTTTCGTTGCTTGAAATACATTTTGAAAATTTATATTTCGGTAAAAAGCCCGCATTTGGGGAATTTTCACACACGGATAACGTTTTCCTTTATTTGATCTAAATCCCATTGTGTGTCTCCGAGTCATTTTTCAAGCGGCACAAATGGCGTCGTCTCACTGTCGACCCTGCCAGAGAAAAGAAAAGGCAGCAGGGTTTCCTGCTCGTAAATAACCGGCGCTGTTTCGTTGAGCGAGAGCGTCTCGTCTGAATTTTTAATTTGCCAGACTAATGAGGTAAAGTCGTGTTTGCGCTCGCGCAACCATCCCGCGCTCACTCTCGACTCCGCGATTTCACAAAAGACATATTAAGCAATAGAGTCTAGTTGACTGATGACTTATGAACTGGTTTGCTCGTAAATTTTTTAGAGTAAAAAAGGTCCATAATTTGATATTGAAAAATAATGCAACGGTTTTTAAAAATGCAATTAACAAAGGTGCGTTTTTCAGCAAAGAAATCCAAAGTTTGCACTGCAAATCATATTAGTTAAAATATTAATTTATTTTAATAAATTCTTCATTTTAATATAAAATGAATTATTTTTTTGAAATTTAAAAAAATTCAACGTCATCTGTTGTTAGTATATTAATGAATAAAAATTGATGAAGAATAGAGAAGAAAAACTAATCCCAATCTTTTATCACTTTTGAGAGGAATAACATTTTTGTCTTAGTTAATTATTTTTGTTTAAGTTTTAAAAATGGTTGTGTTTTGACCGGCCGGGCTGTTCCTTTTCAGCTACATAGCGTTGGTAAAGTAATAATCTGCCAAGTCATCTCTTTTCTCTCCCACCGAGAAGTTTCTTATATAATTAAAAGACCAAGAAAAGCTTTTAAGGGTGACACCGGAGACTCCTGACCTTTTCAAACTCGGGAACAAAATGCGTCTCCTCTGAAATTAAACGATATGATTCATTTTCTCTTGCAACCCGTGACCCCAAAAGGGTCCTTTGGACCAAAAGTTAGCACGAAGCGAAGTCTCAGGCGAAGCAATTTCAAGTCAGCACAGTTTATACAAATAATTTCGCACAATCAGAGCAGAGAGCTTGGCCGGTCAGCGGGAAAGTTCGCCGCAAATGAGCAAAGGGTCCGAGGGCGTTAAATTCGGTCCAGCAATTTTCGTTCTAATTGGGCTGGGCAGCAGCTGCGAGTCTCGCCTGATATGCGAGAGGCTGTCCTCGGAGGGCAACAAACTCCGGCGATTGGATTGCGGCAGTGACGTTTAATAAATCAGATTCAAGTATGGAAAAGTTGGTGCTGCTGGCGGAGGCCGATAAAACCTGCGAGCGGCACATAAAATTTGTTTGACTTGCGAGTGGTTCTAAACGTAGTTTCCACTATGTACGTGTGAACGATCGCTTTTGAGTGTGAAAAAATATGCCTCTGGCCAAGTTTTTGCCCTGGAGCAGAAAAAAGGGGTAGTTTGAGACCGGAATGTTTTATTATTTGAAGAAAAAATGTGCAAGTTTCAAAATTAAAAAAGACATGATAAGATGAAAAGACTGCTGGGTTGGCAAGTGGACTTATTATTTTTTCTTTTGCAGATAATGTTATTTTATACAATTACATAATTAATATAAGCTGAGCTTTGGTAAAATTAGGAAGAATTTTATGGGCAAATAATGTGGTTTTTTTCATAAGAAATAAGGGAAAGAGATGAATTTTAGATGAAAAAGGCTAAATCAAATAAATATGTTATAACTTACAAAATAATGTGGTCATTTTTCAATTCAATTAAATAGAGTCGCCGTTTTTGTCCCTAAATTTTTTCCCCTAAAACCAAATTCTTCATTTCCCCTAAAATCAAAAGCCCTAAAAGCATTTTCCCTAAACTTTTTTCTTGCATTTCCCCTAAATAGCAATGTTCCTAAAATTATTTTCCCTAAATTGGAAATATATCTTTTACCTGAATCCGAAAAAACGGAGCAAAAAATAATGTAGTCTTCCTTCGAACACCGCCGAGAAAGGTATGCTTAAAACACAAGTTTCAATATTCTGACAAAAATATTTAAAAAATTAATTCAATTTGTTAAAAAAAATTTGGAATTAATCGTCAAATTTTATTTAAAAATGTAATTTTTATAAATTTCAAAATATATGCTCTAGTTTCTTTTATTTTGTTGTCAAGTCTTATTGTTAGTCCAAATCCTGAGTACACTACCTGGATCTTTTCCCATGTTGCTAAAATAGCCTTTTTCCGTTTTTACTTGCTGAATTTGCAAACTTCTTGAAAGTCAGCCAGACAATAATGACAATGCCATTGAGCATTTGTACAGATTTTTTTCCTTCAGTTTTATAAGAGTTAGTGAGCCCCAAACTTTGTAATTTTTTTAGTATGGACTTTGTAACTTCATGTAAGTTTTGAATTGTGTTTTTAATTTCAATATTATACAATATATTATCTGTAAATGAGCTGGCAAACAAAACTTTTTTCATTTGTAAACACAGCCCTGAATCCAGGGCCTTCTCTTATGGTTTAGGGGAAATGGAGTTTGGGGGAAATACAGTAAAAATCCATTAGGGTAAATAAATTTAGGGACAAAAGGGGGCTCCCTTTAAATAATATATTATGTAATTTTATGAAAAATTTTATATGAAAATGGTTGGTAAAAGGGAAATGTTGTTTAAGTATAAATAAGTTGTTTTGTTATTTAATGAAAAACATAAATTTTTTAACTTTGAAAGGTCTTATCTCCTATTTTCCCATAGCTTACAAAGTTATACTTCCACTTTTTGACTTCATGAAAGATTAATTATTTACATTTTTTGTAATGATATCTTCCATCTTTTAAACGGTTTATAGTTGATAATTTTGTAAAATCAAAATATAAATCATTATTCAGTATAATTTATTAATGATTTATTATTTTATTGCTTACCACATGTACTATGAGTTTTTGAAATAAGTTTCAAACTAATCACTTACATCCTATAAATAAGTTGCAAAGTTTACAGAGTCGTCGTGTCCACCAAAGTTGCAGCCAGATTTATGGTGCCCCGGCCTTTTGGCAAAACGCAACACTGATGCAAGGGCGACGGGCGCTATTTACATTAGAATAATAATTCAAGGGTCTCCTCCGCTTTGGCCGGCCGTAAATAAATTTGCGCTATCGCACCCTCGAGGGATCTCCTCGTCCTCTCTCTCTCTCTCTTCCTCCGTTACCCTGCTTTGCGTCCGAACCGGCTCAACACGTGTACCCAGATTCGATCATGCAAATGCTAAATCGACCCTAAATCATGGTGCCGCTGCGAACGTCTCTCGTTTGGTCTTTTGCATCAGCGGCCTGTCGCCGAGAAATATTATTTCGCGTTTCTTTTCCTGCTCACCGGGTGCGATTCTTCTGACACGCGGATGAATCACACCTGCTTGATCGCATTATTTGCGCAGCGAAAGAGGGAAAGATTGCAAAAGAAGGAAACTAACTTTTCCCATTTTGACTTGGACAGTTTTTCTTGCGCTTTTTTTTACTTGAGATATTTGTTAGACCTTTTACATCATTTAAAGAATTTCAGATCAAAAGTAATTAAGAAATTTTTTCGTAAATATTTATACCAAGGAAACCAGAGCGTAGAGAATTAATTTTGATGACCAACGTATATTTTTGTATTAGTGATGTAAATTTATTAATATTTTAATATTTAATTAAAAAAAAAATTATTTTTATAGCTATCTTAATACTTAGAAATAGTTCATATTACAAAAGTAACTAAATTACATTTTAATAATACAAAAAAAATTTATATTTAAAATAACATTAATTTCTGATGATATTTTGAGTATTAAAAAACGTTAAAAACTTTATAAATATTCATTTATGTTTTTTATGGCATTACAATAATTTATAAAATCTAAAAGGGTGCTTCATTCCAGACCTTTTTATCGAGCAATAAATAACCGATCGGTTCCGCCCAAAATCCGCCGCAGCCAACTTTGCCTTTTCGCAGCTCTTTTATTTCTTTGCTGATTCTCGGCGGCCTCTTTGTCATGACAGGTTCCTGAGCGTGAAGAAGTGGCTGCTGCGCAAAAAGCACCAGATCGAGCTGGCCAGGAAGCGCGGCTGGAAGGGTTACTGGGTGTGCCTCAAGGGCACCACGCTGCTCTTCTACCCGTGTGACTCGCGCGAGGGCCGCTCCGTCGAGGCGGCGCCCAAGCACCTCATCATCGTCGACGGCGCCATCATGCAGCCCATCCCAGAGCACCCCAAAAGAGATCACATCTTCTGCCTCTCGACCGCCTTCGGGGACGCCTACCTTTTCCAGGTAAGACACAACCTGATTTTTTCAAGCCACTGAACTTTTGTTGAAATTGTGACCTTTTGCCATAGAGAATTGTATTTTATGCAATTTTAAAGATCCTCTCCGGTCAAGTTTATTGCTCTCGATTCTGAAAGATTGCTAAATTTCAAGCATATATCTTGTGAAAACACTATTTTTTGACAATTCCAAACCATTGCTTCTCAATCAAAAGAAAACCTAAATACGAGTGATTCGCGCGAAAAACGTGTGAGAATTGAGTAGCCAATCAGATCCATCAGTTTGTTCCAAAAATTGCAGGATTTGGTCACATTGGCGCTGCGATCGCTGATTTTGCCACAAATGCCCCACGGCGCTGCAGAAAACTTGGCAAAATCAGCGATCGCAGCGCCAATGTGACCAAATTCTGTAGTTTTTGGAACAAACTGATGGATCTGATTGGCTACTCAATTCTCACACGTTTTTCGCGCGAATCACTCATATTTATGTTTTCTTTCGATTGAGACGCATCGGTTTGGAATTTTCAAATAGTGTTTTCACAAGATATACTCAAAATTCAGCAATCTTTCAGAATAGAGAGCAAAACAAATGACCGGAGAGGATCTTTAAATTTCGTCTGCATGTGAAATTTTATTCCCTGTAATTTTTAGCAACCCTCTCTTGTGTTGGTTTAAATTTCAACTTTTTCATTGGTTTATTTTTGCTGAATTTCAGCTTTATCCGCAAATAATCTCATTCTAAAAGGTCTCCAATGCATAAATAATTTTATCTCTGATGGCGTCATTATTAAACTACGTACCCGTTCATGTGTGCCCGAGAGATTTTCCCATTTTTTTTTGCTGCTCGCTTTTACGAGCTTGTTTCAAGCCATCGCAAATATGGTGTTGCTGCGTCATTTCCAAGCGGATGCAGACCTCGTAAAATGGCTGTTGGGATGATCACGCATATGAACCTTTTTATTATTATGGAAAAATGATTCTCTCTCTGGCGTCGATGGACCGTAAATAATATCCAAGAGAATTTTCCCATGCAAAATCTCTTAATACCTTCACAGAGGCACTTTGTGAAAAATTTAGAGTTTGTAAACATCTCAAATACCTCTCATTTTACTATTATAATTATTTTTTGCAGTAAAAACGAGATATTTTAAATTAATATTAATATAATGTAAGCTCAAGTTTTATAAAAGAAAAGAAAACTTCTTTTTCTTTGTGTGTCAAGTTTGAAAATCTCAAGGGAAGTTTTAAGTCGGATATCTTAATCCTCTCAGCGTTGATGGATGATTTTCGAGCACACCATAATTTTTTGCCCCGCCGTGCATTGGTGGGCGAACACAAATTGGATAAAAAGTGGTGGAGACGCCACTGCCGGGGGCAAAGTAATCTCTGCCCGACTTAATTGGTACACGACGCTGACAGAGTTATTTTTTTTCGCAGGCGCCCTGCCAGGTGGAACTTGAGAACTGGGTGAACAGCATCCACTCGGCGTGCGCGGCCGCCTTTGCCAGGCACCGCGGAAAAACGGGTACTCTGCACCTGCTGCAGGAGGAGATCTTCCGGCTGGATAAGGCCATCGAGTCGGTGAGTAAAACTAAAAAATACACTTTGTGATGATTCCGTGCGAAGCGCACCTGCCGTATCGTGGGAAATTTCCATAAGGTTTATCAGTAAAGTTAAAACTCTCGCAATCAAGGGATTAAAAGTTTATTTTTGTAGAAATTTAAGGAAAATATAATACGGTTTAGTTATAATTTTGATTTTGTTAATACACACTTTTTATGCACTGTTTTTTAGACTTTTTTTAAAAATCAACATTTTCCCAAGTTTCAAAACTAAATTTGATAAGAATTTTGCCAAATCCAGTTCATATAACCTGGCTAAATAAAAGCAACTTTTGTTAATGGGAAACTTGCCAGTAAATTTATTTATTTTATTGAAGTTGAAATAATTTATTTAACTAATTAATTTAATTTTAAGATTCTCTTTAAAATTGTCAAAAATATATGAGACAAGTAGATGGAAATCTATAAAATCAGCAATCCATTTCAGACCATTCGAAGTGACATGTTCGGTTCGACCGTGCAAATTGCGCAACCTTAATAACGCCCAGAGGCACTCGTTCGCTCCTAATGCCCAACAACACAAACGCAAATCCCTGTTTGCTTCGACCGCCACTACATAAATCTTGGCGTTGAAAAGGAATACTGTGTTTGTATCAAATTATGGCCGCTACAGCTTTGTCCCTGCCTGGCTACGCTTCTGCAATTGCGGCAGAGTGTGTAGGCAACCTGCGCTACGCATGTGCTCAGCAGAGTGCCTAGAGTTGGCCACGATTCACGCTTGTGTAAATACGGCAGCCGGCGGGTCGGTTGATTTGCCGAAAGTTTTGCCCTGTTTCGCTCGTTTGCTCCCTCGAGCCTTCAAATCGCGAGTGTGCAACTTTTTGTGCCCCGACTTCGACGTGCGGAAATAAAAAAAATTTGCCTTTGCCAAGCACCACAGGCAGCTAGCCGAGGTTAGATTGTCTGCGAAAAGTGATCGTCCAAGCTGAAAGGATGAGTTTTTTTTAAATGTAATTTAAAAATTAAACTAAAGCTGGTTGTTGACATTTTTCATAGCCTAATAATTTTTTACTTAATTCAAACTATTTACCCTTTTATTAATCGGTATTAATTAAAAAATTAAAACGATTACTAATTAATTTATATTTTAAAATATTAGAACGCGATTTTATTAAAATATCACGACGAAAACCTTTCATAAAGCAATCAAAAATATTAATAATTGATAATTTGGTATCAATAAATGCATAAAATATTAAATTTAAATTTTAAAGACCTTTTAATGCTTTTTATATCAGGATCCTAAATGTTTAAGTTGAACAATGCAAGCTCTTTTAGTATCAAGTTAATGTTTGGTGCAGCAGCAACCTAATTTAATCTTTTAATTCATGTTCATGCCGTTGTTGACGCTGCGGAAACTAACACGCCTATACATGAAATATGATGATTCATGTCATTTCGCATTACAGGCTGTGCTTGTTTATCGACCTATAACGCTTTCAGTTTCCAATGATGGCACAACATCACTCGTCAGATTAGATTAATCTTTCTTTTTTTTCTAATATCCGCAATGCAGAAAATCCGTCCGTGAGGGAAAATTTACTCGCTCATCCTTCTCGACCTACACGTGCGCTTTTCCAAAAGAGACTTTTGACTTGTTGTTTACAAACTCGGCGTGCGTTTTAAGAACCCAAACTCGGGCCGATCGATCGCTAATTATAATTTCCAAGAGCTTCACGCTTTCCCGGGGTCGGTGAAATTCAAGTTCTGAAAATAAGTATTATACGGGGAGGGAAACACGAGAAGCCCTTGGTGGTGAACTTTGTGCGAATTCACTCTGCTTTAGCTCCATTGTTGGCATCGCCTGAGATTGAGTTTTCTGTTGGCTGTTTTTCTGGGGAATTTCATTTGGCCCAGGCTGAGAGCAGCGACCGACTTGGTGACATTTTCCCACGGAATAAAATCGGAGCAGCCTTCTTTTCTCCGTTCTGATTAAAAGTGGGTTTCGTTTGTTGCGCATCATCTCTCCCCTGCTTTTAGAAGAAAAATATAAAAGGATCTCAGCTGCACGCAGCATCCGATATTTGCGACATTCATCTTACTTGGAAACTTTTCCCGATAATTCGAAGTCGCTCGGAAAGATTGATATGGGAATAAATATTTTCAATACGACATTGCGACACAAGAACACGAGACAACGGCAATTTCTTTTCTCAGCCGATTGCTTTTCCAAGTTAGATTGGGATTAGAATAAAAGTTGTTTGTATTCTGTAAGGAGGTCGGCAAAAAAGGAGAAGCAAATTTGTTCAATCTTGATTTAAGTTTTATAATTACAAAAAATAAATTTAAAAGTTCCAGGAAAATCATAATTATGGAACTGTTTATTCATAAGCCAGGTTTTTTTATTTTTGAAGTTTTAGTGAATATGATGTTTAAAAACAAAATAAATTTCAAAATTAATTTAATTAATTTAATTATTATCAAAAAAATAATAAATAAAAGTATCGTAGAATGTTATTTATTATTTATTTTTATTTTATTTTATTTATTTAAAAAAATTATGGTAATATTTTATTTATTAGGGATTCTAATAATTTTATTTTCCATATCTTATTCAGGGCCGATATTTTCACCAAAAATCGTCTGGTCTGGTGCGTTGAGGGCTGTCAAAACAGCAGCAGAGAGCTTCGTGAAATCAATTTCGCCAACAAGCCGCAATAAGAGACCAATTTTTTCTTTCCAAAGCACACACACACGTCCGACACGATGTTTCTGTCGCAGTGTGTGTTTTTGTCCGGCTGTAATTGGCCCGATTCAATTACGTCTCACATTCGAAGACTCTCTCGGACGATTTTTCTCGTTTCTTTCTTATTTCGTGGCCCCGCCCTGGGCATTATCTGCGCGCCCAAATCTGTTCCTGACCATTAGAAAAATAAGCAGCCGTCCGGGCATTTCTCCAAAAGCAGAGCGAAAATAACTTTTTATCGCCACACACTCACAGGCCTGAATAATGCACCATAATCATTTCTCCATCGATCCCCGGGGGCTTGCGGCTCTTGCTGATCTCCGGCCGCGATTCCGATTGTCCAGCACAGCGATAATCTGCTCGTAAACCGTCCCACTGGACTGACAAGCCATGGCGGAAATTTGCTGATAACAGACCTGCGAGGCTATTGAATCAATCGACCTGGAATAAAAGCTTTTAGCCGCTCAGTTAATTTTTAGATAAATTTCTACGTTGCAACGTGAAATTTATGAGGTGTTAAAATTGAAAAGAAACTCAACAGACTGGAAAATGGTGCATCTCTTGCTTGCAAATTATGCAGCTCACACCCTTCTCTCTGTGCTCAATAATTCGAGCTGCTTCATTAGCAGCAAATACTGCAGTTTCCAAAGACCGTGGGTTGGTAAAATGTGGCGCTTTATACATGAAACGAACATTCATTCTGTATGTATGGACGCTATTCCGAGCGTGTTTGCGATTCTGCAGCAGGGAAATGCATGATTATGATTACTGCAGATATTTCTACCGCATTCATATATAGTAAAGAAATTCTCATTAGCGTGTGCTCAATTTAAAAAAATGCATTTTTCATCGTTTAACATTGAATTTGTTTGGATAGCATGTAATTGAATAATTTTAATTATATATCATAATTATTCATTCTCAGAAAAATGTATCTTTATTTTTATAAAATTAGCTCCTTAGACCTGCTGTTTTAAAAATTAACTTGATCAACATTACAAATCTAATTCTCTTTTGCTGCATTAATAAATAATGATTCTTTTCAAAATGGATTGGTTTAAAGGACAGGATGAAATTTCACATTTGAAAGTGACAAACAATAATAAGAGATCTCACTCGGTCAGGATCATTCTTTTTGAACAGTTTAGGATAAATCTAATATTATCCCAATATTATTGGACGACGAAAGTTATACAATCCTTCTATAAACGTAAAAATCATTTAAAATTTTAAAGTAGCGAAAATTTAACCCTATAAAAATTAATTAAAGGATAGTAATATTATTATTAAATCAATAATAAATAATTTAATTTAATTGTTATATAAAAAAGTAAACATTCTTGTAAAAAATTTAATGAAAAAGAAATTAAAACATGTTAAAATTTTAAATAAAAGTAAAACATTAAAATTTGGCAAATGCAGCAGGCGATATTTATTTGCTTCTCTGAGGTTTCTGGAAAATAAAATTTACCTCATTTCCGAACAGCATTTTATTGTAATTCAAATGCAGCGCCCGCTTTTTAATCAAAAGCACATTAACCGTGCAAACTTCCGCGCGCATCCCGGAACACATAAACAAGCCACCGCAAGTTGTATGGAAAACGATATTATGAATTTCACTGTGCGCTTTTCCGCTTTTCATGGCACTCGAGCGAGAAAGAGCGCGGTTTTGTGCTCTAATTCTGGAGTTTCGCAAGAATTTTGAGCTCGTCGTCGGCGCCGTCGACAACTAACTGCGGCTCGCATTTGCGTGGAACCGCGATTCTCTCTCGCGCGAGCCGATCCCTCTTTGTGCTTTGCGTAATTATCATACCGCACCTGCTCCGGAAAGTGGGCCGCCCTTTTTCCACCGCCAGCCGACGAGCTTTTGTTACGCCGCAATTTATTTCTGACATCAAAGGTGCGCTTCTTCGAAGCGGAAACCCGATGCGTCTAATCAAGCATTTTTGTTCTCTTCGCAGGCGCCAAGCGAACCGCGCTTGCAAATTTCTTGTTTCCGACAACCCAAAAGCTGCTCGGCCGTAACGGCGCGAGCTTCTCCATTTTCCTGCCGTGCATAATTAGCACAATCTTTGACCTACTTTAACATGACCTAGATATGAAATGAACGCAACCGTCATTTAATTTGCAAAATAAAAAATGGATCTTGGTTTACTTTAAAAATTACTAAAATATTTAATTGAAAACTCATCGTAATCCATCAAAGTTGGATTAGCCAATTATGAGAAAATTTATTAGATGAATATTTTGTATTATACGTCATATTATTAAGAAACCTATTCTGCATGTGAATTCATTTTAAAATACTTTCAGTTAAATTTGAATGTTGGGTTTTAAATTTATAAATAAATTTAAATAAATGATAAAAACATTTTTATTAATTTTATTACTCAAATTTGAAAAGCAGGTAAAGAATTTACTTTAATCACTTAAAAATATATAAAATATTTTATTTTATTAATATACCCTTAAATGTATTATTAATTATTTTATGTTATTATTTACTTAATTTAAATAATTAGTACTAGTTGAGACTAATCGCCTTGACGTGAACTTATGTTCTGAGACAACGAGATATTTTGAGACAAAGCCGGTGTAAAAAATTTAGAAAATTCCTGTTGTGATAATAAACAATTTTAATTGAGGGCGAAAATTTCCCAAAATTAAAATTCTTTAAAACCACCCCAATCTGTCCGTATTGTTTTGTGCTGGACAGCAGCTCGCTGCGGGTGGAATTTGATTTGCTAGGCAAAGTGCTACTGATGAGGCTTCAATAGCCGAAACAGCTGTCCAGCACAAAACAATACGGACAGATTGGGGTGGTTTTTAAGAATTTTAATTTTGGGAAATTTTCGCCCGCAATTACAATTGTATATTATCACAACAGGAATTTTCTAACTTTTTTACACCGGCTTTTTCTCAAAATATCTCGTTGTCTCGGAACGTAATTCCATGTCAAGGCGATTAGTCTCAGTACTAATTAATTATTTCCCGTTTTGAGTGGTTTATTTGGGTTTTAAATTCTCAAAAAATTAATTTAAATAAATTTAATTAAAATTTATATATAAAAATCTGTTATATTAACAACAATATAATTATTATGTATCCAATTTTTACATCAATTTAACCGAATTTAACAAATTGGTTTTATATTATTTAAGCTCACGTTTTTTATGCCTAACACTATTTTGGTGTTTACCTCACTTTTTCTAAATAAAACTGAATTAAATGCCGCCCCTGCCTTTTATACTCTTCCCCACGGACCCCAAAACCGGCAGCACTCAAACAAGTAGTGTTTCACGGTCGGGCGGCAACAAAACGTCGTCGTAAACTCTTCGAAAAGTGCCAAAGGGAAACGCCAAAACTGCCACTTCATTTTCGAGCTGGAAGTGCAGCGAAATTTGCCTCACTCGCACTTGTGCGCGCTTCTGAAGGGGTGCGAGGGGAGTTGCGTTTTATATTGACCGCGCGAATTTACGAGCGACGAAACGGTGCAGGTGAAACGTGACTGATGTTTGATATTTTGTGTTTGGCAGGACCACAAGCTGAAGCACATGGCCGACCTGCAGCAGAGTGTGGTGAGCGACGCGGAAACCAAGCGCCAGATCACCGGCCAAATAGTGCAGTGGGAGGAAAACCTGGAGCGGCTCCACTGCGAGCAATTTAGACTGCGATGTTACATGGCTTCCTTGCAAAACGGAGAACTTCCAAACCCCAAGGCAAGTACAAAAGTGTGTCTTTGGCGCCCTTCCGGTGCCCTCGGTGCAAAGTGCCTCTCTCAGGTGAAGACAAAAGAGAGGCACCCCTTGTGCATTTTCAGCGTCGTCGCTACCGAAATTGGCAGGAAGTGCCGGTCGCTTCCGAAACAAAAGTTTCACACGAGCGTAATCAGACGACTTGCACACAAAAACGCTGGCAAAACAAATTGTATTTTTATTATTGCTGTGGTTTATTCTCATCCATCCGTGTTATGTCAAATGAAAAATCACAAAAAGTTGGAATTCAATTTTTTTTGGGTAATTTTTTGATAAGAAAGAACAATTATTGCTCAGAATTTATTAATAATTGTAAGAATTTCCATTCACAGCTATTTATTTTTCTCCAAAGACAAACTGTTGGTTGTTGCAATAATTTATAATCGTGAAAGTTTTTAAAAGCTTAACTTTATGATTAATTATTTAAAATAAAATATATGTACTGAAATAATGAGAATTTATTGAATCAATTAGATTAAAATTGACGTATATATTTTGTTGCTTACTTTTTAAACATTTAATTAACTGATAAATTAGATTTTTAATGACGTTTCCTAAGAGTTACCTAATCAATAAGAAGAAAATTAATCCACAAAAATTATTTTATAACAGATAAATATAATATTTTTATATAAAATATATATTGATATAATTATAACATAGGCAATTTACACACATTATTCAATCAAGGGTTTTTATAAGTTGTTTTTATCAAATTTCCAAAAAAAAGTTCAAATAATTAGATAAATAAAATATTCAATATAAATATTTAAAATAAAATAAGTATCGTTTAATAATAATAACTAAATTTATCCAGAGTAACAAAAATAAATAAATAAAATATGTAAATATAAATTAGATAATAATCAATCAATCAACCATACCCACTTATGTGCTTTGACATACTTTTGTATTAAAATAACATTCTAAAAATAAAAATGCTCTTGACGTTTTGTTGTCTTGCGTAATGTGCAATAATACTAAATTGGCAACATTAACAAAATACGGTTGGGGTCGCGTTTTCTTGTGCTTCGAAATTTTCCCGCAATAATGATATGATGATGACCATTTACAAAGGCAAGAGTCTTGCGTAATTACACCTCGTCTCGCGAATTCCATCCCCGTGGGCCGTGAAGAGTTTATTTTCCTCGCCTTCAGCGAGAGCGAGCGGCGATATTGCTCCGCATGCTCAGCATCGCGCGCGTTCCTCCGCCCAGCAGCTCGCAGGATTTTGCTTCATTTCTTTTTTTTCGCTCATCCACCCTCATCTCCGAGAGGGAGAAAATAGACTTCTCAGGCAAAAACAATACACGCGCCAGGGACCGTCACGCCGAGATCAATAATAAAACGCTCGTCTGCGCGTGTGATGAGACAATTGATGTGCGAGTCAGTTTTCGCCAACGTTGGCGTGTTTTTGTGTTGATTCGCGTCTTTTTTTTCGTGCAACTTTATCAGGCGCGTCAGGAATGCAAATTTTCCTTCTTCTTCTCCGAAACTTCCCCGGGATGTACATCTTGGGCCGCGAAGAGGAAGTTGGGCGCAATCAAGCATGCACAAAGCACCCTAAAATAACTCGAGCTTATCCGGCCCTTTCCGACTTGCTCGGTCAAAGACGGGGATTATCCCTTCCCCCGACTTGATCCGATCAACGCGAATTTTCAATAACAATAAAAATAATATCTGTTCTGCTCTTCAATTTGCGAAACAGAGTTTGCTGACGCACGTGTCGCGGGCCACGAAGAACACGCTCAACCGGCTAGGGGTGTTCACGGTGTCGTCGTTCCACGCGTTCATCTGCGCCCGCAGCCCCTCGTTGCTGAACAACCTGCTGGCGGGTCGTGGGGCCACCAAGCGACGCGCCCCCATGCTTTCCAGGAGCAATAGCGGCTCCAGCAGGCGCTCGCTCCAGCTCGGCGGCTCCGGTTCCAGGGAGGAATCAAACAAGGCCGCCAAGGTTTTACTTCCAGAAGGACAGGTAAATAAATAATTTCATAGTTTGTAATTTTCCTTTAAAAAAATTGTCTTTTTTTTAAATAATGATTAATTATTAAGGAATTTCATTAATACAAGTTTAATTGAATTTGATGGTTTTATTTTTTTTCCACGATTTGATGTATTTTCCAGAGTGCCACAGTAATTTTAAGAGAAGCGATGTCTGTGGAGGAATTCTTAGTTAGCGCGTGTAGTCGAAAAAACTTGAACCCGATGGAGCACTTTCTGCGTGTGAAGAAGCGGAAGGAAATGGAGGATCACAACTATTTTGTACCGCATCGCACCGACCTGGTCGAGACCTACGTGAGTTTTCCAGCGAATTGCAATTCTCAACTCGCTTTTGAAACACAATTATTTTGTCTTAATAGTTGCACACCCACGAGGTGGTGGAGGTTTGCGCAAAGATCCTGTACCAAGTCGAGCTGCAGAGAGCGACTCTCGAGCAGATGTGGGGCTTTTCGGTCGAGGCCGAGTTAATTGAGAACTCGGAGCGGCAGGACGAACTCTGTTGCTATGTCAGCAGGGTCGAGGACAAGAGCGTCGCCATGCAGAACGGTAAGTCAATTTTTCAGCTATTTTCATAATATTTTTTTAATTTATAAAATAAAAAATTATATAATAATTTTATATTACATTTTTCTGACCAATATTTTGAATGAAATTTACCATTTGGCAGTTTTTTTATTATTTAAATTAATCGGATTGGCGTCAAGTTTTTTTGTCATTTATTCATGCAGTTTTCGTCTGCTTCACATTCAGTGGCAGTCAAAATTAATTTCCCTTTTGAGAGCAAGAAACTCATGGAAATTCCACAATCTGAAAAGCCGCAAATAGTACAAAAGGGCGCACAGTGGGTGGCAAAAGGAGGTTCAAACTTCCCCAGGAATAAAAAAAAAATTCAGGAATCTTCTCAATATGGGAATGCGATTCGCACTCTCCATTCTGGTGGTCCGTGTTGTTTTGCACTCTCATTTGATATGCCATTAACACGAGAGTGAAATAATACTTTGCAGCCAGAGGCTCTACTCTTTTTTTCCGCTTTCATTCACCGCGCTTTTTCTTGAAAAGGGTTGCTGGCCCGATTAAAATCTCACTTGGGCGCTTCTCAAAATCCTCGTCGTCTGCGTTGCGAAAACTGTGTGTACAGATCCAGTCGCAATCTGACGTTTTGTTGGCTGCTTCCTTTCATCCCGGGTGGTCATCAAAAATGACGACTCCATCAACGCTCCGAGACCTTTATTTTGATAAGACAAGATGCTCCCCTTTGCTTTTAGCCGTTCCAAAGAAGCCTGCGCGAGACGTTATATGTGTACCCAACAAAATGGATCTTTTTCCTCCTCTTCTTTTTACGCATCAATCTTTTGCCGAGCACAAGCTGCTGCCACATTATTTTGCCTTGGCCGCCGTCTGAGTCTTTCATAATTGCGCACAAGTTGCAAAATTCCAAAGTCGCTGCCGTCTTTCCACTTCTTTACTACACAAGTGGTGCTCATTCTCAGAATATCATCTTTTTTTTTCAAAAATAGGACAGACCCGGAGATATTAGCCGAAAAACTTTTATCCAGAATTTATGCCATTCGGGTATAAAGTTTGCATAAAAGCAAAAAACACAATGTGATGCTTTCTTTCTCCGGTTGAACTTTTCCGACTCGAGAGTGATAAATCACTCGCGGCAACGGAAAATAATCCGGCCTCGATTTTTTGGTTCGCAGGCATCATCAAAGGCGACGAGATAATGGTTATAAATGGTGCCATCGTGAGTGACTTGGACATGATGTACCTCGAGAGTGTCCTGCAAGAGGAGCTCTCGCTCTGCATGATGATGCGCTCGTCACGCACCGAGCCACCTGACATCGCCAACCTGATGCGTGGCACCACTGACGACATGATCGACAGCCTCGTGTGTCCGCCACCACCCTCGGACGGACTCATCAGCGAGGAAGTCATTTCAAACCTGATTGTCCCCGCACCAGGATGGGGTCAGTTTATAATAAATTTAATAAGATAATAAAGTATATTTTATATTCATTTATTTTAATTAATTTTAGTTTTTGTGTATATTTTAGAGTTAGAAAATTTATTTTAAAAATTTGGCTTTGTTTATTTTTCAAATATTTAGTTTTTTTTTTTAAATGAGTCCTTAATGATCAATTGATCTTATTACCAGTTCTTGCTTTAAATTATTGATATAAGCTTTGTGGAACATTTGCTTGGCTAACAATAAATGATGTCAAAAAGATTCTCACTTGGCTGGTACTGTAAAATTTTTGGATTATTATACATTAAATAATTAATAATATTGCTTGTTTGAAGAAGTTGACACTCGAGGAGATGATCATGGAAATGAAGAAATCGGGCTTTTCTTCGTTGCAAAAAATTGTTTTTATTCAAAAACAAACGGCTCTACCAGTTTCGGTCAAAAAATACAAAAAATCTCAGCAAATTGGTGTTTTTTCAATTTGCTGATTTTTTGTATTTTTTTCTTGCTCATGAAATAGGGTCGCAGACCGTGACCGAAACTGGTAGAGCCGTTTGTTTTTTAATAAAAACAATTTTTTGCAACGAGGAAAATCCCGATTTCTTCATTTCAATAATATTATAATGTTGTAAATTAGTATCATTTTCTTCATTTTTCACCTAAACTCATTAAAAATACGTCAAATATTACACATGAATCACAATTTCTATTTTATTTTTCCTAAAAAATTGTATTAATATTGTTTCAGCTAAGGAAATGTACTCGCCAGAAACAGAAAGTTCGCCAGTGCCCTCAAGCGAGGCGAGCAAAGCTTCGCGCGCCAACTCCTTTGAGATCGACAATCTGCTCAAAGTAAGGGACCGAAATTGATATCCGCGAGGAATAAGTACAGAGTTACTCTGCATGCAATTTGCCCCCTGTCCTCCAACTGTATCAAAAGGTTCATCACAACCTCCTCCTCCCAAATTCACTTTTTCTCTCTCTTTGTGTTCTGCCGTTATTTTTCAGTGCATAGCAAGTCAAAAGAAAAAAATTAGAATAATTGGTAGTTATCATCAGCAGATTAGTCCCCCGTTATCATTTAGTGTGTATTATTAGTTTTCACTCTTTGTTTGCATTTTGAAATCATATCCCTCAGCAAAACACAGACTTATATGTTTTTTTACACAAACTGCATTTTGAAATTTGAAGAGACGAAAAACACTTTTTGACTTGCAAATTTTTTCAAAACTCTCTGCGTGTGTCCTTTCGTCTTATTTCAAAATCCCTACCTTCTCACACAAAATAACCTCCACAATGAACCTTTTGCTGTACATATATCGAAATCAAGCCATCAGCATGTAGCTCATTGCATAACATATACAAAATCCACTGGATTGAATTGTAAATAAATATATATACAAAACCGCACAATCACACTCGACAAGAAATGGAAAATTCGCTCGAGCCGTTTTTTGTGCAAATTTCGCATGTCGTGTGAACGGTTTTTGCTCTCTTTCTATTTTATCATTAAATTTGTGAAACTGCTGAAATCACGAAGGACGAGAACTTGCTCGTCGTCGACACATATATTGGAGAATCCGGGTGGCAAACTCTAATTTCGCGCACTCAATTTGACATGCAGCCATGCTCTGCCTTGCAGACCGCTGAGCAGGTTACAGGATTCTGTCGATCGCCGGTGGAGACTCGCAAGTCGAGCCCCACCGGCAGCATCATCAGCAGCCAGTCGCAACAAGCGGTGCTCACCCCCAGCAGGCAACTCACCGACACCGAGAAGCTCAGGAAGGTCATCCTTGAGCTCATTGAAACAGAGAGGACTTACGTAAAAGTGAGCCAATTTTTTGCATTTAATTAAATTGTCTTAAATAGAATTAATTGTTATTTATTAATACTCTTTACATTGAAAAAATACCTGTTTTAAAAAAAAAATTGATAATTAAACTGGCAAAAAAATAATCAAAAATAATTTCAACTGTACAGTGTTTTGGCAGGGGTTTCTGGGCACCAAAATGACCCTCTTAATGTTCTATTTCGAATCATGTGCCACACGTGACGAAAAATCATGGGAAGGTCAAAGGCCACTGGAGTCAATGACCTTTTGTGACCTGACCACCACGTGTGATACATTATTAGATCGACCGTGTCAAGGCAATTACTTTTTGTCATTAGGTATTTGGGGCTATCTTGCCCAGAAAAAAAGTTATGGGGGTCCAAAACCCAGCAAAAATGCTCGGAAAACCACGTTTTTGGCTCATTTAATTAATTAATTTATTTTTTAACAAAAAACGCCATCTGGTTTATATTCTTATAATGCGTAAAATTTCACGTTCTACAAAATGGCTATCTCAGAATTGAAATAAAATTGGGGAATAACCTTCAATTGTGAGGTCAAAGGTCACGAGGTCACCAGAAGTACCTTGAACTTTGACATACGATTTTGCTTCCAACAGCAAAGTTGTAGAGGGCAATGAGACAAATTCAACCATACCCGGATTTTTGTTCTACGTCAACGGGAAGCCGAGATACAGCCTTTTCAAATTTTCCAAAATCCAAATTTGAACGTCCCGTAAAACCCATAAATTTTGAGTTAATGGGGTAAAACTATATATTTTTGAAAACCTCTTGACATGGTCTTTATGTGTCTCAAATATGGTCACGATTGTATGACCCCTGCCAAAACACTGTACAGTTGAAATATTTTCGCCGAATATGCTGAAACGTTCAAGCAGCATGTAATTTTAATAATTTTACTTAAATTAATCAAAAAATTATGCGTCTGTCTTGAGCAAAAGTTTAAACTTTTTTTTAGCAAGTTTCTTGAGTAATTCATATAAAAAAATCTTCATATCTGCAGCACTTGAACAGTCTGCTGGAGAACTACCTGGAGCCGTTGAAGAGAGAAACTTTCCTTTCAAACGCCGAGATCAACGCTCTCTTTGGCAACATCCAAGAAATTGTCGCTTTCCAGCGCCAATTCTTGCAGAACCTGGACGAAGCTCTTGAGATGGAGCCCGAGTTCCACAAACTGGAGCACCCTGGTCAATTTAAGGTTGCCTGTCTAAACTTTGTTCAATGTTATAATTTATTTAACTTGTTCGTTTTTTCCAGAATGTCCTTTTCTCCATTGGGAGTGCATTTTTGTACTACGTGAACCATTTCAAACTGTACAGCTCATTCTGCGCCAGTCATTCAAAGGCGCAAAAAGTACTTCATCCCAGTGAGTGCTTTTTCCCATTATCCAACCTGTTCAATTTTCACGGTTTTTTTTGTTTTTGCAGATGAGGGTAATCAGGCGCTGCAAGAGTTCCTGGCCGCGCGCAACCCCCGTCAGCAGCACAGCTCCACTCTCGAGTCGTACCTCATCAAACCCATCCAGCGCATTCTCAAATACCCGTTGCTGCTGCAGCAGCTCAGAAACCTCACCTCTCCGCAGTGTGACGAACACCAGCACCTAGTTGGTTAGTTTGCAAAAAATTTAAATAAATATTACTGTAAATTCAGTGTATGAATAATTTATCTTAATTTGAATGTGAAATTTATAATTTTTTAAGATTGAATGAAAATTATGTAAGTTTTTTTGAAGGAATTGACACTCGAGGAGATGATCATGGAAGTGAAGAACTCGGGTTTTTTCCTCGTTGAAAAGAATTGATTTTATTCAAAAACAAGTTTCAGTCACGGTCTGCAATCATATTTCATGAGCAAGAGAAATGAAATTAAAAAAAAAATAGAAAATTCCTAAAAACCACATTTGCCTTGCAGACTGTGACCGAACCTGGTAAAGCCGTTTTGTTTTTGAATAAAACAATTTTTACTACAAAGAAAAAGCCCTAGATCTTCACTTCCATGAAAAATATAATTTCATTTTTCATTTTTTCATTTAATTTTTTTCTTTGTTACAATTAATTTTTATAAATTAAATTTAAATCGAGTTTTGGTGAAAATTATAAAATAACTTTTTTGTTTTATTTTGTCCATGTAGAAGCGTTAAAAGGGATGGAGAAGGTGGCGGAGCACATCAACGAAATGCAGAGGATCCACGAAGAGTACGGCGCAATTTTCGACCACCTATTTCGGCAGCACCAGAAATCGTGTAAGCAGCCGATCGACCTCAGTCTCGGCGACCTCCTCTACTACGGCGGTGTGGAGTGGCTCAATATCTCAGACTTCCTTGGTAAAATTAAGAAAGGACTGGAGCTGCACGCCATGTGCTTTGTCTTCAAGTCCGCTGTTGTGTTCTTATGTAAGGAGAGACTTAGACAGAAGAAAAAACTTATGGTAGGTGGTTATTGTCCATGTTTTGCGAAACAACTTTTTCAATTGGATCACTCAGGGTGTGGCGAGCAAAGCCAACACCAGCGAAGTGGAGATCATCCGCTACCAGGTGCTCATTCCTGTGACAGAGGTGCAGGTGAGGGCCTCGTCGGCCAAAGACATGGACTCGCACTTCCTGTGGGAGCTCATCCACCTCAGGAGTCAGTTGCAGAGACGCTCGGAAAAGGTTTACGTGCTTTCCAACAGGTATAAATCATATTAGTATCAAAAGTAAATTCATCGCTGGGTACATAATTTGAGAAATAATAAAATTTTGAGGGACATACGAGATTAGATTAGAGAATATTTATTAGCTCATAAGTTTTCTTCATTAAATTTTTTGCATTTAAGTTCAACAAACGCTGCCTCTTCTCGCAGAACTCGGTACTTTTGAATTTCTTTAAAATATATTTCATATATTTCATTTGATCAATTCCCCTCTGGAGAAAAGTATGCAACCGTCTTTGCATTTAGAAATGGCTTGTTGCATAGCTTCCTTAATTGATTGAGAAATCTCATGATTAATTTTTATTTCCTCTAAAAAGTGTAAGAATATTCCAATTTCAAACTTGAATTTATTTTTAAGCACTGGTGAGTTCCGCAACGCCTTTCTGAAAACGATTCGCCAGATTATTAGAGAAAGTGTGCGAAACATGAGCATTCCTGCGACGAAACCACTCGGCAACGGCTGCAATGGCGGCGGCGGCAGCAGCAGTGGTGAGGGCGGCAGCGAAAAGGGCATGAAACCCACCCTGCTGCCCGCATCTGGACCTGGAGCGCACAACTCGCACACTCTCGGCAAACCAAAGAAACCACCAAAAGGCAAATTCTGCTCATTTTTAGAACAGATCGTTTGATTTTTAATTGAAAAAAAATAATAGGTTCTCAACGCCACTCTGCCGGAAATATCGACTACGACAATGTGGAGGTGAGCCGTGAGGAAGACGGCAAGGTTGTGGCTGTGGTGCACCCTGAGGGAAGCAAACCCTTCAGGGCGAGATCGAAGACAGTCAGCGATGGAGTTCGTGAGTATCATTTAAAAATTTATATTTTAAATTTTCTGCCTCTTCCATTTCATTATATATCATCTCCAAAGTTAGCGATGATTGGATTTTATATTTACTTTTTTTCCGAAAATTCACACAACAAAATCTTTCAGGCACTATTAAATTTTACCTTAAAATATAATTGTAATATTTTTATCATCTGTTTTAACGTTTTAATACTAATTTAGCATCTTTTTTGCTCATGATCTTTTTGATTCATAATTAGCTGTTTAGACATGAATGTGAGATTTTAATGATTTTTTATGTCTGAAGTTTTTATCACTCATCACATCACAATCACTAGCAATTTTGTATTCAATATAATATGTATATATTTGCCAATTAAAAGACTTAAAGAGTACCAACGAATTACATGGCATTATATTAAAATATATTCTATCCTTAGAAATGCAACTGCTTTATAACTTTATAATATAAAACAAATTTTTTTACAATTTAAATTACTTATTTCTGCTCATGTTAACAAATAACCGCAAAAATAATCTGCAACTATTATTTTTTATTAGTAAAATTTTGATATTAGATATTATTAATTTAAACAGATTTACAAAAATTAAAACTAAAATAAATAAAACCTTAACTTATTTATATTTTAATTAATTTTTGTTAAATAAAGTATTAGTCTTTTGTTTAGTAATTAAGTAAATTAACTTGTATTACTTTTTTATTTAAAGAAAAAATAACACAATTTAAAATTTGTTTATTTCCATAATTCAACTGCGAGAAATTTTATCTGTATTTTGGAGTACCCTAATTTTAAATGCCAGCAGTCATGACCACAAACAGCCCTGGCAAGTCAGGCTGTGTTGTTGTTTGTGGCATTGAAACTCTGCCTTATCACTTTTTCTAACGAAAAAACACTATTTTTTTTAAGTACTTTTGTTCAAATCAGCTCAAAAATTGTAATTCAAATAAATATTTGAGGAATGTATGAAGTGCGATTTTTTATTTTATTTGATTTCATTTATCTCTAAAAATCTAATTTGAATTATAAAAGAGAAACTACTAAAATAATTTTTTTAATTTCTATTAATTCCCCTGTTAATAAGTAATGTGAATGTAAAATTTAACAGTATTTTTCAATTTTTTTTTTATCAATTTCCACTAACTTCGCCTACAAATAATCTAATTTGATTCCTCCCTCTCAAACAGCCCCCGAAGACATGGCGCCCCTGCTTCCGAGCAAGCAGGAAATGTCAAGTAATGACGCGGGCAGCAAGTCCGAGGGCGAAGACGACTCGATTGCGACGGTGACAACCAAAAAACCGACTCTGGGCCGCACGCCGAACCACCTGAGTCTGAGCACGACGTCGACCCTGTCGGCGGGCAGCACGGGCAGCCAGGCGCGGCTAATTCAGTCGTCGCACCAGCCCGAGAACTACGCGCCGCAGCCCGTCAAAGAACTAGGTAAGCGGCGGCCCCACCTGTTGCAGCCCCCTCGGCCCCGGCGTCCGCTCAACTCAGACTCTTCCATTCCCGCATCCACCCCGAGCCCCACGTCCTCAAACCCGCCCTGCATGCAGTGCTACCTCACCGGGCACTACGAGGAAAACGCCTTCTGAACACGGGCTTTTAAGGGTGGGCTGCGCTAGATTAACCCATGGTGTCTGTGTTCATCCCCCCATGAGAGGGTGCGTTTTAACCTTGCTCCTAATCCTAACCTAACCAATGCTTTTTTTAATTAAATTAATATTTAATTAATAAAATTTAAATATTATTTATTTGAAATTTAAGTAAAATACGATTTTGTTAACAAGGGGTTGGAAATTTTTATACTGATTCATAAATGCTTATTTTGCAGAAAAAAATTATAATTTTTGTTGGAAATAAATTCAAGCCTATCAGAGATTTTTCCAAACAATCAATATTAAAGTAAAAATAAATCTCTGCATTAAGATACAATTTTTTTTTAGATTTAAAAACAGTACTTTTATTCTTTTTACTTTGAGAATTAAATTAACATTTAAAAATCATGCCAAAAACACGCTCCCTCCCTCCCTCTCAAATATGCTCTTGGTTGTTGCATCAAGTTATTAGCTCAAATCAATTATTCAACGATGAATGATCGATCTGTTTTATTAGAGTTTGAAACTTAAAATAAAATTAATTGTATAATCAATCATGTAGACAAAAAGCTGACTTAAAACGAATCTCACTTCCCAACACGCATATATATTTGCATTTAATCAATGCCGACAAGTGAGCATCGCAGCTTGTAATTAGTGTGATAAGATGATAAGACGTTATTTGAATTACGATATAAAAATAATATACGTGTCAGGCATCAATAATGGTTGTTGGAGGAATTCCGGCCCTTTTGCTGTCGATTTTAACACTTCGTCTTTTCATGAAAAATTATACAATCAGCTCAATGCGGACCAAACTTGATCAGACTAAATTTACAAAATTCTCAAATTCCTAAAATTAGAATGGATTGAAAAAAATAAAGAAAATATTTCACATTACGCCATCATCTTCTGAATATCCATAAAAATTCTTGCTCAAATACACTTGAACCGCACACCGAATCGGCAGACAAAGGGCCGGAGTTTGAATAATGAAAAGAGATTTATCAATGTTGAACTCAAATGTTTGCTCCTAACGTAAGGGAATGAAAAGAAGTTTACGGGTTTGGAATTTTTGAAAGGCACAACCTGAGCACAACCCTCTGGATGCACAATTTTTGTAAGACAAAATGAAAACTCTACTATCTAAGCCCAATCCAAAATTATCCTTTGCATTTTTGTTTTGCAAATTAAATACGCCAGGCAATCACAAATTTCTGATTAAGTTTTTCCACTCTGTCTGTCTAGCTTTTTAACCTCACCGTTCCCATTTAACCCAAGTTTCGAATTGAAAAAAAAATCAGTTCTCTGAAAAAAGTCAAACGATCTCAATGAGTTTTGTTTCCGCTGTGTCACACCGCGCAGGTTTTACTCTAGCAAAAAAAAAAAAATGATTATTATCATTATTAACTGTTGTATGAAAATAAAAACCCAAATAATCACACATCCTCCTGTGCTTTTTCCTTGACTCTCACACAAACCAACAGAAATGCTGCATGTGCCTGCCGGCATCTTTTTTTTCAACTAACATTGATTTGGTCTGCTTCGTATACTGTTTTCAGTAGTTGTAGTCTCGGCCGCGGATTCCTCAATGGTGCGTTCTCAAAACGCACATTGACGGAATCTGCGGGTGCGGTCAACGCGCCTCTTCCTCAAAATCAGACCTAAATTACAAAAAAAGCGTTCCTCCCGAGTTTTTCAGCTGAAAAGAAAAATAATAAAAATCAAAGCTATCGCACCTCTCTTTCTCTTCTATTCTGTGTGTGTCTTTGCATTATGCAACCTGCTGAAATGAAATGTGAAGCAAGTTGCATATCTTCAAAAGCATCTGTGTTTTTTTTTACTTCCAGGTTAAAAACTAACAACTCAAATAAATAAATAAATTCAAAACTCTAAATTAAATTAAAACTAACTGCGTGGAAAAACTCGGGACGCGGATCGCGCGATTAGCGAAAACATGTCTGTTGGTTTCACCCACTTAGCCAGCGAGTGTCAAAATTCTTACTCCCGCATCATATTCTATTTTATGGCCCGTGATTTTGGTTTTGTTCCTCTATTGTGATTGCCGTTGGACTTTTCTCAGACGGCCGATCGATTTTCGAGCTCTGACCTGACCAATTGTTGTAGGCTCTCCAGTGTGGAAACCAAGAGACATGCTAGGAGAGGCCGCGACCCTGCCGCGAAAGGGTAAAACGACCGGCACCACCACTGCGACTATAAACTCGGCACCAGGAGATTCCCGTAGCCTAAAGAAATTCACTGACTATGGTGGTGGTTCTAGTTCTAAGCCTAGCAAAAAGTAAGCTGCTCGCTCGTCAACTTCACAGTCTCACACTCGATCTTCTTCAACACACACTCACGTCATACAAAAATAATAAATGAAAATATGCCATCAAGTGCTAAACCTGAGAGAGAAACAGAGAAACAAAAAAACGAAATGTTACACGCGTAGACGAGTTTTGCAGAAAAAGAAAAATGATAAATAATTATATTAAAAAACACGAGGTTTCTACTAGGCAACGGCAAGATCCAGTGCTTAGGTCTTTGTATAAAAATTGGAGAGTGTTGATGAGAATTTTTGAGAATTGCTTTTACTCGGAGATAAGAAAACGATCAACTGTGTGTGCGAGGGAATTCGAAAGAAAGATTGGCTGTTTGCTTGTATTGAAAAAAAAACTGATTGTTATGAAGACATACACACACACTTTAGGGTACCATAAATACATATATATTAATTAAGAAGGACATTTCAGCTGACTTTAAAACGGAAACAACACACAAGCAGGCCCGCTCCGTCGCGATTCGCACGACTGCTGATTTGAAAGACCGGAGATTGATCAATTTCACACAAATTTTACCGCTTCTGACGAGGAAATGTCCATATTGGATCTCGTTTTACTTCACACTTTTACCCGATTACTCAAAGGTCTGCATGGCAGTCGCTGTTTGCAATTCGACGGTGAAAGGCCCTAGATCTCATCAAATGTGCTCAAATGTTTAGAGGTTAATATACAACAAAAAAAGGATGGAAAAAGACATAAAAACACACACACACGAGACATTTCTTGTACTTCACACACTTAACCTCATCACACACACACACTACTACTTATTAGTTTGTAATGAAGTTATTTAATTCTCATTCATTATTATATACTCGCGTTGTCTGGTGGAAAAGAATTAATTGAAGAATGAAAAAAAAATGAGAAGCAGAGACGGTTGGAAAGAAAAGAAGTGCGAATGCTGTTCACCGTGTGAATGAACGGAATGCTGCCGAAATTGTTTACTGTCGAAAGTGGGACGGAAAAATTCATCAAAGTGTCTCCTCTCTCATTGTCTCGTGAAATATTAAATTCTGCAGCCGTACACCGAGGCCAATGATTCATTTTTCTATCTTAAGATTCGGTGTGTAGCTGCAGAAGCACAGGTTTCCGATGAAAAAAATTTTAAAAAAAGTATCGGGAGTGGAACTTTTTAAAAGAGTAAAACATTTGCCTGTGTTTCCTCTGCCCCCAGTTCGATCAATATAAATACGATTTATTGATTGCCATAATTATATTGTTACGGTTGAATTAAAAAGAGAGAAAATAATCCACGTGCAGTAGAAAAGATATGAACCATTGAGGACGAATCTCCTGTTTTCAATCGCGAAAACGCGCTTTTAACCCTGTAATTAATTGTTGAACAAAAATCAGAGTACTCTCTCACGAAGCAAACACACACTCACACAAACACACACGCAGCATAGGTTTTAAACAAAACTCTTGGAGGTTCTCTCGCTTGTGCTTTTCGCCCCCAAATTCCCTTTACGATAAGATAATTATGTCATGGATTGCGCCAAGAAAAAAAATGCAAAGCGCCTTCTTGCGACTTTTTCTTTGAGCACAAGAGAGAGAAATTTATTACATAATTTAACATGGGGTAGCGATCCTATCTCACACCTTGTTGAATTAACTTGGATGCTGAAAAAAAAATGCAGTATTGTTTCTCTCCCAACCTGAGAGCTCTATATATTATATCCGTTTGATCATTTTTGTCTAGGAATGTAAAAATTATCATTGAAAAACGAGATGCAAAAGTTATAATAAATTAACTCTCATTGAGGCAAAAGTTGCGATTTAAGCAGAAACACAACACGATATGACGAAGAAGAAATTGTTTGATAACAACACCTACTTTTAATATTAAAGGCGCTACAACTGACCTTTTTTGCATTAAACGGTAAAAACGATTACAACAACAATTTTTGTCTCTCTTTGTCTTAGCAATAATTGTTTTAAAAAAACCGAGATTCAGATGATTTTAAAAAGAATAAAAACAAAAACATAGTAAAAAAAGACACAGTTTACAATGAAAAAACAAAAATATAAATGATGGAAAGCGATCTGTACTCTGCACTTTATATCACACAGTGTAAAAAAGGCGAAAACATAAAAGAGAAAGAAAGAGATGATTTAAGAAAGAAGAAAATACACATTAACTGATGATACAATCATTTAAGAGTTTATGGAAAAAATCAATTAAAAGTTAAGTAGCGAGAGAAGCCAAAGGATGGAGCGGTTTAATTAACATACAACAAAAAGGAAAACACAAGATTATTATTATTATATTATTATGATGGTGAATGTTGATAAAAATAATAAAAATGGTATATTATAAAAATTAACTGCTTCTAATTTTACTAACCTTTTTGTACCTGGGAAGTATGACTGATAGCAAATAAAAAGCATGATATATGTGATGGGCATAATTGGGCATGGAAAACTAATTATTAACAGCTTTGTCTTTAATATAAGATTCATTATTTTTCTGTTTCTTGGATTTTTTTCAAGTTTATTTAAATATTTTTTAATTTATGCCTTTCTTTTTACTCTTATTTAATTTTTTTGCAGGTTTGTTGGACAGATTGATCATTGAGCTCCAGGAATTTGCATAGAAATATTATATAACATTTAAAAAAAAATTACACTTCCTTACATCAAGTCATTTATTACTTTTTACTTTAATAATTTAATTTTAAATAAAAATTGATATACTTATTAAATTATGTTTTATTTTATTTTCTTCATTTACTTTATTATTTCTGAGTTTTCTAAATAATAATGATATAATAATAAAAAAAAATCAATATTTCAAGATGTGCAAACTATACAGAGTTTTTCTAAGCAATACTAATATTCAGTTATATTTCTAGTAAAAGCAACTCCATAAATGTTTTATAATTGCAATATAAAACTTTTTCACGGAATGAATAAAATTAATGCGGCCTTTTATTTTTTCTGAAGCAGTTAAAATAAGCACATATCGCTCATAACAATGGTGGAGTTTATATCTCTTGCAGTTTCGCACGTGTGCAAAAAAGAGCAAAAATAATTCTCAGAATAGAGATTGTTTGAATGCAAGTATGTCCCTGTCCAGAACACATGATATCTGCGGAACAGTTTTATTGCAAACGGCAAGAATAGCAGCGGCGCACTCTTCCTCGTCGCGGTCTCGCGTTACACATTGAAAACTGAGGTGAATACCTTTCAAGAGTGAAGGCCATGGAACATACGCACGCCGTCGCTTAATTGCAAATCGCATATTATTCTCGCTGAACCACCGGCGCTTTTTTTGCAATTATCATAATAATGAGACATCCTATTATTAACGCTTCAAATCTAAATTTACAACTGAAAAGAATATCAAGCTTCTTACAGCCTCTTTCTTAACTTCTTATATAAAAAGATAAAAAGAGAAAGAAAATGAGGGCCTGAGACATGGTTATTGCCTCGAGAGATTTCAGCAGCCGGGCGCCAGCTCAAGGTGAAAAGAGAAGCCAACGACCGCTCATTTGCATCCAGAAAACAAGTATTTTCGACTACAAACTTCGGAAACTTCCGACTAAAAGATGGTCTTATGTGGTAATAATTCAAGATTAATTAAGATGATCTTAATAGGATCAACCACTTTATCTAATGAAGAGTGATAGACGTCAATATATAAAAATAAATGTAGAGAAAAAATTATTTTAAAGGAATTATTTTAATTAATTATTATTTAATAATATACTTCCTACTCTAAAAATATATTTAGAAAATTAATTAAAATTTGTTAATTTAAATAAGATGATAAGTGATAAAATTATTGAAATATTATATATTAAAAAAATTATATTATATATAAATAATAAAAAATATATTTAAAATCAGAAGTTTAAAAAGATTTTGATAAAGAAATAACGGTGCAACTAAACAAAAAAATTATTTCTCTTAAATATTTCCTTAACAGGCTCCTTGGGCTCTTTTCCATTAAAGTGTGGATTCCTTATTGTTTGCACATCAATTAACTGTTAGAATAATTTTCACCTCTTTGTTCAAACAATCTCCTCTGCTGCAGCAGGTGCTAATTATGCAACCATTCCCGTCTTCACGCAGGTGGAAGAGGCTTGAAATAAAACTCATTTCTCAATTCAATTTTCTTTCATCATAATTTATTTGTATTGCTCAGACTTGATTTAGTAAACTTTGACAACGGCGGGGTTGGCAATGTTGGCGTAGGCCAGAGGGGCGGCGGCATAGGCGCCGTAAGCGGCGTAGGCAGCGGGGGCAGCGACGACGGCGGGGGCGGCGGCGTAGACGGTGGGGGCGACGGGGACGTGGATGGGGGCAGGCTGGACCACCTCGTGTTTGACGACGGGGTAGGGCACGGGCACGTCGCGCTGCACGTACTCGTGCTGGATGACGGGCACCTGCTGCTTGACCACGGTCACCTCAGCGGGGGCCACTCTCACCTTGGGCAGGAGGGGGGCGCCGAGCAGAGGGCCGGGGGCAGCGGCGGCGCAAGCCAGCAGGGCAGACAGAACGACCTGTGAACACCGACGGAGGAGACCATGGTGAGTTACAATTATTTTGTGTCGGCTGCGGCTCTTAATTCATTATATTATTTCGGATGGCACTTGTCGCGCTCGCATTTTTCAATTTAAAAGCAACGCTCAATGAATTCTCCGGCTTTCATGCTCTGGTAATTGAATTTATTTTAAATATTGAAAAAAAATTTGAAGAAAAAATATTTGGAGGCTTTCATAGGATACAGTGTCAAGGATTGATTTTTGAAATCGTACAAATGCTCGTGCAACGAGAACAACTTTAGGTTTAGTTAGTCTAGATCAGTCTGACAATGCCGAAGGTAAGGGAACAAAATTGTTTATATAAATTTTAGTAAGGCAGTAAGATAGAATGATTTGGGTCATTTATTTAAAAGGAGGGTTCAATATCAAGGCCAGATAATTATCAAGCTATTATAAATATATATATATATATATATATATATATATATATATATATATATATATATATATAAAAAATAATAATAATAATAATTTGGAAAAAATAGCTATTGTAGCAATTTTTTAATATTTTTAGTTCCATAGAGAAAGTTAAATTAACCGTTATAAATTAATATGCAAACGTGAATTGAAAAAAGTTAAAAAAAAAAGTTTGTTTTAGGAAAAATATTTTGAAAAACCTTTTTTGGTTATTGATATAAAATTAAAAAACAATTAGAACTTTTCGTAGGCCGGTTCTTTTGTTTGGAATGCGGTTCTAAAAAGATAAATCATTAGATTCTCTGTGACTTTAATTGTAAGTTTTTAGATAAGCAATTTTCAAGCCAGATAAATAAAAAGTTTTACTATTTATTGAGTACTTACGAGAGTGTTCATGGTGAGTGATTTTAGTCCGTGGTTGATCAGAGACTGGTGCTGGGGGTTGGGGGGCCGGCGTTTTATACCTGGACCTGCCAGTGGACCGCACCCAGCCCCCCTAGCTTACCTGATCTGGACAAAATCGCGATCGGCCTTGGAGCCGCGTCGATCTCGCCGCCTGCACCACTGGTTTCCTATACCTGGACCGTCAAGGTCGCGGCGACTCGCTGCTTTAATGTACGCGAGACGCTCTTTTACGATACACACGCGAAAAAGGTGAAATGAAAAAAGATGCGTCAAAATTTTGTTTGGTTCTCTTCTCACAGGATTTGATTGACCGATCGAGCGCGTAATTTGCGTTGAAGGGCTTTATTGATGGTTGTAAAATTACCGACAGACAACTTCCTGGTTCTCGTGTTTTTTTTTTTAACCTGCGGGTTCACGGCCGAGTCTTTTTTTATGCTGTGACTTTTGGCAGACACCCTCTTGTCTTTTTTTTCCATTTTGCACTTTTAATTTTACTGAGAAAAATGGCCCAAAGAAATGGAAATAAATAATTTAATTCGTTTTCAACAAGATATATCTTAAAAAGCTTTCCTTTGTATTTGCAATTTTATTAATAATTGTTGGACAATAATAAAAAAAAAACGATAAAATAATCTTCGATACAACAATCAAATAATCACAATATGGGTGACCATATTCAAATCGGTTCATTTGTTTTTCTCCTTGTACTATGAAAATTTAAATATTTTGCTCCCAATTTGTAATTTCCAACGCTTCTACATTTCAAAAATGCAAAAAAAGTCGGTTAGAATATGAGATAAATGTTGCGCCATTAAATTAATTTACCAGCAGAACCTTTATTTTTTCAACTAGGTTAAACTTTAATTTAAATTTAAATTCAATTCACCATGAAGGTTAAGCTTAGTTTTAAATTTCATTGAACCTATTGAATTTATTTCCAATGTAAAATAAGATCAAGAAAACTCTTCAAAATCCATTTCAACCGCTTTTTTTATCAAGCAAGATTGAATTTTTATGAAATTAAATTTTGTTACAATTTTATTCTCTCTTATGCTATAAATTGCATTTTGGTTTGGGCGTTTAAGATACTATCAGCATCCTTATAAGCTCCCTGTGTTCCTCAATTAATGAGTGTGCGAATGAGAAACTAGCAAATTTGCACCACGCTCATCACCGCGCTTTTCGTTCTCAAGGTGAACCAGATTTTTGACTTCTTATTTCAAGCACAATTTGCACTACAAACTAAAAAAAATTGACAAGCAGGAAAAGTTCTCAGAAATTTGAGATGTAATTAAATATTAGCATGATTTTTGAACGAACGCCCATTCATAATAAATAAAAGCTTTCAGAATTTAAAAATGGAATTTAATTTGCGTGGGTGTAATTTTCTCACATAAGACCAAGTCATATTTTGCTCAGGCCCACGTGCTACGTATAATTTGCATTGCGACAATTTCTCGACAGTCAGCCCTGGACAGACTTAAGAGAGCGTGAAGATCTCTGCCGCTTTATATTCGTAGAAGAGTTGCATACAAATAAGCTACAAAGAAATAGCTGCTCTCTCGATCGGACAGACATTCGGACTGGTTTCAAGCCAAGGGATTCAATGACAACGACCCTCTCGCGTGCACACCTCTCGGTGACGACACCTAATATGGGCGTGTGATTTATCCTAGCCACTGCGAGATGCGATAAATACACGCGACGACACGCCCGAACCGTGTTTACTGCAATTTCATAATTCTACACGCAACGTTAAATCTAACCATTAGCACGGCAAACAATCTTATTATTACAAACTTGCGGAAAAATACTGCAAAATTTGGTCACTTGAAAAAAAAAACGCCTCTAATGAATTTTTAACCATTTAATTATTTTTGTATAAAAAAAACAACTTTATATTAGCATCAAGTTGGTAAGAAATTGTGCGACCCTTCAATTATGAGTCATAAAGTGATATTATTTTGATGTATAATAATAGTATACGAGAAGTGAAATTAATTAGAGGCTATTTTTCTTTCAATTTTTACAATTTTAGTTTTGAGGATTTTCTTTTTTTGTGAGGGAAACAAACTGTATGTTTTACTTGACAAATTTTATAGTTTTTTCGTTGGATGTATTTAGAGCAGTTAGGAGTGTGTTAATTTCAAATTACCCAATAATTAATGCTGTCCAAACCAAATATTATAAAAAAAAAATTAAATAAAAATTATCTGTCGTGGTTCAGTGGTGGGTTTTTTTACCGGTGGCAAATATTGTTATGAAAGTTTTTTATCCTATAATGATAATTAAAGCAAAATAAAGCAAGAAGCTTTGACCCATCAAAACTGGAGCAAGCCTGAGAATGTTTGAAATAAATATGACTGAATTTGCGCTGGAAATAGCCAGAATATTACAAATGTTTTCTCAAAGCGATTACTGGAAAAAAATTATATTATTCTTTATTGACTTATTATTATGTCAATAAAGAACAATAGTAATAATTATTATATTTATATTCTTGAGCGCACTTTGCGTTATTAATCGCGAGTCATTTTCCATGACAGCTTTGTTTGCTTTTTTAATGAAGATGGCTCATTGAGTATCTTCACTGACACTGACAATGAGAATAATATTTTCCTTGCATAAAATTTGAGGTGAAACATCAACAGTTTTACGTTGTGAACTTCACTCGGTTGGTATATGAGGAATTTTCATTTATTTTCAACAGGCAGATTTAAAAAAAGTTAGTTAATCATGAAATTTAATCCTTTAATCCGCTTTAATCTTCTAAAATTCAGTGTTTTCGATTAAGTTTCTTAATGAAATCTAACAATAAATAGGAATCAAATATTTAACCAGCGCGATTCCAACTTACTTCAATCTTCACTCGAATCAATATTTAACCCTTACTAATTTAGGTGTATTTAATTGAAACCCCGCATTTTTCTTAAGTGGGGTTTTGTTGTTCGGTTATTGTTTTTATCAAAACGATATTTCCAGCTGCTCTAAATGATGCGAGAATAGTTCATCATGGCCTTTGAAATAATTTTGACAAAAAGAGTTATAACAGAATTAAATATTATATATTATGAGAAAAAAAATTACAACCAGGGTTAGGGCTACTTTTAAATTGATTGTCAAATTTTAGCAAGACCATATAATGGGCATGGCAATACATAGCATAAGAGGGTTAAAAAGTTAAAAAAGATTTCTATGAAATCGTGGTGCACGTCTGGTTTCGCGGGTGGCGCCGCCGGCAGCACGCTCTGTCGGTCGCTGCGGGCAGCCGCGGCGCCGATTTTAGAATTTTTTCGTAACCTTCGCGGCGCGCGCAAGGTCACGGACCGAACGAAAAGTGGGCGTGTCGCTTTTCTCTCTCGTTGTTATTATCGTCCGCGGGCACCTCTTCTTCTTCATCTGATCTTCTTTTCGTCCAAATTTTTATCTCGTCAGGATGACGGAAAGACGATTGAGCACCGGAGAAAAGAAAGTGAGTCTTATTTTTTTCTTATCGGCATCATTTGAAGCTGCTGTTGACAGCCGATAAGAAAAAGAGCTGCGATATCTCGAGACGATTCGCGCTGACCCGCGGGTCACCCACGAGATCGACCTTGGCCAGAGAATGACAAAAAAAATTATATTTAATTTTTGCGTGGATCTCGCGAGTGGAGCCGCAGTACGTGCAGCTTCGGCCGATGCTCGTTTCCCTGTTATTATTTTAATTTTTTTGTGCATGGCGTTGCATTTATTTCAGCACAAACAATCCTGCAAGTTGAGCTAAAAAGTGATTAAAAAAGGCGCGTTCCAATTAACAACCAATTAGAGACTTTAGTTTACATTTTCCTGCTGTGTTGCGTTTTGCGTCCACGTCAAACATCAGCTCATTTTGCGTTTTGCTTTCGTCGCCAGTTTTTCCGTCAATGAGTCTTTGAATTACATACTTTTGAAATCGTTCAACCGCTGCCCGGAGACACAATTTGCACTTTTCCGAGGATTTTCATTCATGTGCAGTATTTTTAATTGCGCTGCTGCTGAAGAAATTTTCAAATTCAAAATGGGTGATCTGGTAATTTTTCTCAAATTTTTTATGTTTTTATAATTGATTGTATTAGAGCAAAAAATAATAATACGAGCCTCGTGCCTTGAAATGAATCATCGTGGTGTTGGTTATTAAAATAATATTAAATTAATCAAATTAGGATTTCAAATTTTCTTTTTTCTAAAGAAAATGTGTAAATTTTACATTCATTAATTTTTTTCTCAAAAGCTTTTTAAGAATGTCTATTTTTTTTTGTAACTCAAATTTTGTTTGTATTTTTGGACATTTGGATGATGCATCTCGTTTATTTATTTAATTAACGATTGAATCCAAAAATTTTTTAACAAATAATTTTGGTCAAAATATTGATAATCGTGTTTTTAAGCTTATCAGATATATTAAAAATTCTCATTTTAGGGGTAAAATTTTATAAAATTTAGGGGAAATGCATTTAAGGGTTTTAATTTTTGGGGAAATGGAGAAATTGGTTTTGGGGAAAATAAATTTAGGGACAATAACGGCGACTCAAATTGTCAATTTAATTTGTTTCTTCTTTCCTCAATCCTATTTTTCTGAATTATTTGTAATTATGCGCTGATCATTAGAGTTGTTATGAAACCAGAATAAATCTCTAATTAAAAACTTTCTAAGTTGAATATTTAGATTGAAAAATTGCTTAGTCGAATCTTATGCCATGATTATTTTTTATCGAAAATATTTTGTTTCTTAATATCGAAAAAAATTGAACTAATCCATTTAATCATCAATAAAATTTTCATATTATAAATATGATTAATATTTGTAATATTTATAAAAATAATCTTATGAACAAAATCAATTTTCAGCTCTCGAATTCCACTGCACAATGACTTCAGACAAAGGAAATCTTTGTTCCTTGTCCAGATAATTTTGACCCTGATGCCAATAACGATTCCTTTAAAGCACGCAACAATAAATTCTTGCAATATCTGTCACCAACAATTTAAAACCCATTAAAAGTTGCCTATGAAAGGCAACAATCATAAATCAGCCCAAATTCAAATCCTCCACCTCGCGTTTTGATTTTTCAGCTCACTTTTCTTCTTCTCGAAGTCCTTTGAAACCGATTAACGATTTTTTAATTGTGGCCTGAGTGGAAGCTCATTTGCTATGACAGTCACTCACCGATAAGGCGGCCGGAGAAAATAACAGATTGATAAGAGCGCGCAGTGTGAATCGGTCGCCTTTGTCACAATCAGTCTGACTGGAGCACACGGCCAGCGCGAAGCTCCAATATAATTTTATTTTTAAATCTAAATTGTAGCCAAAAATATGGACTATTTCTTAGAACAGGTCAAAACTGCAGAGATAAAATTTTACGTTTTTTTTTACGTTCTGACGTTTTAATTAATTTTTCAGCTCCGACACCAAAGAGCACCTTCAGGCTCGAGGGAGTTCAAAGAACTCACCAAGAGAGATGCCCAAATCCAGCTTGCACAGGAACTGGACAAACTTCACGCCACCGTTACTGAAGAGAAAAAATGGGTAAATTTTTGTTTTGTTTTATTTTAAATTCTAAAAGAATTTTGAAGAATAAAATAAATATATTTCAAATAATGCAAAATCATCTCAAAATTCTTGCAACAATGTAAAGTTTTGCATTGTTCCAAATACACATTGAAAATAATTTGAATTTGAAAACGATTTTTCTGATAATTTGAATTTGTTCTTTTCGGCCATGCAGCAAGTGCAGAAGGAGTTCGACGGTTTCCAGCGTCTGTACGCGCGCTTCCTGCTCGAAGAGGGTCCCTCGGTGGACTGGGACAGCATCGAGAAGCTGCCAGAGAACGCCGTCAAGAATTACAGCACTCTGAAGCAGCCTGCGACCGAGCAGGTGCAAAACATGCTGTCCAAACTGGTTGTGGTCAAGCTGAACGGTGGCCTCGGCACCTCCATGGGCTGTCAGGGTCCCAAGTCGGTGATCGCTGTCCGCAGTGACCTCACCTTCCTTGACTTGACCGTGCAGCAAATTGAGGTAAAATCACTAATTTAAGTTTGAAATCAATTAAAAGTCTTTTATTCTCTATTATTATTTTTTATATAAAAAAGTACAAAGTAAATAACTTATGTTTAATTACGTTGGTACAAAATATTTCTTTCAATTAAAAGTTTTTAAATTTTAAATGAAGCTTTCCTTACACTCAGATGGGTTTTTTTTAAAACCCCAATTGTGGAAAAACCAAATTTTAATTAAAACACAATCAATCAAACTCTCAATTTTGAAATTCTTAAATGAAAATGTTAATTTGTGTTAAAGTATTTAACCTATGCATATTTTAAATATTAAGTCGATCATTTCATGGACAATCCTCTTGTACAGGACCTGAACAAGACCTACAAGACCAACGTGCCACTGGTTCTCATGAACTCGTTTAACACGGACGAGGACACGCAGAAGGTCATTCGCAAATACAAGGGCCTTCAGGTCGACATCCACACCTTTAACCAGAGCTGCTATCCAAGAATCAACCGAGAATCTCTGCTCCCCGTTTCGAAGAACTGCAACGTCGAGTCGGACATCGAGGCGTGGTACCCACCAGGTCACGGCGACTTCTACGAGAGTCTCTACAACTCAGGGCTACTTAAAAAATTCATCGATGAGGTATTTTTATTGATTAAATCTGTTTTTCATATTAATTTGGAAAAATAATTTTAAGGGTCGAGAGTACTGCTTCATTTCCAACATTGACAACTTGGGCGCCACCGTCGATTTAAATATTCTAAGTTTGCTGCTCAACCCTGAGGACAACAAGAACAAGAGCCCAGAATTTGTCATGGAGGTGACTGACAAAACCAGGGCTGACGTCAAGGGTGGTACCCTGATCCAGTACGAGGGAAAGTTGCGCCTTCTTGAAATCGCCCAGGTACCCAAGGAGCACGTAGACGACTTCAAGTCTGTCAAAACCTTCAAGTTTTTTAACACCAATAACTTGTGGGTCAAACTGGATGGTAAATTCTTGAGACTTCTTAGTCTTCTTTTTAATAAATGCATACTTTTGACTACAGCGATTGATAGAGTTATCAAAAAAGGAGATTTGAACATGGAAATAATTGTCAACAACAAGACCCTGAATAATGGCCTGAATGTGATCCAGCTGGAAACTGCCGTCGGCGCAGCTATGAAAACCTTCGAAGGTGGTCTCGGTGAGTTTTATCAAAATTTCTAAGAAAAATAAATATTTATGATCACATTATTAGGCATCAACGTACCCAGAAGTCGTTTCTTGCCCGTGAAAAAGACCTCAGATCTGCTGCTCGTCATGAGCAACCTGTACAGCTTGAAGAATGGATCGCTGGTCATGAGTCCTCAGAGGATGTTCGACACCACCCCTTTGGTTAAGCTGGGTGACAACCACTTTGCCAGAGTGAAGGAATTCCTCAGCAGATTCTCCGACATTCCTGATTTGCTCGAGCTAGACCACTTGACCGTGTCAGGAGATGTGACCTTCGGAAAGGGGGTCTCCTTGAAGGTGAAATTTCAAAACTTTATTTGCTTTATTCATTAATCTCTATTTTTAATTCTGAAGAGAAAATTTAAAGTTGCCAGCTTTAGAATATTGTGAAATTCTTTTTTCCTTAAAAATTTTTAAACTTTCCTCTACTTTAAATTGCATTAAATAATTCTTTTTTTCCTCTAGGGCACCGTGATTATTATTGCAAACCATGGCGACAGGATTGACATCCCAGCAGGGGCAGTCCTCGAAAACAAAATTGTTTCCGGCAACTTGCGTATCCTCGATCACTAGTTCCAATCCAAGCTCACCTAATGAGGCCCTTTTAAATGTGCCAGTCGTATAGTCAGTTCTGCTTCAGTTGCACATTCGAATTTTTCATTGTCAAGTTTGCGATGATTTTTGTACGAACGTTCTTGCTTAATTAATGTGTGGTTAGCACAAATATTTTATTGCGTTTTAGCACAAAAATTGCTTTCAGATTTTATTTTTGTGACATGTGTTCTCTGAGGTAAATTCATTCATGTTAAATACAACACTCAAGATTTGAAATTTAAAATAATCTTGACATGTTGCAGTGTTATAATTTTTGTTGAAGTTATTTTCTATTAAGTCCGCTGGCATTGAATTGTGTTCATAATTAATTGTCCGCAAAAATTTTTAATCAGTCACCTAGCAAGATTTATTTTTAAAAGAAGACACTTTCTTCCATCTGAAAAATCAAAATTTTTATTATTTATAGTAAATTACATACTTATTATTAGACAAACTTTTATGTAAAAGTAGGTGATATAAATAATTGGTTACCAAAAGCAAAAAGCGTAAATTAGAGAAGCAAAATGTAAAAAATATTGAAGTGAAACTGAACCCTATACAGTTTTGTAAAGATTAAATAAGTCATTGCTCAAGAGAAGTCGCAGATGTTTCAATAAAAATTGTATTGTTACAATACAAAAATGTTTATTTTATTTGATCTGATATAATTGGTACAAATTTTTTGGCAGGTTTATATTTATGTTCGTAATTTACTCCATAGAAAAACCTACTAAAGATGCGATTCTCAAGAAAATTGGAATGGCAAGAAACAGTTGTTAACTGTTGGCAATTGAGAGAACTAATCTTTCATTTTTAACTACGTCGAAAGGGTACATTGACTTGATCATTTTATTGTTGTTTTAAACCTATTAAGGTAAGCTAAATTGAATGGAATTGGTCACAATGTCGTAAGCTCAACCATTCTATAATTAAAAAACTACGCCCCCTTCAGCGTATGGGACCAACCATGAATACATACCTCAATTTAAAAAAAAAAAAATTAGTCCATCCAAACTCGCTTGGCGGCAGAGATGTAATAACTTGTTTAAGATAGACCTTGATTTAAAAAAAAAATTAATTTAGTCCATCCGTAGACGCTCGGCGGCACAAAAGTTATAATTTATTCAAGACAGACCTCGATTTAAAAAAAAAATTATTTTAGTCCATCCTCCATCCTATCTCGCTCGGCGGCACAGACGTAATAACTTGTTAAAGATAGACGGAAATTAAAAAAAATTTGTTTTTCTGATCTCGCTTTGTGAAGCAGACGTGATAACTTTTGTAGAGACTATGCTGTTTGAAAAAATATCTTTTTAGTTCTTGTCTGTTTATCCTGCCGCATTCCATTATTTTTTCAACTCTACAGTAATATAAATAGTACTTCATACTAAAATTTTATTAACGTGAGCTGACAGGGGTAAAATAATTGTTTCTAATCCTTAATCTCATGTATTTTCATTTTTATTTATAATTTACGTTTCATGTAAGTTTTTATCAATAAGACGTTCGTGTTGTATTTTGATGTATTTAATGGAGATTAAATAATTGAATAACATCTTTCATGAAATAACTGGTAAAAAATAGAAAAATTGTCTTCCCTGGCACTCGTTGGTGGTCAGTGTTTCTCTAGCTTTGGGGTCTGATGATTTTTCTTGATGCGCATCTTGAAGAAACTGGACCTGGCATTCGAGCTTCCACTAATGCCTTTTGAGACGTTCAGCACCACTGTGTTTTCTTTCATGCCTCATCAAGTCGTCGTGTCTTGTGAATCTAGTCTTACAGGTGATGCAGCTGTAGGGTTTGCTGCAAATGTTGAACACTCCCTGCATGTACACGTTTCCTGTTAGAAAGGAAACAAAATAAAAATAATAAATTATTTTTCGAATTAATTTAGAAATTTCTTTTGATATTGAACCAAGAAGAGTTTCAGGATAAAATTAATTTTGGCTGCTATAAAAAGGAATTTTGTGTTTGGAAACCTTGCTGCTTTTTTTATATCAGACCAATAAAATTTTTAAATCTCAATCAGTTTGAAAAATGTCTTCTTGTTGGAGGCAATTTCTAGGCCCAAAATAGAATAATTAGAATAATTTTTAGAAGCAAGAATTGATTGAATTTAAGCAGAAGTTTTACTTAAGACGATATTTCTCAACACAAAGCAAATAACTCACTGTCAATCGTAAACAAGTACCTAGGCTACACTTCGTGGTATGATTAACATAATACGACAACATAGAAGCAAAAACAATTTGAATTTGTAGAAATATTAAAGCCTACATTAATGAGAGTAATCTGTTGCTTAAGATTATTTTTAATAAACTTATATATCACCTGATCAATTTTCGGCCCAACAGGCCCTTCCAGATGCCCTGGGCGCGGCATGGAAAACTCCTGGGCGTAGATGGTGGTCCGCCCACCCTGGTGAAGGTTCGAGTCCATCATCGCCTGATTGATGTGCGGCCCAAGAGGCCCTTCCAGATCTCCTCGGCGCGTCATGGACAACTCCGGGGCGTTGATGGTGGTCCGCCCACCCTGGTGCAGGCTCGAGTTCGTCATCGCCTGATCGATTTGCGGCCCAAGAGGCCCTTCCAGATGCCCTCGGCGCGTCATGGACAACTCCTGGGCGTTGATGGTGGTCCGCCCACCCTGGTGAAGGCTCGAGTTCGTCATCGCCTGATCGCATTTTTCGCAAATACATTTGTTATTTGATTTTGTGATAATTTTTATTTTTACAGTAAATGAAGGGAAGGCGTACTTTGTAAAAGTGTGCCTACTAGCAAAACATGGTTGTTTCCAGCTCGGGTTATTCATTGCTCGTAGAAATAGGATCAATGTGAGAGATTTTAAAAATTTGATTTTCTAAAAACTTTAGGTAACTCTCAGTCTCAGGGAGCTTGAATTTCTTTATTAAATCAGTCACCAAAAAAATTAATGATAATAATAATATAAATTTTTTTTAAGAAAAGTGTAATTTGTTGTATCTAAAGAAGAAAAGTTGGAAAATTTTGCAAATTAAATTAATTTAATAAGTCTTTTCTATTTAAATTCCCATGATAAAATTACACCTGATTGAACAGTAAATAATCACCTGCGCTGTTCTGATTCGCCATTCTTGGATCCTTGGACAACTCGGCCACCTTGATTCAGGCTGGAGTTGGAAATTGCCTTGTGAAGTAGGGGCCAAAACGGCTGATCTCGATCCAAACAACCCATTCCAGGGATGGGTCGGCCGTTGACAGTGGCTTGCCCGCCTTGATTAAGGCTTGAGTTCAAAATTCCCTGATCAAGGTGGGGCCAGAACGGCTGATCTCGGTCCACGCGACCCATTCCAGGGAAAGACGGGCCGTCGACGGTGGCTCGGCCGCCTTGATTCAGGCTTGAGTTGGTAATAGCCTGGTCAAGGTGGGGCCAAGACGGCTATCCACGATCAGTCGACCCATTCCAGGGAAGGACAAGCCGTTGACGGTGGTACGCCCACCCTGGTGCAGGCTCGAGATGGTCATCGCCTGATTGATTTGCGGCCCAAGAGGCCCTTCCAGATCTCCTCGGCGCGTCATGGACATCTCCTGGGCGTTGATGGTGGTCCGCCCACCCTGGTGCAGGCCCGAGATGGTCATCGCCTGATCGATTTGCGGCCCAAGAGGTTCTCCCAGTTGCCATGGCCGCGTCACAGGATGGGCAAAGAGGTGTGCTTGCCCACCCTGGTGAAGGCTCGAGGTGTTTATCAACTGGTTGATAATGGAAGAATATTGTCGCCTACAAGACGGCCCACTGCTCTGCTCTTGCTCGTTGAAGCTCACTTCAGTGGGGTCAATCTTTTGAACAGAAAATAGGGATTTTTTTTTTAAAATTCACAATCAAGGGATTCTTCATGGTGTTTAATTCTAAATTCCAACTTTTGCTCAATGGGTTTTTATATTACTTATTGCCGCTTATTGCTTCATAAAAAAACCACGAGGAAAAGTGGAAATAGAAATAAAAATAGATGGAAACTCCTGCCAAGATTTTTTTCAAATTTCTGAATAAAATAAATTAAAACTTTGGACTTGTTAATTTAAAAAAATAAATTGAAAAATGCTCAGTTTCAAATTCCTAGTCCATCTGAACGGATCATTTTCAGTCGTCCAAATGCAATTTTCAATTAAATTATAATCAAAATACAGCTGGAAATCTCGATCCTTGGAGGACAAAAAAATAATTACATACCTTGAATAAAGATTTGACGTTGAAGGCAGACAATAAGCTTTTCTTTTCCAATCAAGTTGGTCTTGATCAAATAGGGTCATTGTGTGACCCTGTAGGTGTGACTCTGGGTCAACTCTTCAGCAGCTCAGATTGACAGAAGTGTGCAAAAGCTCATCAATAGCCAGAGCCATGAGGACGGACACTCTGTGATCAAGAAAAGTCAGAAAAGGAGTTCGCAACCGCCTCCGACAGCCTGAAAGATTCGTTAATTAAAATTAATTTCAAATTGTGATGATTTAGTTAACAGATCAGTTTTGCAATGTGAAAAGAGTGGATCTTCTTTTCAAAACATTGGTCGGTCCAACCAGACGGTCAGGACAATGTCTATCGGGTCACTCGCAGGACGAAGCGTCAAGACAAGGCATGTTTCAAGCTGAAGAACCGCCGAAGAACGAGACGAAAATTCTCGCCGATGAACGAGACGAAAATTCTCGCCGAAGAACGAGACGAAAATTCTCGCCGAAGAACGAGACGAAAATTCTCGCCGAAGAACGAGACGAAAATTCTCGCCGAAGAACGAGACGAAAATTCTCGCCAAAGAACGAGACGAAAATTCTCGCCGAAGAACGAGACGAAAATTCTCGCCGTAGAACCTCCTTAAGGGGAGGATGGAAAAAAATTTTTGACGAGAAAAAACAAGGGTTACCTTCCCTGCTCCTTATTAGCATTAATTAAAATTATGTAGTATGTAAATAAATATTTTTGTTATTTTTTGCGTGTTTGTGACGCTAGTTCCGTAAGATGACGCTTGGCACTCTGGGGTGGTCATGATAAGCAAGTAATATGGACATTAGAAGATGGATTGGTCGAGACGCCATTTTTCGGTTTCAACACCCCGGGCGGCCTGGGTGCTGAAACAAAAAAAATGGCGTCTCTACCAATCCAGCTTCTAATGTCCATAGCAAGTAAAAGCAGCACTAGAAAAGAACATAGACCACCTAGCGGTGGGAGACGCAAGCATCCGCGGAGAAAGAAGAGAGAAGTTGAGGGAAGGGGCCCCTTCAGCCCCTTGCCCCTTGTGTTTACATCACAAACATCATGTGACCAGCAGCAACGATCATGTCCCATGTGACTCTTGGTAATATTTTGAGCGATTTAAAAAGCGGAGGCTGTTTGTTGGCTCGAGGCCTCAAGAAGCACATGACTTTTATTTAAGGACTAGAAGCACGACGACGGTGTCTAATCTAATAGGAAGGAGAGAGAGCAAACAACAAATTGGGCCCCGAGCTTGAAATTGGTGCGCGAATCTGACCGTGATTTTTGATGCTGATGGCGAGGACCAAAGGGAGGGCATGATGTAGGGCGATGGCACTTTTGAACAAGCTCTTCGCCAACAAAAGGAGCAAAAGCAGTCGACCCCACTTTGGGCTGTTCGGCCGTGGCGATGAGGCTAACGAGAGGTAAAAAAAAAAAATGCAGAATAGGATCCTCAGTAGATTTTTTATTCAAATGTTGCAAACAGGGACTGCGAGTCAGCCCTGAATGCCATGTTCTAAATTTCCCATTGACCTATTTTTTTTTTTATAGATTATTCATTAATGATAAAAATAACAAATTTTCTTTTTTCTTTTGATTTCACCTTTTGAATTTCAGCTGGGTACCTTTCACTTTTGACCCCGACCAGGTCAGGGTGCTACTCTTCAGAGAGTGCGAGTCGCGCCGCCGGAAAATTCTGTTCGACTCGAGCTCGGTGCAGAAGGTTGCCGTGGCAGCAACCAAATCCTCAAGAAAATTTCCCTCTCTGCTGAGGAGTGAAACAAAAAAGACTGACCCCGTATTTGTAGAAGTTACTAATGGCTTTGGCTATAAGGTATTTTCCGGTTAATTTGTTTAAATCTCATTCAAATGAAATTGCTGGTATTGATTTTTAATGGCTAACATTTGAATTCGCACCAGCTATCTCGCCCAACCGAGACAATCGACTTGGCCGCCGTGAGCGACATGATTTTCGGAACAGTGCCTCTGAACTTCCAAGGTGCTTCTTTAAAGATGCACTGTTTGCAGAACCCAAACCGCCTTATGTGCACCAAAGTTTTTCCGTCGCCCAGCACAACAAATCACAACCCACACAATAAAAATAGGTTTGCGTTAAAGATTTGGAATTTTTTTATCTAACAAAGCTTCAATCTTAGTGACGACTCAGTAGGCTGTGCATCAGGAGCGTCCCTGGGAGAGTCGATTGTGATGAACCTTAGCATGGAGGGGGCCAACCTGGACAAGAAAGCGAGTGAAGGGGACAGTGGCTTTTCAGGAGCGGCATCCTTTAAATCTGCAAGCCTTGGCAGCAACAATTGCAACTCCTGGTCGCTTGGAGAACCACAGCAGCCTGATTCACGAGAATCGTCCTTCAATAGTAAGAAAAGTACAATATAAGTCTTTTAAAGCTTCCCAAATTTCTGGCTTAAACCATAGTAATGTTCAAGAGTCAATTGCATTACTTTTCAAGGTCAATATACAGCATAAAAGAATATTGATCAAGTTTAGTCCCATGTGTGTTATAAAACGTTAGTTCATAGTCTGTCCATTTTGCAATTTATCAGGAATATAATTTCTTCTCTGTATGTATTGTCATTAAGGAATACAAATACAATTTGGGTGGTGACTTTTGCACCATCATAAAAGGGCCCGACAAGACTCTGCCTTGACCTGATCCTTAAAAATAAAATAAAATTTTGTCTTTCAAAAGGTGTAGGTTCGTGGCTTCCGAATCATTCAAGTGGCAGCTTGAGCAGTTTGCAGAGGCGATTCATGAAACACGTAGCCACGTCGATGGAAACCTCTGAAGCATTGCCCAGTTTGTCTCCAAACAAAGATGCAAAGAGGAGCAAGCTCGGTCTCGCAGTTCTCCTCAGACTCTCTGGAGAAAACGAAATGGATCAGTAAAAATATTTTGACAGTTTTAAGATTTCACCTTTTAATTTTAAATTTCTGTCCAGAACGCAGCAGGATTTTTTCTTTGATCACGTGCCAGTGCTGGACAGCATCATCCGACGCATGCATGCAGTGGTAGAAAAGTCGTACACGCACCGCGAACGCTTTTTACACCTGATGAAAGAGGGCGCAGACGAACTGCAAGAGTCGGTGGTGCATCTCTTCTCCTCTCCTCGGCTGCCCAGGCCGGTTTGGCTTGGCCTGATGACAGCATCTTCCGAAAGGGCTCACACAAGCCTTGCTCAAACATTCCTAAACGATCTTTGCTTCCTACTCGCCTCTCTAGAAACAAAGTCTGCTCACTTGTAAGTTGTTGCTTGTTAACTTGAACTCGGATAAACAATTTAAAATTCATTTCCAGTTTTGTAAGCACACTAGTCACTGCTGTTCTTACCTACCACCTTGGATGGGTCAGCACGGTATTGCCAGGTGCGGTTCCTCCTCTCAACAGACCACCGCCAAACTCCCCAAACAAAATGGTTTGCTTTGACCTAAAAATAAAAGCAAAAACTAATCAAATCTTTGTACAGCTCGATTCACTTGCCAAGTGCCATCCATACAATGCTCTGTGGGCGCAGTTCGGCGACCTCAAAGGTGCCCTTGGTCATCCACTTCGAGTTGCCCGCACTATTGTGACTGGCAGCGAGTCCGATGTGCTCAACCGTCTTGTGCGAATGCTCTCGTACTTCATACGCTGCGGTTCTGTCAGCAAAAACTTTGAGGAAAGACTGAGCACGAACACCACCGACTCCCTGTTGCAGAGCAATTCGACCAAGACGTTGACCTCCAAGGGGATTGACCTTAGTTCGAGCACCCTGGTCTGCCAAGAGCCACGTCCAGGACTGAGAAGAAACGCCAGTTGTTTGTCGGATGTTGGAAACGTCAAGTCTTTGTACCCAAGCCTGTCTGAGGTGGACTTAATTTCAGACAAGGTGTCCCGGTTGTGTCGGGTGCCAGCTGAGGCCATCATGTGGCATGTGAACAACCTGGGAAGTCCGCCCAGGCGAAAAGTCGATTCAGTGAAACAAAACTCTGCTCCTCCAGAGTCTTTTAGTGCAGTTGCTGATCTCGGAGTTGTTTTTGTTGTAGGAGATGATGAAAATATGGATAGCCCACCTAAGGATGATCATTCAATTCTGAGACAGGTGAGAAAATTTTGGAACTTCTAATAATAAAAAATCCACATTTTTATTTTTGACTTGATTTTTTTTTATTAAGAAAAATGTAATGAACTCTCTTGTGAATATCCACCTTTTAGCTACAAGAAGCTACATGTTTGAAAGACTTAAGCGATGAAGAGCAGGATGGCCCTCAACTGATGGAAATACCTATTCCATCCTCCGAAGTGCGACTCCCGCAGCCGTACAATGGATTCGCAGCCTCTCTAATGGGCTATACATCCGAGACTTACAGCCCTGATTTGGTAGTGCAAGCTTGCACCCAGGACGTTTCCGAGTGGAGGGAAAAGCTAAAGAGAGACCTGATGCTCTCTGCTTATCAACCCCTATTCGACAAAGAAGCTGTCGCCGAAGCAATATGCGTCATGGGAAACGTGGACAAGTGGTAAAATCAATCTTTGCCTTAATTGTGGTATTTTGATGAAAACTCAATTTGTTTTTCCAGGGAGGTTCAGATAGTTTCTAGTCACACTTATGTAGCGGAGAGGCATTCGAATAATTTAGGAATACGACAGGGAATGTCCCAATTGGTTGCAGACATGCTGGAATCCGTGCACCACCTTTGCAAGTTTGACACTCCGCCCGAATATGTAAGAATAAATTTCTGTTGCGACATAATTACTAACTTCATACTTTAGTGCCTTCAACACATAGAATCAAAACTACGTGAAATATGCCTTCACAGCCACGCCTTAGCGCAGCTGCTTCTAGCCACCGACTTTTGTGAAATGACCCGGCTGACTTCTGCCCTCAATCTGGAGGCCAACGATGTGCCCCTCTTGCTTGCTGTGGCGTCTACTCACTCGCCCGAAGTCACGCAGCGCTACGGCTTAACGTTTCAGTAAAAAAGATGTATACTTTATTACTTTTTTTTTTCAAAGATAAAATTACTTTTGTAGATTGATTTTATTTAACCAAATAATAAAAGAGTTTCTAATTATTGCTGGTCCGAATAATAAAATGCTGGAGCTCATGATTTGTTAAACGTATTGCATTTATTCAAACAAAAAAACCTTACATGCAAACTATGGTATAGAAAACCAAACACATAGCGCAGCGTGTTCATTAGGCTAAAGCAAGGTTGGTGTGAGTTTGATTTGAAGGTATGTCTTTAAATATTGTAATATCTCATCGTCAGTTATTGTGTCCACCTGCACATAATTCCTCAGCCTGCTTAGCCACCCACATTCATTCAAGCGAACGCCTCAGTCGTCCATGTTTTGGGAGAGCAGGAAATTGGCCGCCAGGTTCTCGTTCTTTTCGCAGGCAAAGTAGGCCTGCACGACAAGGTGCTCAGGGAATCTGGAAAAAAAACATTCAACATATTAAAAAAACAGTTGATTACAGAATAGAATACAAGTTTGAGCAATCAATTGCATGATCTTACCCAAGGTCCTTCAGTCTCTCAATGGCTTCCTTATCTTGAGGCGTGATCTGGATGGAGTGGGGAAGCAGGCCTTCACCAGGAACAGCAGGCTGGCCAGCAGGGTTTCCGGAACCGCCACCACCAGCAGGGCCACCAGCGGCAGACCCTTCGTTGAGCATGCGGATGAAGGCGTCTCTATTGGAAGAAATGAGTTCAAGCAGCGCTGGATTTGTCTGGCCAATCTGCTGCAAGGCAGCATTCAGCAGCTGAGGATTTTGCTGGATGGCCTGACGCATCTGCTGGAACTGCGGCTGCGTACGCAAAAATGCCAATGGGTCTTCGCCTTCTCCAAGGCCACCTTCCTCTTCGTCCATCATCAAAGCACCACCAACACCACCACCCGCAGCTGGAGCTGGCACTGCCTCTTCAATGTTTCCTGGAATGCCGTTAATCAAGTACTCGACGGCTCGATCTGGATTGTTGAAAGATGCACGCAGTGCCTCTTTGACCTAAAAAAATTTCAAATATTTACTCTTATTGTTAATCCAATAAGTGATCTAGTTAATAAAAACTATCAATCTGATCCTTAGTTTAAATGCTGATTACGGACAAGTTGCATTTTCCTGTGGTGATGAAAAAAATTATTTATCCTTCACAAACCTGAGCTTCGTCGTATCCCATGGAGACAATGTTCTGGACCATAGCGTCAATAGCTGGCCCGGTGAGCAGAGTCGACTCAGCAGGGCCGCTCACAGCTGCGGCGGGGGCTGAAGAAGAAGGGGCTGGGGAAGGTACAGCAGGTTGGGCAGGGGCACTTGTGGTTGGTGGTGGAGGTGCTGGAGCTGGGGTGCTGGCTGCGGGAGCTTCAGGGGTTGGAGCCTCTGCAGCTTTGGGGGGCTTAGTCACCAAGCACACGATGAACTTCTTCTCATCCAGGCCAAGTGTCTTCAGCTCCTGAATCGACACAAACGTGATTAGAACAGTAAAATACAAGTTTGTTAAAATTTCATACCTGATGGTCTTCTAAGATCTTGCCAGAGTAGATGAGTCGTTGCTGTGCGGCAGGATATCCAGATCCCTTGTCTTTTTCAATCTTTTCTTTCAGGTCCTTGACTAAGCCGCTCTCATCAACATCGACCTGAAAGGTCTGCTGCTCCAGGTTCTTCACTGTGACCAGCATGTTCTGTACCTCTAGTCACTCCTTAAAAAAAAAAATAGAAAAACTGTTTGTTGCAAAATCACTTGCTAGGAAAATTCAAAACAAATTTGTGTCTTTTTTATCATTTCTCAGTTTTCTCCACGTAAATAAATATAAAAAAAGTGATAATATATGACACTTTATTCTTTCCATGCCCAAACATTTCCAAAAAATTGTGAATGCAAAATACAATTCTTGAATGGATTTTTTGTGAATTTGTTGGCAAAAGGAATTTGAAAGAATTAAAGTTTTAATGACAAATTAAAAAAGGACTATTAAGAAATTTATACTGGTTGGCTTTATTGATTTTTAGTGAGCGCAGAGGAAAAAATTAGCTGGAAAATTTTTTTGCGCTTTTGAAGAGGAAATTCTTTATGAAGACGCAGAGTGACGCACCGATAAAGAATTCATTTGACCGCACCTGGTGTTAGAAAACCAGCCAAGAGAATTTTGGCGCATCAATCGGACTGTCCGCTTTTGGAGTGGCCGCTTGTGGCTCATCAAGTTGTGTCCTCAACCCTGAAGAATTGCGATTTCTCGACCTTGCTTGTTTCGGCGACGGGCACGAATCGTATCACAAACAATTCTTATGAATCATCAAGCAGTGACCGGCCACTTTGCAATCATCGATCATCAGCGCACGCGGCTGGACCACGTGATATGATTGTTTTGGTTGAAACAGAAAAGTTTGCTGATTTTTTTCAGCCGGCGCACGCTGCATTTCATTCAATCAAATACTATTTTGAGGGACTTTACCGATATTACAGCTTAAAAATTCGCGATAATGAAGACTTCCAAAGTCTTCGTGAAGAAGACTAAAAGAGGAGCAATCCTGAAGGTTTGTTTTCTTTTTAATTTACGTTTCATATTAGCAAGTTTTTTGTTACAAAATTACAAACTGGAATGAACCAAATGAACAATTAATATGATAATTATTAATAATTTTATTAGATCGTGAGAGAGCACTATCTGAGGACAGACTTGACATGCGGATCGTATTTCTGTAAGAAATGCTTTCACGCTCCCAAAGATTTGATCCTTGACGAAGTTCCTGAAATTCTAAGCTCCACCTACAACTATCATCATTATCTTGTGTTAGACACCAACATCATTTTAGACCAGGTTTTTATAAAATTAGCATCATGTTATGAAAATTTAAATTTTTATTCAAACGTAAAACCTTCACAGATCGATATTTTGGAGTCGAGAGTTCTCTCAAACATCATCCTTCTGCAAACCGTCCTGGAGGAAGTCAGAAACCGGAGCTCCACAATTTACAAAAGGCTCCTGGACTTGACTGGAGAAACCAAAAATTTCTACACATTTGTCAATGAGCATCACAAGTAATTTTGATTGTTTATTCATCTCCAGGTTTGTAGTAAAGAATTTAATTTTGCAGAGACACACATGTTGAGAGCAGAGACCTCGAGTCCAAAAATGACCGAAACGACAGAGCCATTCGACGAGCAGTCGAGTGGTACAACGAGCACCTCACCACACAGGGTGGTGTCTGTGTGAAGGTGATCTTGCTGACGGATGACAACAAAAATAGAGAATTAGCTCTAAAAGAAGGCCTTGTTGCCTTGACAAGTATGTTAAAATATTACAGCTAGTATTTTATAAGAGAGAACAACTCTTTGCGCTGAATTTTTGTCATCAGTGAGGGAATATGTGTCCTCCCTTGAGAAACACCAAAATTTGATGGACAAACTGAGCCACAAAAGCTACGACATTGACGCTGGGGGAAAAGCAAAAACTCCTCTCTTCCCTGCCCACTTGTCAGCAGAGCAGGTTCACATGGGCATCAAGACTGGGAAATTGTTACAAGGCGTCTTTTACGCTTCCAGAGACAATTTCCTCGAAGGCACAGTCAACGTCGATGGGATGGAAAAATCGGTAGACGATCCATATTTTCAACAAGCATTCAACCTTTTTTAATGTGAAATTCTACAGGTGTTAGTTCAGGGTCACGAGGGATTGAACAGGGCTGTTGACGGAGATCTGGTTGCCCTTGAAATGTTATCCGAGAGCAACTGGTCGGCACCCTCTGATGTAGTTTTGCAGGATGAGGGCGGAGATCCAGGTTTGATTAAGCTATTCTATATTCACTGATATTTAATTGATATTTTTTTATCAGGAGACGTAAATCCTGAGGAGGAGCAAATTTTGGAATCTGCAACTAAGAGCAAGGAGAAAATTCCAACAGGTAAAGTGGTGGCAATCATCAGACGCAATTGGCGACAGTATTGCGGCATCCTCCAATTGGGAAACTATCAAGGGGTGAGATCTCAAGTTTTATTGTGTCTATTTTATACAAAATATTACCAAAAACCTTATATTTCTAGGCCGTCAATCAAATTTTTGTGCCAGCTGAGAGGAAAATTCCCAAAATTAGATTTGAGACACGTCAGGCTGATGTTCTTGCAAGTCAGCGCATTATTGTGGCCATCGACTCATGGTCTCGGTATTCTAGGTATCCAAAGGTAGTAAATAATTTAATTGTCAATACAAATTTCAATCTATTTGTGATGACTAGGGTCACTTTGTCCGAGCATTGGGAGAAATCGGTGACAAAGACACTGAGAATGAAGTGCTTCTTCTTGAACACGACGTCCCACACACCAAATTCTCGGATGCTGTTCTTGCTTGTCTTCCTCAAATGCCTTGGAAAATCACAGAAGAGGTTCATTGAATGAAAATTTCACCACTATTATTTTAGACATAAATTTTCTCTCAGGATTTAGCCAACCGAGTTGATTTGAGAAATGTTTGCATCTGCAGTGTGGATCCGCCTGGTTGTACTGATATCGACGATGCATTGCACTGCTTCCAATTGCCAAATGGAAACTATGAGGTAATAATTTTCTCTTAATTTTATTAAGATCTAAATTGGTTGTCAATGTTTAGGTTGGCGTCCACATTGCTGATGTGAGTCACTTCATCAGACCTGGAACCGAGCTTGACAAAGAAGCTTCAAGAAGGGCAACAACTGTTTATTTGATTGACAAGAGACTGGACATGGTTCCAGGTTAGTTTCAAATTAATTATCAGGTCTTAATTTAAAGAATAAAAATTGCAGAACTTCTTAGCTCTAATTTGTGCTCGTTGCGTGGTCAGGAAGAAAGATTTGCATTTTCTTGCATTTGGGAATTATCACCTGACGCCCAGATTTTGAACACCAGATACCACAAGAGCGTTATTTGCTCCAAAAGAGCAATGACTTATGAAGAAGCTCAGTTGATCATTGACGACTCGAGTCAGCAGGACGATCTTGCAAAGGGTTTGAGAGGCCTCAACAATTTGGCTAAAAAACTGAAAAAGCAGCGCACAGATAATGGGTTTGTAGATTTTTTTCAATGGAAATTTAGTTTCTTCATTTTGAAAATAAATATTTTCCAGAGCGCTGGTTCTGGCATCTCCAGAAGTCCGATTCCACGTCGACAGTGAGACCCATGAACCTTTAGAGGTTGTAGTAAAAAAGATGAGAGAGACAAACTCGATGGTCGAGGAGTTCATGTTGCTGGCCAACATTTCCGTCGCCACCAGAATCCTAGCTGAATTTCCAGAATGTGCCATTCTCAGGCGGCATCCCATACCACCAATCAGCAATTTTGAGGCACTGATGCGGTCAGTTAGATCCCAGGTATTGCGAAGAGAAAAAAAAAATGATGAAAACATTTAACACCACTTCTAAATTAATTAGGGTTTTGAGCTGGATGTTTCGACTGGGAAGACATTTTCAGAGAGTTTGGACAAGGCGGTGAAGCCAAATAACCCATTTTTCAACAACATTGTCCGTATCTTGGCAACTAGGTGCATGTTGCAGGCTGTCTACTTTTGCAGTGGAATGATTCAGCCTGACGAATACAAGCATTATGGATTGGCTGTGCCCATCTACACTCATTTCACTTCTCCCATTAGGAGGCAAGAATAAAATTTATCCCTTTTTGATATAAATAAATTATTTTCGAAATGTTTCCAGATATGCTGACATCATGGTGCATCGACTTCTTGCAGTGTGCATTGGTGCCGACCACATGAGCCCCGAGATGCTGGACAAAAATTTCAGCAACCAAGTGTGCAAAAATTTGAACTACAGGAACAGAATGGCACAATATGCTGGTCGAGCCTCTGTTGCCCTTCACACACATGTAAATATATCCACTGATAAAAGTGAATCCCATAATAATATTATCAAAAAATAGATTTTCTTCCGAAACAAAATCCAAGATGAGCAAGGATACATTTTGTATGTCAGAAAAAACGCTCTATTGATTCTGATACCTAAGTATGGCCTCGAGGGAACTGTTTATGTTGCTCCAAAGAAAGGAGAAACAATGCTTGTCAACTTTATGTACGATGAAGAGGTACTTTTTTCCCAAAACAAATTGGTTCAGACTCTTTAATCAAATAATTGGTAGGAACAATCACAAACATGTGGAAATGTGGTGTTCAGGCCTTTTGACCCAGTCAAAGTTCAGCTGAGCTTGGACCAGACAGACAGGCAGCGAGAGAAACTAGTATTCAAGCTTGTCGAACCAGTCGTAAGTTATAATAAAGTGGAACTCTTTACTACTTAAATATATAAAAAAAAATTATCTAGATAACTGGGTTCAGTGTTCCATCAGTTGGATCAGAGGCTCAAGAGGAGCCAATGGAGGTGGAAATTGTAGATGAGAAACCAAAAGGAGCAACGTCTACTGTTCCTCCATCAAAACGCTCGCGGCGGAGCAAACGATGATTTAAAAAAATAAGCTGTCAGGACCCATTCAATATTCTGGCATTTTTATTTCAAAATGTGCTTTTACAAACAAGATAAATACTGTTCTTACATTTTTAGAAAAACAAAATAAATTTTCACCCTTTCATAATAAACAAATAAATCAACTTTCTTTTGGAATGAGAAATGATTGCACTGCACATCCTTGGTCGAGATTAAATTAAATTACATTAAATGCCTAAGGCACCAGCGGCAAGTGTTTCAACGCTTCATTTGTTTTCAGTCATGGATTAGAATTAAATTTTCAGCTCGTGAAACGATAGATAAATTAAATTGTTCATGTATATCAACTATCAACTGAGCTCTCGTCTATTAACAATATTGAACAAAACGTCCTCATCATCGTCAGTGGTCATTAGGTCTTCCTGACCAATAGCATCTTCCACCAACAAGACACCCCTGCCCATGTCTAGCAACGGCATGCGCACATCAGTCGAGAACAGTTCTTCTTCGTCCTCTTTTTCAGGCTTCGCTGGCGTGATCGCTTTGTTCAACACGTGGACTAGAATTCCGCACAGGCAGATGACCAGGCCAATTGCGTTGAAGGGGGACATTTTGTCACCGTTGTATTTCACAGCTAAGATAAATGTGCAGGCCTCCTGCAAATATCAAAACAATAGTTTATAAATGCCCATAAATACATTTCTGTGGATTGATTGAAAAACTACGTGCTTTGAAAATTCCTGCAATTGAGAGGGTGAGACTGGACGTAACCATGATGAGGAGGAACTCTGATATCTCCATGAGGAATGCTATAGAGGCACCTAGCAGAATGCCAAAAACGGTGTGTGCCAGCTCGGACCATTGGTCAAAACGGAATGCTTGGTAAGTGCTCGCAAGTGAAACCCCTTCGATGAGAACCACAAATGGAATCAGGGTCACAGCCATCCAAGGCTGCATGTGGTAGATCATGTCAATGGGATTGCCGAGACCCAATTTGCTGCGGTGCATCATCATCTGAGCCAACGTCCAGCGAAGACCACTGAAATATATCAGCAAATTAATTATAATAATTTTCTTACACTTGTCTGGCGCTTTAAAAAATAATTAAATTTGTTCTCAAAAAGTTTGTAACTCTTGAAGAATATTAAATTGTTTTTTATTAACCAGATGAGGAAATAAAATTCAGATGCAAAATTTTGGGTAATTTTTTTCAGTATATTTTCCAATATACCTTATGAACGATGCACTCAAAACAAGCAGAAAGCCAACTGCTTGAAATTGTGTTGATTTGTATGTGAACATTATCAGGCCGATAGAGATCATTGTTACAATCAACAACAGGGACCATGACTGAAATCAGACAAATACACAGGTCATAATTTAAGAAGAAAATACAGACAATATTTAAAAGGTGCTGAAATAAAGTTTAAATTGTACCTTCTTTTCAAGTTTAAACAATAGTGCAAAACCTAGGATGAAAATAACTGATGTTGACTTCGTCATTGTGTATCTGAAAAAATATACTGTATAATATATTTCAAAATGAGATAAACTTTTAGTTGCTCACAAAGAAACTGTGACCAACTCGAGGCCCCAATTGGACAAGCCGATGTCGAGAGCACTGGCGGCTCCTGCAGGCAGCACCTGAGAAGCGTAGCTCTTCCATTCGACTAGTGGTCTTTCTCTTGACGTTGCAGCTTCATAAATAATACGACAAAGCCACGCCAATATGAATTTGATCAACAAGTGGCACAGGACAATTGTCAGTGGATAGTGGAAATCCTGAGGCGAAAATATATGTACATAATTTTAGTGTGCTTTTGGTTAAATTCGATCGAGGAATAATTCACCTGAGTGAATTGCCTCTGGTAAAATGTGAGGCCGATGGAGAGGCCATAGTAGACAAGGATGAGCACCGAAGTTTTGATGGCTGTCCACCAGAACTGGGCGCTCCGCAGGGTATGTCGCAGGTTCAGCCACCATGGCATCGTGGAGCGGTCCTCGTAAGTCTCACGGTAGTCCACCAAGGTCAGTCATTCTTTTCTGCCGACCGGAAAGAGATTGGTGTAAAATCAGAGATAAGACGCCGCTGCAAAAAATAAACACGTCACACAAAAATCAACGAAATGTGTCACTGGAGAACAAACCTTGCAGGTGCGGGTTTTGTTGCTAAATCATCGATCGGTGTCCAAAAACTTGCCTGCTGGGGTTATTGGACGCATTTTAAAAATTGTTTACAATCTTCCAGCGCTATTTACGGCCAAGAAAACAGTGGATAAAAAGATGACGACAAACTGCAGTTCAAAATCCGATCCGACTTGGATGTGGGATTGGCAAAAGTGGGCGTAGGCGAAGGGTGAAGGCGGAGTGATTTCGTGGCGGCAAAGTTGGTCCTAAAAGGGCATAAGGGCCTCTGCTGTACTTTTAATAAAGCATGATTGCAGCAGTAAATGCAAATCTATCTCGGAAATAAAAAATCATTGATAAATATCTAGAATGATTAGAATTTTTGTTTGGCGCAAATTATAATGTTGAAATTTTTTACTATACATGCTTCATTTTTAGCAAACTTTAAAATTTGCAAAACTTGCAGAAAAATTTCTTTTCATTTCAATCAGTATTAAAAAGTGTGTCAAGAGAACTATTGTTTTGAGGCTTTTAATTAAAAAAAGGAGTAACACTATAAACAACACCATCTTCTACATAATATTAAATAAAATGAATAAAATGTACCATAATTATGACAATTTATATTAATTATAAAGAGAAACGATGACAAAATTTCGAAAATTTTTTTAAAACAAAGGAAATAAATATATCATAAATAGAAACCCAATAATATATTCATCATTCTTTTAATCAGTAATTTGCAATTATTGATTTAATTAAATCTCAAATCTGTAATAGTCTGTTGGAAGATTTTTTTCTTTCACTGATTTACACTAAGAGTCCACAGTACAAAATTTTGGCATGCTCTCTGCCACATTAAATATGAGTGCAATTGCATTGGAAAAATACTTGATCGCCGACGCCATTTAAATCCAGTCATTCACAGAACACTATTCATATCCATTCAGCAGGAGGGGTTGTGCTATCTTCTCGGAATCGCTCCATTGGCCACCTTCATGATTCCGTTGGGCGCAATAGGTCTCGAGCGGCCGTTCATCTCAGCGGCCTTGTCCGAGTTGTTGAAGCGGCCACCTTTGCTGTTGGGCATCATGCCAGTGCCCATTGGACCCATCGGTCCTCCTGGCTGTGGCGGTTGCTGCTGAGGGGGCGGTCGACCACCGTTGCCACCACCATTGCTGCCGTTGTTGGCCGCGGGAGGCTGATGGGGCGCTTGCACAGACAGGGCAGGGTTCGGCTCGCTCATATTTGGCTGCTCCGAAAAGACCATGCAAAATTCGCCTATTTTTTGGACCTGCAAGAAATTTGCGTAAATCATTATTCAATTAATTAAATGAATCGAACAAATCACACCTCTCCGTTTTTGCCTGAGTAAAGGGTGAGACAGTTCCTCCAGATTGTGGTGTAGGCTTTGCTAACGCGAACTATGTCCCCTGGGACGAGCAGTTGTCCCGGGGTGTCCCATATTGAAATGTTAATGCTGGCAGTCTGGTCTGCAACTTTGCACGAGCGCACCTCCCTGTTGTCCTTCGTCAGGGTGGGGTGACCTATTTCCAGCATGATGAACTCGATGTTGAGATTTTTCATTCCAGGGCGGACGTCTTTGATGTGCGTAATTTCCATGACTTTTTTTGTGTTCCCTCAATACCTATAAGAAATAAAAAATATTATATTAAAAATTTTCAAAAACAAAATATATATAGAACTAATGATTTGAGAAGTTTAGGCAAATTTGATAGCAAAAACAATTAAATTATTTGAAAATATTTTTAATATTGGTTACAACAAATAATATTAATTTTGGTAATTAAAATAATGACACCAGGAAAAACAAAATAATACATTAACAAGTAGTTGGTCACAAGAAAAATAACTTATAATAATTAAAACACAATGTTGTGTTTCTATTACAACAACGTGTGAGGTATATCAATTCACATGTACAGTCGTACACATGCGGGTGCGCTAAAAATCCGCTCTCTCCCCTCCACCACCATCAACACATAAAAAATGAATGGGTCATGCCCCTTGGCGAAGAGCTAATAATCAACGCCGATTTCGGCCCTTACCGACGAATTTGTGCGGGTTTCGTCACGCAATCATGCCGCGCGACTCTTAATCTTGAGAAAAATGACCCGGGAACGCGGCTTTGCGCGCAAAATCGGTCGAAATTCGGCGAAAAAAGGGGCCTAGTTTGACGGGTTGTCAGAGCTTGAGCATATGATCAGCGATTGTTGCGCCCCTGGCGACCTTTGCACGAAGCTCGCCAGCCAGAGACGAAGAAGCAGGCTTAAAATACCAAAACATGAGTGCAGCGGTTTCAGGTCCTGCTGACGGTCTGCTTTTGCAAGCCTCGATCACAATGGACCAGACTTAAAACGGATGCTTTGACGACCTTTTCGAACTCGACTTGTGATGGCTGCACGAAAAACTGTGTTCCCGCTACTGCGGCTGCAGCCCTCCAAAGGTTACTTCACCTCCGGCAGGCTGAGGGCCTATCCCCGACTCTCTCCTCAAGAGGTTAATTGTCATGAGATTGTCTTTATTATTTTTTAAATGAAGTGGTGTGAAATTTCAAGGGAATTTTAATTTTCGTGTTTTTTGGCAGGTCACGGCGATTTTGCGCGTCAACGAGTACACGCAGGAGTTTCAGGGCAGCAGTGTGAAATCGTACGACAGCAACCAGCTGCCCTCGAACAACCCCATTGAAGACACAAGAGCCGAAGCCCGATGTCTGCTTACACAAGGTCCGAGTTCGTTTGTTTGCTCTGTCCAAGTTTATTTGTTCATGAAAATCGATTGACCTGGATTACAGCATTCTATACATATACTTTTGCATAAATCCAGATTTTGAAAGTGTTTAACATTATCCATTGCAACTTCAAGAGCTTCCTGTACTTTTCGTAAATTTATATTAATTTCCTTTTAGTGGAAAAACAATTTATTAATTGACTCTCCGTTTAATTTTTTAATTAAAATCTACTTTGTAAATTTTATAAATAATAATTTTTGTTTTTACCTTAATTATTAATTAAATTTTGGCCCCTTTTATTTTTTTATACTATTTTCTCCTTTCATCTACAATAAGTATATCGTTAATAAATTTTAATCCATTAGTTAACCTGCTGTAATTTTTGGTACATCATGATGCATGAAATTATGAAACTCTTAGTGATGGAAATCAAACGCGGCTGAGAGTTTAGTTAGGGTTGAGAACAACAAACATTATTTGTAATTGGGTTACTTGGCTGGCAGCCGTCCAGAAAGCTGCATCTTGAACTTTCTCAATGACAAACTTCTTGGGCTGTTCTCCTCTCTCACATCAAACTAAATAGAAAGCAGCAAGAAAAGCGTCATATTATAATCAATACTTTTTCTAGGTCTCCTAATGGGGATCTTCGATGGCCACGCAGGAGGCTCCTGCGCCCAGGTGCTGTCCAAGAGGCTCTTCAAGTATGTGGCGGCGTCGCTTCTGCACCCCGAGGTTGTGCACAAGTTCACGCAATCACCCACAGATCTGATTCAGTCGTTCAACGACAACTACAAATTGACCGAAGTTTTAGAAGACCTGTATGTTAAAAGTTTTGACCAGTTCCTCAATGATCTGTCCAAGCAAACGTCCGAGGAGGACACAAATAAGGCCCTGGAAAGGGCATTCATGCGAATGGACGAAGACATCAGTCGAGAGGCCGAGCCCAAGGTGGCTGGCCCGGCCAGTCAAGCCACATTGACGGTGGCAGGCTCAGGCGCCGTAGCCTGCGTCTCCTACATTGCTGGCGCCCATTTGCATGTAGCCAGTACTGGAGATTGTCAGGTGAGACTGAAATCTTTTAATCTAATGCAGTTTTTAATTAAAATCCTCTGCCGTTTTAGGCTGTGTTGGGTTCTGTGACCGAGAACAACCGCTGGACGGCAATAAAACTCACCGAGGAGCACAATTCGGACAATGTGGCCGAGGTGTCTCGTATCTTGGCCGAACATCCACCTAACGAAAAGGACACTGTGATCAAGATGGACAGACTTTTGGGGCAGTTGGCACCTCTAAGGGCTTTCGGTGATTTCCGCTATAAGTGGAGTAAAGACAGATTAAGGCAACAACTTGTGCCCAAGCTAGGAGAACAGGCCATCCCTCCAAACTACTACACACCTCCTTATCTGACTGCCAAACCTGAGGTAAAAATTTTTTTAATATAAAAAAATCCTAAAAAAAGTCACGTCAGTTCATTGCAATTCGGTGTAATCCAGGCGTTTTATTTTTTAAAATTTTTTAAGACTTCACATTTTTATTTTCCCAGGTCACCCACCACAGACTGACGCCCAAGGATAAGTTCCTCGTGATTGCCTCGGATGGCCTGTGGGACTTGATTTCTCCCCTGCAAGCTGTGCGCCTTGTGGGTGAACACATGAGCGGTAAAGTGACTCTGAATCCGTTCCGCCTTCCCAAGACCGAAATGAGACTAAAAGAAGTTAACCAGTTGCTGCTGCAAAGAAAAGAGGGACTCAAAATGAAGCCCCTTGACACCAACGCAGCCACCCATTTGATCAGAAACGCCCTCGGGGGAACTGAGTACGGCATTGACCACGGCAAACTTTCCCAGTTACTGATGCTGCCGGATGACATGGTGCGAGTGTTTAGAGACGATATCACAGTTACCGTAGTCTACTTTGACTCGGAGTTCCTTCAAAAGTGTCCAGCTTGATAGGAAAGGCATCAGTCGGTCAATGAGCGGGCAATCAAGTAAGTTAAATTTTTATCATTGATAAATGTTGTCTTTGGCAAAATTTTAGAAAGTGGAAAGTTTTTTTAAATTTCTTCGAAGGAAATGTTTTGAATCTGATACATCAGAGACTTTTGTAGAAGTTTAATTATTGCCAGTAATTCGCACATGTCATTAGTTTAAGTTCTTGCAACAATTAAGGTGCCAATAATTAAAAAGGTTGTCTTTAAATATCTGACGTCAGAAAATGATGTTTAAAAATTCTTGATTAAAGAGTGCAAAGCGATTAATTTATTATTTGCAATAGACGTAGAAGGCTGTTTTATTAAATATGATGGAGAGCACCTAGTGTCCTATCACTGAGTGATAGCAGGTTGCTGCGAGCTGTATTGTTATGTTTGCCAGCTGTGTTGGCAATTTATTTGTAATAGTTTGGATTAAATTGTTGATTCAATTCCCACGCAAATAAAATTTATGCCAAATAAAATACTTATACTATTTTTTTCATATATTATCATATCATGGATTTAAAGAGATAAATACCACAAGCCTTGAAATATTCTAGATACTCTTAATTATTCTACACAATTAAAGATAGTTAGTAAGAATTATAAGCTGTCAGATATTCAATTGATTTATAATTGCTATATATAGTTATAACTACATTTCAGACCAGCACGATCACTGATGTTTCACAAAAGGGAACAGTATATACTCAGTCAGCAATGAATATGTTTTGAAATGCTTTATGTGGGATGAATATTCAGCAACAAAGTTTAAAGCGACATTGCAAAACAATATAATTCAAAAATATTCACGAATACATATTCGTTTGCCATATTCGGAATATCTAGGAAAACACATAAGAAGAGTAAAAGATGCGGAAGGGAGGCTACCTCCTAGGAGACCAGCGCGCTGATCTGGACCAGTTTAACAATAGGAGGCTCCTCCTCTCCGCGCCTCCTCTACCTTTTACTCTCCTTTGGAACACATGCGCGTTCAAGGTGGTGGCGGATTCACGAACTATTAAGAATTCCCAGGAAAAAACGTAAACAAAACTTACAGAACGAAATGGAAAGCCTGCGACTGATGATTTATCGCCAAATTGTCGCCTGCGGTTTCCACGAACAAGTGCTGCAGAAGGTAATTAAACAATTTAATTGAGAATTCGTCGATCCCGGCCCTTGATTTCCCTGAATTCTCATAATCACCTAGTGAAATGCGAATTCTGTCGGCATTTGTTTTGATTTTTTCGCCTTTCGCCGACTGAAGTCCGAATCGCAAAAATCTGGGCATTTTCGGCATCCTCATGAAACGAGCTTTCCGCCGGTGTGCCGTTTTTTGCTCCGAACAGTCGCGTTCTTTTCAAAGCTCGGAGACGCGATCAAGAATTTTATTCAAAATTTGACCGTTTTCAAACGCTAAAAGACCTTTTTCATTAAGGCAACAATGGGATTCACAGGCACTAAACTAAAACAGCACATTTTGGAGGTGTCAAATCGCGACGTTCCGTGCTTCCCGACGTCTTTCTCAGGTCAGTGGGCACCAAATCGCAAAAATCTGGGCATTTTCGGCATCCTCATGAAACGAGCTTTCCGCCAGTGTGCCGTTTTTCGCTCCGAACAGTCGCGTTCTTTCCAAAACTCGGAGACGCGATCAAGAATTTTATTCAAAATTTGACCGTTTTTTTGCAAACGCCAATAGACCTTCAACAATGGGATTCACAGGCACTAAACTAAAACAGCACATTTTGGAGGTGTCAAAACGCGACGTTCCGTGCTTCCCGACGTCTTTCTCAGGTCAGTGGTCACCAAATCGCAAAAATCTGGGCATTTTCGGCATCCTCATGAAACGAGCTTTCCGCCAGTGTGCCGTTTTTCGCTCCGAACAGTCGCGTTCTTTCCAAAACTCGGAGACGCGATCAAGAATTTTATTCAAAATTTGACCGTTTTCAAACGCCAAAAGACCTTTTTCAATAAGGCAACAATGGGATTCACAGGCACAAAAACAGCACATTTTGGAGGTGTCAAAACGCGACGTTCCGTGCTTCCCGACGTCTTTCTCAGGTCAGTGGTCACCAAATCGCAAAAATCTGGGCATTTTCGGCATCCTCATGAAACGAGCTTTCCGCCGGTGTGCCGAACCGTCGCGTTCTTTTCTAAGCTTGGAGAAACGACCAAGAATTTTTTTCAAAATTTGACTGTTTCCAAACGCAAATTTTCCCAGAATTCTAAATTGATTCAAAATAAAATGCACACCGTTTGAAAGCTCGTATCTTCTAGATTTAGAATCCTGAAGCTCGCACCATTCCTTTGAGCTTGCCCTATCTCTTTTTGTCCGAGAATCACCTCTCCTCCGGCCCTTTTTGCTTCAATTTTGATTGTTGAGTGCGACTCGGTTGAACCCTGACCCAGGCCACGTCAGGTCAAAAATATAATATGAAAAATTAATGAAAATCAATAAAAAGTTTGAAAATAAAAGTTAAAGAGTAGCTTGAAATAACTATTTAAATGCCATAATTTATTTCACTTGGACGCCTGAGATATAAAAGGGTTTGTGAGGAGTGCTCCCATTTTAATTGTGATTTTTTTTAGAAAGAAAAACTTAATACAAAGGTTTTAGCTAAAGACATGTTCTTTCTTTTCGCAATAGCGAGTTTGATCGTCCGACAAATTGCGAGAATTCCGACAAATTGAACTCTCTGCATTCAAGTGCAATTATTAATGAGGCTATTGACTTTAATCAAAAACTGACTTCAGATTCGTGTTCCTGGATGTCGAAAACATGGGAAACGACATCAAAAATTTAAAATTAACCCCAAAACCCACCCCCAGGGGTAGGGGTGGATTGTGGATTTCAAAATCGACTCTGATCATAGAATTGCATTATATATGATATTTCCTCATTCCTGAAGTGTATTTGCTTAATTTTATGGCAAATTCAGCAAAATTATAGGCGTTTAAAATTTTACGACCTCAAAAAAGGGCCAAAAAACCACGTTTTTTTAACTTCCCCTGTAGTTGTCTCAAAAACAAAGAAAAAACATGTCACCAAAATTTGTGTACCGATGTAAAATTAAATTTGGAACATTTTCTCGTGGAAAATATTTAAATATTTTTGGTTCTTGAATATCTGGCGGCGTTTTTAAAATTTCATCAAAATCCTTTAAGTTTTTGTGCCTGCGAATCCCATTGTTGCCTTAATGAAAAAAGTCTATTAATCATTGCTGGCATATTTTGAGAGGAAAAAACGAGGCGAGAAGGTGAAAATAGCAAGCTAAAAATTTAAGCTCAGCATGTAATATCTTACAAAAATAACAGATGATAAAATACATCGATGTATTTGTCATATTTGAAAATTTTCATAAAAAAATTAGAGAATAAGAATTAAGAGACAAAATTTGTCTACATTATGACTAAAATTTACATTAATAAATCAACTTTAAAAAAGTAAGCTGCAAACGGTTGCAAGTAAAGAAAATAAATTGTTGAATTGCATTGTTTCCCTTTCAACCCTAAACAATGCAAAATGGAAAAAAAATACGCAAGAACATCTTAAAAATAGTTCATTGTTGCATACGACCAAAGTTTAAAAATGCTTGATCTGCTCGTGATTTTCCTGACAGGGGTTGCCCTGGCTTTCGTAGCCCTCGTCTATGCACGCATCGCCAACTGGCTGTTCAACGGACTCCTTACCTTGAAAGATCACGCTGCCGCTGCAATTGGATTTGGCCTGCCCCAACCGAACTTGCCACCGCCTAACCTTGCTTGGGGGATCTTCAACAGGCAAATTTTTATTCCGTTTGGCCTGTCACCCCAAACCACAGCAGCGCTAGCAAATAGAAACTTTCTTGTTCTTGCCCAGCACGACACGTTGAACGAGTTGACCCTTGTGTTGCTTTTGAACCGGCTGATTTTCCATTTCCGAGACGGTAGCAAAAAAAAAATAATTGAATTATTCAATTTTTTATGAACTTCACTTGTTTAGGGCGCAACGAAACGAGACGGATTTTGGCTGCCGCCATGGGAGGTGCGACCTTGTCCTTTTTAGCTACTGAAGCAGACAACCGGACAGTCTTAGACATGGCATTCAACTTCGAAGAGCATGAGCATTATGGACATCTGTGAAGAGGAGAATTTGGTCGTGTGCCCACGAATTTCATGGCAGCTTTAGCCACTATGCTAGGAATGGGCCTTGGCATCAATGCTCGTAAGGAAAAAATTCCATGAAAATTTGAAAGATTTCAATGCAATTTAATAAAATTTTAGAGCGTCCTGTACTGCAGGAAGCATTGGACCAAAGACTGAATAATTAGCTCAGATGTTCCTCTTCGTTGTTGTTGTTGTTGACCAAAGCTGACAAGGTATTTCATTTACTGATACTCTTCTGATCTCTATTGGATCCAACAAATAATAATTTATTTTTAACTAATTATTATGTAACTGCAGTACTAATGTTTGAATAATTCTTCAGAAAAAAATGAAGACCCTCACCAGCAAAACCGTCACTTTGGAAGTCGAGCCCTTCTATTGATCCTGTGTCCACGAGGTGGCATGAAAACTTTCGTCAAGTCTGATGTTCTGGGGCTGAAATTCAACTGGGAAGTGGCTCTCACGTAATTAGGTAATTTGATTTTTGGCTTGAAGCATGACTTATCATTAAACTCGTTTTTTATTTTTATGGATTTCAAACCCGGGGATTGATGGCTCGCAACTCCAAACGTTTTCCTTAATTCTGCTGAATTTATTTTTTATTAAAACAAATCATGATTATTCACTAAAAGTTCTAGTAGATTGGTGCTGATCTTCTCCATGGTTACAGATGCAGCAGACAATGGCCACACACAAGGAGTCTGTTGACTGGTCCTGGCCTCAGGCGGTTGCTGAGAGCGCAAAGTCTGGCTGGCAACTCTGGCAAGTCTGCACTGACAGGTTCGCTGTGGAGCTGGTCTTCAGTTGATAAAATTAATTCAATGGAGAGTGATAATTTTAAAATTCAAGCAATGTATAAGCGCTTGCCTCTCAGTCGCTAAAGAAATATGAACAGTTTAATTTCAAATCTTTTTTAGCATATTTATTTATTTTTTAGTTGTAAAGTATGTTTAATGTTACGCTAAAAAACGTTAACGCATCTGGCGCGGCTATTACAAAAAGAAAACAAAATCTAAAATTGGTTAAAAACCAACTCATTTCTTCTGTGTGGATTTTTTTTTTAGACCAAGTGATTTTCAATTTTACTTAAATAATCACCCTATGATTAATTTATGCTAAAAGCCAAATCCGCATTAAACCTTTTTACGGTTTTCATATTTGTTCCGAGATCAGCATGTCTACGTTTCTCTATATTTTTTTTTTTAAAGCTAGATTTGAAAACATTACAACTTTTATTATGTATTTCACAATTAATAACATTGGTAATGCATGATAAGCAATTTTACTCATTTTATGAGTTAGCTACAATGTTATTAACAATACAAAAAATTGTCACTGCAACTTGCGCAGCTAACCAATCTGCAAACACCATGTGCCACCTTCAACTCCACCAGCGCATCCCCTGAATGTGCAACGAATAATAAATAAATTCATTCTATGTCACAATTAAAATTATTTATTTGTACTATCTCCACAGCTGTTCAAGATTCTTCTCGTAAAATAAGCACTTTTGCATTCGGGCAGCTATTCTTGATAAGCGCCACCCCCGTCAAAATGGAAACATTAGTTGAAATCAAGTTCAGCAGTGTCAGGGTTGAGCAGCACAAGTTCTTCCGCGACCTGCGCATCAGACTGGCCCTCCACCATGAAACGCCGACCACTGCGTCCCCAAAACCCTCCTTTGCCCTGCAGCACCACAGTTTCTCCCACAATCCCAGCTCGAATGCACCATCCTCGGGTTTGGCCTCTTCAGCCTGCGGAAGTGGCATTCCCTTCAGACAAAGAGCCCTGATCCCGAGGTCGGTGACCCTGAACGAGCCTTCGATGTCAAGTTCCTGCAGCACGGGGCAGCCTTTTCCAACCTGCCACAGGGTAGCGTCGTCGCAGGCAAACCTCAGGGTCAGGTGGCTCAGCGAGGGCAGGGCGGAAAAAGCCGACGACAGGGCATTTCTGGGAACGTCTATGTCCTCCAAGCTCAGCATCCTGAGTCCGCCGCCTCGGCACTTCAGCAGTTGCAGGAAACGCTCGCGGTACCATTTTCGAACATGCCGCACACACAACCGCCTATAAATATAAATTTGAAAAATTAAATATTGAAAATTATTTTTATTTATTTTTACTTGATGTCCGGAGCCATGAGGACTTCGAGGAGGAGAAGGTCGATGGTGTTGTAAATGCGCCCTGAGGCGACCACCAAGTCAACCAGGCGCTGTCGAAGAGGCGACGGGATGCTGACCCGACACTCGGTGTGCAAGGCAAGGGTGGCCGACTGGGGCGAAAAGCCGTGCACAGTCTGTCTGCAGGCGATCCGACTCACGGCCCCCTCGAGGACGCTCAGGTACTGGCGCAGGGCCATGTCCTCCAGGGAGAGAACTTCCAAAGTCAAAAGACATCGTCTCGAGCCAAAGTCAATTTTGTCTCTAGTCTGCAACGCAACACACAAGGCAAAAACTTAATTTATTGTTTAGGAAAAAAGTTGATGATAAAAATTACGTTAAAACTAGAAATGAAAAATATTTGTAATAAAAATCAAGAAATTCTAGCATATATTGGCCAGTTAAGTGGTAAAAAACGTTATTTTTTGCTTGATTATTCATTCTGATATTCTGATGAGAAACTAGATAAATCGATGTTAAATTGTTATACGTGATTTCAAAACAACTTTTTATAAGTGATTTTTATTTTTAGCATCAAGTTTGTCAAAATACAATAAAAATTTAAAAAAATTTCTCCTTCTGTAAAATGCAATATTATTTTTGTTAACGAGGAGAGTCGCATAATAGAATTTATTGTAAGATATATTTATTAACTTTTATGCTTCATTAATAATATTTCATTGTTTTTAGTTTTTAAAAGAAAAAAATCCAGAATTTGGTTGAGCAGCAAGGCCTGTTCAATAGTAAAACCAGCGTGATTTTTTTTCTTAAAAATTGTGTAACAGTCACTTTTCTGGTGTTCTGCGAGAATTAATGGAAAAGCAGAGCAAAAGCTAAAATTAATTTTTAATTTAATGGATTTTTTTATTTTTAGCATCGAATTGATAAAGCTCCTGTAATAAAATAATACAAATTAATGCCTTCCGTGCAGTTCGATGGCAATCATATCCGCGGATTTTACTACGAGTTTGCCAAAAGTGGCCATTAAAGGCCATAAATAGCAATGATTTGCAAACCGGCTGGAGCCGGTTTTCATTATTTCACTAATAGGCCGCCGTTTGTTATAGGTCAGTTGATCCCTTCTTCGCCGGACTGGCTAATATGTATTTTTGCAATTGACCTCGTGGGTCTTGATGGTCAACTGTTGGTGGGCACGTATTCCGTGTACCATGCAAATTTGAGTAAATCGCCTGCTGGGCGATGTTTTCGGTTCCGAGTTGGTGTAAAGCACCGGAATGCCTTAAAATAGCAGCATTTTCAAGGAGCCGGTTTTCCAAGTGCGGAAGAGTCAAGTGATTTTATTGCACCTGATTTTGAGGTGCTGCGGGACTTGCTTTTCTGGTACTGAGGAAGCATTTTGCGAACGCCAGGAGTTGATAACCTTATTGCTTCATTTTTTTTTAAAGCGACAGTAAAAAAAACAATTGTTTTATATTTTTCAACCACCTTTGCACCTTAATTAATTTTATTTCTAATTGAGAGATGGGAAGTGAAGGGATTGGCAATATGTGCAGTTTTCAAAGTCACGGCGTTGGTGTTTTCCAGTTGCATAAAAATTTTCCGTCGTCTTCCTTGCTTTCTATCGTGATTCCCAGTTTATCAACGCGCCGAGTGGTTAAATAAATCGGTCACTCGCGTTATGTGTTGCGGCAATAATAAAATAAACACGAGCTCCATCGAGCTGATTGTGAGTGTGAGTCATGAAAAAACGACGGGATGAATGGCTGTGGTTCCCACACTTTCAGGGAAAAATAGCAGTAATTTATTGGCAAAGGTGATAATTTCAAAATAATTATTTGTAGTTGTTCACGTTTCACGTTCACTACAAAACTCTTTAAAAACAACCTAATTCAATACTTATTTTAATTCTTTCAACTTTTCTCCTTTACCTAAGTATAATTGTTTTACAATTTAAATTTTAAAAATTACAAAACCTCACCGACATTTAAAGTTTTAAATTAATTATTGTATATAATTCAACATGACTGCATAAAATAATTTTAATATATTTTTCCCATTAAATATGGGAAAGGTGAATAAATTGGAAATTTTTTTTAGATCAACTCACCATTTATAGTAAAATTGTTGATTGGGTGCGTGTCGCGTTGAGAGTGCAAGCGATGAGTGCACTTCTTAATAAAGAGGTCATTCGGCCGAGCAGTGCGCTCGGAGGAGCCGGAAAGTGAAAATGAAAAGTGGCGAACCGAAAAGCACGTGAGACTAAACCGCGGGCAAATTAGTCGGGGGGGCTGCGATCACTCCGCATGTTATGGTTAAATTTGCAAATGCGCGCTTCGGCGTTTAATTGCAGCGCTTCACTGCTCGTCAACGACGCACCACTGGAGCATTTTGTTTGTTTTGTGTGGCTCGCGTGACGACACCCGGAATGCCATTTAAGAACACACATAGTCAGCCACACACTGCGGCCGCTGAAATTATCATAGCCGGTGCGTGCGCTGACTAATTGCAAACCAAACATGCACCAAGCAGTGCCGCGACCTTGTGTATCAGAACGCGCGAGTGCTGATTGTGAGAAATGTCGCTATGAGGGTACCACGATAATAATTACCTCCATAGAACAGAATCTGCGTCGCCAATTTTCAAACTCATCTCTTGAGTTTCAATTAGTTGTTTATTTGATAATTGTTTTCATGTATAAGGAAATACGTTCATAATCCTTTTTTCAAGCAATTTAAATATTTTATTTCGAACGACTAAAAATATTAAATTAAATAAACACGCAAATAATAACTATCCAAATACGAGACATTTTAGACATTTCATGACATCAAAATAAATAATAATAATATTTATTTCATTAAAAAAAATTAAATTCAGTTAAAGTTAGTAAGGTTATGTCTACAACTCTAAATTCATGACAAGGTAATAAAAATGGATTTAAAAAAAAAAAATTATTGAAATAATAATTACAATGTTAGATATTTTATTAAATTTTAAAATTTATTGAAATTTTGAAGTAAAAAATGTGTTTCTTTTATCAAATAATTATAGAATAATAATTTTTTAATATTGTTTATTAATGTATTTATTTGAAATTATAATGTAAATATCTGGTAAAAAGGAGGAAGAATTAAAACCTATTTATAATTTTCAAAAAATGGTTAATTGACTGGAGTAAATTCAATTTATTATAATATTTTATTTCTCTCATTTTTACTCCATCTCTTTAGTCAATTTTGTCATTATCATATTTTAAAATTAAGGAAGTTTCCTGACACATTTTAAGCGCACATCATGATTCTAATTTTCATCAACCTTAACATAAAATTGATTTTGTGGTATTCATAACCAACTTATTTTTAAGGAAGATATTATTATAATGATCAATGTTTTGATATTTTCAAAGAATACTGAATAAATAAATTTAAAAAACGATAAAAATATAATTATTAAATTTTACTAACCATAATTTTAATTATAAAATGGTTAAATTATCTTTTAACTTTTACTTAGTTACATGATATTAAAATACTCTTACTTTAAACAAAATTATATTGATATGCGTATTAATGTTTGTGAAAATCACTTATTATAAAATGAAATAAACTCTATGTGGCCGCAGAGCAGCCTAGGTCAACACATAACTCTCCCGTCGTTTTGTTTTCAACTGTCGGTCGCGGTAGCACTAATTGTGTGCGCTAATAAAATTGTCATTCGACGCGTGGCTGCGGTGCCCGTGTTCGCGCGCGAGGACACCTTATTTTATTTTTATCCCGCGAGTGACGCACTCGTCCGATCTACATAATAATGCGGGAAACCTTTCCCAATGACGCATGTGTATATAAAACCAAGCGCTGCAAGACAAGAGATTTCCTCTAGTCATCAGCGAGGGGATCGATCGCATCAGGAAAAAGTACCACAAATATCGGCTCAGTTAAATAAAATGCCCTCCACAGGAATGACTCACGACGCGACGCTGCTTTTCGCACATAAAAATGCAAATATTGTAGTTTTATCCTGAGTCTGCGATCGCCCGTTGACGCACGAGAGTACGTGAATGAAAAGGAAACGATATCGCGTGATCTTCTCATTCATGGTTTTCGGAACGGAAAGAAAAATGTTAATTCTTATGACAGAGGAAAGGAAAAAAATGGATTTTTTTTAATGCAACAGATCGAGTTTTGTTATTATTCGAAATTTGACGTCAGTAAAAATGTTTGGCCTGATTTGATAACTGGATAAATGGACAAATAAACAGAGGAAACGAAATGATAATTTTTTTTCTAAATTCCCTTGACGTCAGAATTTTTTACAAGGAGAACACCAAAATCTTCAATTAGAAATTAAACATAATGTTATTTAATCATTTTAGAATTTTGGTAGGAATTCCTCTAAATATTTGTTTTAATATTTTCTTAAAACTTGAAGTATAAAAAATAAAAACAAAATACAAAAATCCAAGAAAAGTAAATAAAAATAAGTAATGTAATAAATTAGAAATATGATATTTTCATAAAAAAATGTGATAAAAACAAAGTCATTTATGTCTGTTAGTTCACTTAATTGTTAATAAAAGCACAGAGATTTTTCCCAAATAAGGAAATTGAAGAAAAATTAAAAATAATTATATTTGCAATAATGAGCTGTATAAATTATTAGTTTATGTTTGAAGATTAACGATTTCAGATGTATCAACAGGATGCGCAATTGATTGGCCAGAAAGCATAAAAATCACAAATTGATCGCGACGGCGCAGCCTTGATGGGAATTTTATACTTTACACTCACCACCTCGCTAATATGAACATTGTGTGTGTATTATTATTTAGACCAATGCACGAGGCACAATGAGTTGGTGAATTCGGGATTGCCCGCGGCGAGAAGAAAATTCCCTGAGTGACATTTTATCAGCACAAACTTTGTTTCATTTCCTGGTGCACACGCGATTTTAAAGAGGTCTTTACGTGGTTTGCGAGAAAAACTGTGCGAGAAAAACTAGGCTTTAAAGATACCAAAATTTTACTCTTAATTAAAAAATTAATTTTAAATAAAAAGGAAATTTTACCTTTTCGTGCCACAAAAAAAATATAAAAATAATAATAAAAAAAAAAATAAAAAAATAAAAACAATTAAAAATTTTATTATTCCCATGTTATATTATATTATTTTTCACAAATCAGGCAAAATATGAACGAGAAAAAAATTGAATCAAGGTAATTTGAATAAATTAGAACAATTTCTATCGTGCTTTGAAATGGAACTGTTTCAAAAAAAAAAGTATCAAAATGACTTGCAATTATTGTAAATCAAAACAACTCGTATTTTAACCGTAAGATTTCATTTGCTATAAATAAAAATTAGATTTCAATTGTGCTGGACCATAAAAAAAAGTGATGCAAAAACTGGTCCATCGCGCGAAGAAAGGTCGTTGTTGTGTTACTCGCTCGCAACGGCGAGCGAAACAACTACTCTTGACCCGAATTTGCTCTGAGCATCAGTCGCGGTGCTCGAAACCGGCGAGATCTGGTCCGGGTGGGGGCCGTCGATCGGCACCCGGACTTCCGAAGACTCTCGACAGGGCCGGCGCAGGTGCGCGGGGTTGATCTCGGGACGGCTGCGGGAATCCCAGCGGGCAGGACGTGCGGCCGCCAGCTCGGAGGGATTTCCCTGGCCGGCGTGGCGGGGAGTCGAGAGAGCGGCCGTCCGCGCCGAGCGATGGCCGCGCACAACCAGACGCGAGAGTAGCATGCTGGCTCTGTCGTCGGACGGAGCCAACCCTTTGGCCGGACTGTGCCGCGTGTGCGCCGCCGCCGACGAACCCGTCGCCAGCATCTTCGGCCACGACGGCGTCCGTCAACAGTTGCGGCAAAAGATCCAGGTCTGCCTCAGGATAATTGTGAGTTTTTTCAAATTTAATTTTGAAATGATCAGCATCAGATTTTTTTTTTATATAGACTTCAACATGGGAGAAAATTATCATCCTAAAGTCTCACAGTAAAAATAAGACTTTTATTTTGAATATTTTTTCTAGATTATTATTATTATTTTTAAAATTAATTTTATTACTTATTATTTCTTTTGAATAATACAATATTTTGCAATGCAAAATTTTTGATGAAGCAAGAAATTGATATTTAAAATCAGGAAAGTTTTCTTAGAAAAAATTTCGCTACAATTAACGTTTAATGAGTTTTTGATCTTGGAAGTTTTAGCACAATCCTGCTAGTGGTGATGCAGTTTTGTCCCAACAATTTTCATTTCTTTTAAGTGATTTGTTTTCAATAATTGAATTGAAAAGTGAAATTATCAAAAGGATAAACAAGAATAAAAAATTTACTGAAAATGGAATTTTTATAATTTATGATTTTAAACAAGATTCCCCATTAATGCGCTTGAAAATTCTAATGATTTTTATTTGTCAATAAGAAAAGTATTAAGTTAAAAACATATTTATTATTTAAGAATATTGCAGCTTCAATTTAAATGTTCCTCCTCCATATTTCTTATAATGTATAACTTTTAATATACAAATTTTATTATTTATAAAAAAATATAGCCAAAGAGAAACCTTTAAACTTCAATTTTTTTTAACCAATTTCTTGATTAAAATGAGAAAGGAGTACAATACATAAGAATTAATATCAAGAAACGGAAAATTTCAGAAAATTATTGGAAAAAATTGCACAAAGCGTGAAAAAATTATTCTAAAATTTGTAAGTGTATATAAAAATTTTATTTACTTCATAACACTGTTGCAAACAAGTGGCTGCTGCATGAGATTATAAAAACTTTAATACCGCGTCTTAAATGCAACAAATATCAATTTAATTTAATTGTGACTTCACTTAAAAATTTAACAAGAGAAACAGTAATATGGTTTTAAATCAAGGAGTCACAAATTTTTGTTGCCAGCCTGGATAGGATGCAATCATTTTGGTTCAGCACAGGAAATTCTTTATCTTCATGCTACAGACATTGATACAAATCAAATGGTCTTAACAAAGTCACAGAGCAGACCAATAAAATGCTGACTGATAAATAACCCATGTTGAAACATTTCTCTCCCCTACAAAATGGCTAACGATTTAATGAATTTAAAAAAAATTTGAACGAAAATCAAATAAATTATGATTAAAACGGTTTGAAAATTTTTAAAATGAGATTATTTTCCCTCAAATGATTCAAATCTCTAAAAAGAAATTGAAGGTAGAATTTTAGAATCTTATTGACTTTCAATATTTATTTCTTATGACTATGGATTCCGAAAACCGCAAACTTTTCCCATTTCCGAGAATGGACAATGAGCTCATCAAATGTGTCGCACGTCGCGCGAGAGCGGGACAAATTGTGAAACGCGAAAAGTCAATTGAATTCGCTGCTTAAGCGAAAGCTATTAGGCCGGCCGTAAATTAAGAGCGCTCTTCGCTTTAATTAGGCGACATGTGCCTTCAATAAATAAACACCGAGTGTCACATTTGGCTTTCCGTTGTTGTGCATATCTGAGGCGGTGATTCACTCTCAAAGTGCTGGATGCGCCAACGGAGAAGACACCTGCTGCTAAAAATAGGCCGCGCTCGCACTGACTAATATGATAGGCCCAATCTTTACCAAAGCTTTCGGCTACCCTATTTGGAAGCACGTTTATTCATTTTACAATTAGAGTTGTTCAACTTCAGAGATAAATCAATGTTAAATGTGGTGTTTTTTCAATTTTCTGATTTTTCTTGATCATGAAATAGGGTTGCAGAATAAAAAAAAAGTTTCTGCAACTCGTAAAAGCCCGATCTCTTAATTTCGATAATTCAATTCAAGTTTGGGAAATTTTACAAAACAAAAATCAACTTCAATCGAGTTTTAATTTGCATCTGCCTCTAAAATTATTTCTGACTTATATTCTTTGTTTTTTAGCGTAAAATTTGGGCAAAATAGTTAAAAAATATAAACGTGCGATATTGATAAGTGCAAATAAGCAACCAGAATTTATAAATTTATAAAAATGTCGCAAAAACTGGCAGAATTTATTAATTCCAGTGTGCTGGTAGAATGAAAAATGGAGATTATTTAAAATGGCTTTTGCTTCTTATCAGAGCAGTGCTTGGCGTTGATCGATGCTTCTTTCACGGATGCAATATAAAAAATTACTGATTTCAGCAGTTGAAAAGTTGATATAGGGCCGGAGATAAGGCGTTTGGGAAATTCCAAAATGAGACCGACAATTTATATTTTGCATCAACAGGTCGACGAGACTGATCTCTTGCCAAACACGCTGTGCGGCCCTTGCGCGGCCAGACTGGACATCAGCTACGAGCTGGTGCAGAAATGCAGCAGGGGGCAACGCGAGCTGCGGAGGAGACTCGAGGCGGCCGGCGTCGCCACACTGGTGAGTTCAATGCGCGAGTCAATCTTTTTTTGTTTTAAATTTCTTTTTGGATTATTATAAAATGGAGCCAAATTTGTAGGAACTGAAAACGGGGAGCAAAGACTGTGAAGACTCTGACAGCAATTCGTCCCTGGGTCCTACTTATGCCACCCTGGAGCCAGTGGACCCCGAGGGAATGGAGGCAATGGACTGCAGTGCCAGGTATTCAACTTTTCAACAGTCAAGCGTAGAAAAAAACTTATGCACTTTAGAGAAGATAATTTTATAATTATTAATTAACCAGCTCCATGAATTTAAATTAAATGCACCAATTTATTTATGCATATAACTCCCCAAAACGTCACAATATTCAATCATTTTTAATAAATATTAGCATAATTTTTTTTTAAAACATTACAATTTTCAATTTAAGTGTAATTCCTAACTTTTAGAACATCTAAAGAGAAGCTAATGACATCTACACCGTAAATAAAACTGACCTAATGATTTTATTTTTCTGAACTGGGGTGATGTGAACGTGATTTGGTAAAATTTTTATCAATTTTTATCAGGCAAATTTTAAGGAAAAAAATATTTTAGAAAATTCCCTGAATGTTTTAAAAAAATTCTATTCTCCAGATAAATTCATTTTTTCAAATAATATCTCATTGGAACTAAACGTAAAAAAATCAATGCTAATGTAGAGAAAAATTATCATCAAAATTTAACTCGGGCAGTTTTTGTGTGCTCATTAACTCTGAATGTTAACTTTTAGATAATTGCAATGAGCATAATAATTATTATATTAAAATGTCTACTCACCGAAATGTTGTTAATTTTCTTCTTTCTGTAGTTCGTCTGGTTGGAGTGGCAATCTGAGCGTACTAGTCGAAGCGGTGGAGCGGCAGTCGCGGTTGGAGCCGCTGCCCTCGGCAAGTCGCGCGACCAAGGAGCTGGTCTGCGAGTTCTGCAACAAGGTTTTCCACCACACGGGCGACCTCAACAAGCACCGCCGACACCACACTAAAGAGAAGCCGTACCACTGCGAGCAGTGCGACAAGAGTTTCTCGCATGTCAGCAATTTGCTGAGACACTCGAAAATCCACTCGGGCGAACGGCCCTTCAAGTGCGATTCGTGCCAAAGAAGTTTCAGCCGCAGCGACAAACTCATGAGTCACACGGCCAGTTGCTCCCGACGCAAGTCGCATTGACCACTGGAAAATTGAAAAAAAGTGTGCATTAATATTTGTGTGCTGCTCTTGTGTTTGGAAAATCGGAATTCTTGAAGGAATTTCCAATCCACTCAATTTATTACTATTATAAAATCATTTTTTATTAAGCAGGCTGGTATAATTTATTAGCCGTTGGTGTTTTCATACCAAAATTTTGATTTTTTAATTTTGAAAACCTTCAAATATTATTATTTTGGTGAAAATTTTAATGTTTCGTTAGTGGATTTTAACTTCCCTGAATTATTCCTCATGTCTTACAATTAAATGTGGACAAAGATTTTTTTGTACTAATTGTAAGTACCAAAAAATACAGAATTGTGAGATTTGACTCAATAATAATTACCTCATTTGATGCTGGTTTTCAATAAATTCAAATAATATGTGGCTCATCAAAAAAGAAAAATTTGATATACGCAAATGACCAATAGGTTGAAACATATAATTAATATTGTGCATAATTCCGTAGTCAATGAAACAAGCTGTGAACCTTGACATTAGTTTTTAACAAATGCATTGGAGCTTCCTATGTAGCGGTTTTGATCTGATGTAAGTAAATAAGAAGTATTTTAGCTCAAAGCTGTAAATTATATTTGTGTTAAAATAAACCGATGCTTTTGTTTTCATAAAGCAAGAACTGGAACTTTAATTATTTTTCATGCATAAACCATCACATATAAGCATCTTGTTGGTAATACTTTCAAAAGCCCTTCACTCGGGGAGCATAAGTTTGTACTCAGTGTCTTCCTGCAGGGGCCGCTGCAAAGGATGGGCCAGCAACTTGGCCATGCAGTCGTGCAACTTGGTAGGGTTGCGGGCTACGTTGAAAACGTAAGAGGTCGGCAGGCTGAGGTCAGCACACAAATCATTGAAGATGCTCTGGCAGGTTTCCTTGGTCTGCTCATTCAGGGGCTCGTGGACGTAAATGAGATCAAGGAAAAAGTACGGAGACTTCATCAAGGCTGTGGCAGAGCTGCTAGGCTCAAGAGTAGGACGACAGTTGGTCCTAAAATTACAAGTGTTTTATCAATTAAAAATATTTTGTTACAATAATTGAAGCCTCACCTGGCATAGATGCAGATGACTCTGTAAATGTAAGGGGGAATATCGTTGCCTATGTCGGCAACGTGTGGCATCAAAACCTTCTCGTTCACAATGTTGAACATGGAGGTGAGGTTCCATTCAGGTGGCTGCTCCCTCGTCTTCAAAGTGGCCATGGTGTTGGCAATGTCTGTAGGTGAGAAGGTGAAGTCCAAGAGCCAGGAGGCACCGTCCTCATGCAAAACCATCAAAGCGTACTGATGCTTAGAATTGACGGTCATCTTGCAGAACATGAACATCTGGACCACCATTTTCACCATATTCAAAGGGCTCTGCTTTGTGCCATCGCAAAACCTAGAATATGCATGATTTTGAATTATATTTTTCTGATTTTCTATATAAAACTAACCTGAAGGGATCGCCATTTGAATCGGCACAAATATCAAGGCAGATGATGATCCTCTCAGGAACATTCACACTGGGCAGTCTCAAAGTTTTGTTGGTGTCAGACAAGGTCTTGTTCAGCTCTTCTTCAGGCTCATTATCATTTCCTTGACTGTTATCATTTAAACCAAACTCAAGAGTGTCATTGTTCGCGATGCTTTGTTTCCCAGCAGGCGTATTTTTTATCATTTCAGATGATCCACCAACGACATCGTCATCCATTTCCTGAGGGATTTTTTAGAGATGATTTCAATTAATATTTTAATTCGCTAATATAACATGAATGAAAATTTATTTACTTACGGAATTTTTTATCTGCGACACTCTGCTAGTTATTTGGTAATGGTAAATCCGCCTGCGAAGTGCGAATTAATTCAGCTCCGCGCGGTCTTCCAAAAACTCCTAAAGAAAACAAACATTTGAAATTTGGCGCCAAAATAACCAGTTCTGTGCTTGATTTTAGCGGTTGAAAAATGTTAAAATTGGTTAAAATATTTCATATCATACCTTTAAATAAAAATATAATTCATCTGAAAATTTTTAAATATTAAATTACAAATTTTATAACTAATTTTTTTGAAGTTTTTGACAGCAAAAATGAATAACAAAAAATTTTTGAAAAAAACAAAAGAGCAACGTGACGCGGTGACGAACAAAATTTGTTGTTGACAAAACACGCGAAGTGCCGAGAAACTTTCCAGCAAGCGCCTAACTTTGGTCGATTTTCATAATTTAGGATCGTGACCACGGATTCTGATCAAAATGCACGCCCTGCAAGAATACTCAAGCAGTGACGAAGAGGGCGAATCCGCCAAAGCAACGAAGGATTCAACGTCAAAGGCAGACGTGGACGCCCTGGCACATTTGAAGCCCATTGACCCTGAAGGGGAAAAGTACTCTCAGAAAAGCATGTTGCAAATCTGTGCCGCTCCAGACGTCATTCCCCAAGTAATCGTTAATTTTAAAGCTAATAAGGCACAAACTGACAGTGCAATATTTTTTCCCAGGGCACTCAAGGCGACACAATAAGGCACATCGACGTGACGACCAAAGAAATTTGTTACAATCCAAAATTTGAAGAATTGTTTGCACCTGCCGTTGGCCCAGATAATCCCTTCAAAAGTGACCTTCAGAAAGCAAATAAAAACATTCTGTCGGGTTTCGTGGAAAAAGCGCACATGAGCGACTTCCAGTTTGAAACTCAGCGTCGAACGTTTCACACTTACGGTTAATTGATAGGTTTTTTTATTGCTCGGGTAATAATTTTTGTACAAAGGATACGCATTGGATCCTACTGTGAGTGGCCAGCCTGATGATGGCAGGAGCTTTGTGGGTGCTTCCGACTTGGCTGAGGAAAAAAGCGGCCTTACGACTTTCGAGCCGACCGGCCAGAGGCCAGGAGACAAGAGAAAAAGAGTGCGAAATGACCAGCCAGAGGACATCGAGGGGTTCATTGGGCCGTGGGGAGGTTTTGTGGATGAAGTCAAAGTTGCAAAGCCTTCAGAGGTTTGTAAATTTTAAAATTTTGTCCAATCGATTTCAATCTTGGTTTTCAGGAAGAGCAAGCCGAACTCGAGGAATACTTGGCTAAAAAGCAAAAGAAGGGCAAACCTCAAGAAGAGAAGGCGTTTGAGGAGAAAGCTGTTATGCACAGTACAATCATTACTTTTAATCCTCTGTATTGGTCCTGATTTTTTGTTTATTTCAGTTTCCGATCCTGTCGACTACCAAGGAAGATCGTTCCTCCATCCACCTCACGATGTCGGAGTCAACCTGCGCTCGGACGCTCCACCCAGTCGTTGTTTCCTGCCAAAGACCCACATTCATTCCTGGACTGGACACACAAAAGGCATTTCTGCCATCAGGTGGTTCCCAAAGACTGCACATTTGCTTCTCTCCAGCAGTATGGATGGCCGAGTCAAGGTTTGTTCTTAATGACTTATTTTAGCTCTTTCAATAAAAATGTATAATTTCTCCAGTTGTGGGAAGTGTACAATGAGAGGAGATGCATCCAAACGTATTACGGCCACAGACAGGCTGTTAGGGACATTTGCTTTAATGCTAGCGGCACAGAATTTCTCTCAGCAGGTATTTTATTTATTTATTTTTTCTTTTTTCAATGAAATTGAATAATATTTTTATTATCAGGCTATGATAGATACATCAAGCTTTGGGATACAGAGACTGGAAGAGTCAAACGTCGCTTTAGCAGTAGGAAAATACCTTATTGCATAAAATTCCATCCTCTGCGGGAAAAGCAGCACTTGTTTGTTGCCGGAACTTCCGATAAAAAGATTATCTGTGTAAGTATTCATCTAATTATCATGTAGCTAAAATTTTTACAAACTTTGGCAAATTATTATTGTAGTGGGACACTCGATCTGGAGACATTGTTCAAGAATACGACCGACATCTGGGTGCAGTGAACACGATTACCTTTGTAGATGACAACAGACGGTTTGTCACCACCTCCGACGACAAGAGTCTTCGAGTTTGGGAATGGTAAAATTTTTTGTCGTTAACATTTTTAGCAGAATATTTATTTATCCTTGCAGGGACATTCCCGTCGATATGAAATACATTGCCGATCCTTCGATGCACTCAATGCCTGCCGTCACGTTGGCTCCAAATTCCAAGTGGCTGGCTTGTCAAAGCATGGACAACAAGATTGTCATCTTCTCTGCGCTCAATAGATTCAAGATGAACAGGAAGAAAACCTTCACTGGGCACATGGTTGCTGGTTACGCTTGCACCCTCGACTTTTCTCCCGACATGAGGTTTGTTGTTCAAACTTAAATTTTGGTTATCAAAATAATAATTACTTGTTGATTTAGCTACTTGATATCTGGAGATGCTGACGGTAAATGCTATGTTTGGGATTGGAAAACCACCAAGCTGTACAAGAAATGGAAGGCACATGACAACGTTTGCATAGCATGTTTGTGGCATCCGCACGAGCCTAGCAAAGTGGTCACCGCTGGCTGGGACGGCATCATCAAATACTGGGATTGAATTCCTTGTGTATATAATTTAATTTTTATGCAGTTCATCTATTTTAAATGTGGCAAAATAAACAAAATAAAAATGTAATTCGTATAAAAACTCGAGGCATTTATTTAGCTTATCAAATTTATGTAAGAATAGTTCACGAAACTTATTAATTTCCCCTTGCAAGCAACAAGATCTTGAAATGAGATGATCAATGAATCTATTTTTTAATCAATTAATCGTTAATTTCATAAGCTGGCAATCTCACAACTTGTAACCGTATCCGATTTAAGCCACGTGACGCAGGGGTGTAAGCAGAGCTACAATCAATATTCCTCCCCCAGCGCGCAGCTAATCAGAAAGTGGTGTGCGCCGCAGGTTGCCTAGTAGCGCAGGCGCCCACCCTCTCTTGTGCGGCCAGCCAACATCACCACTCGTAAAACTTCCAGCGGGTGCACAGTCGGCTGCATGCTTGAGGAATAAAAATGGCCGGAATACGGCCAGAGGCCAACCTCGGCTATGCCTACCACATGCCCACGGCGGGGCTGTGTCTCAGGATACGCAACGCCCTGTCGCAGTTCAGCGACCTGTTCAGCGAGTTCAACAAATATATCGCCCCTGCTTACCACCATGACCGCTGCGAGAGGTGAAGAGACTTTTCTTTTGTTTTCGAAAAAAAGGGAAAACAACTTGCATGCTTATTTATTAAGATTAGTCATTTAAAAATCTGGTAATTAATTATTTTTGTTTTTGTCCATAATCGAAAGAAAAGAAAATATTATTTTGTGTCCGATATTTTATTTATTTTTCGTTATATAATATTTTTTTACTCCAGTCAGTTATTTTACTATTAATTGGATCATGGATCATATAATGTGGATACAATCAATTTCAGATCTGTGCAGATGCGCCTCTACACAATGCACAAGAGAGAATTTGTCATGGTCTTTGTGGCGTTTTTCGCAATCTTTGGTCTCGGCGTCTTCATTGGAATTGCTGGTAAGCGCAGTTCGCCAATCACCTCTACTTTTGCCCAACCGGCACCACCTATGTATGGTCTTTAAAAATTTACGCTCGACGGGCGCGTTTTACGATCGAGCCCCTGAAGCATGCGTAGCTAGGCAACCGGCATGGCTCGCGCGCTTAACAATAAGCCTAGCTCTGTGGGTTTTATTGAGGAGCGGAGAAGCGCCCAAATTAAGATTGATTGCTTTTTTAAGCGCAGTCAAAAAATGCAAGAATTGTTAAAAAATAGTTCAATAAAAAGTTCGTTTTTAATTATAGGCCCACCGATAACCCACACGAGCGTCCAGCGGTCGAGCCAATTACTGCCCAAAGTCAATAATAGCGACATCAGCCATGGGCCTTTTGTGATGCGCACTCCCGCCCTGACCACATATTGCCAGCAGTTGTGGGTCATTGCCAAGATGACAACGGCGAATAAAGACGGTGACTGAATTTTCACATCTCAAAAGTTGTTTTTATTTAATTATAAATTAAACTTCCAGACGAAACTTATGATAAGAGTTTCCACATGAGCGTATCCATCGAAGGCGTCACTGCCGATCACAAACCCCTAATTGTCCTGAGAGAGGACCAAGCGCACAACAGGTGAATAATTTTTAAACAAAATTCCGCTCTTTGCTGAGTTTAATTTCAGAACGAGACACGTCCATTGCCAGAGGGAAGAGTGCGGCGACTTTATCGTTTTGCACCTTGGCTTCCTCGACTACACCCACTACATTTTGACTGTCCATTTTAACGGGCTTGAGAGCTTCCACCAGAGATATAATATTAAGGAGGTTTTCTTTCATGTAATTTATCCAATAATTATACACACGCTGAACACATTACCTAAATTTAAAAATTTTTACAGTTCAAAACATACAACCCAGATTTTACGCAGTTGGAAATATGGTTTCGAATAATTTTTCTGCTAATGACATTTGCAGTTGCGGTAAGATAAATTGATTTACAAATTTTTTGATTAAATCAAATATTACAGTGCTGGTTTGCCCACGCTCTTCGAAAGTACACGGTTTATGACTGGTCAATCGAGCAAAAGTGGATGTCGGTTTTGTTGCCCCTTCTTCTGTTATATAATGGTAATAAAATTTCAACTCGTAATATTAAACTATTTATTTTAAATTTGTTATACAGATCCAATTTTCCCCATGACCTTCTTATTCAACTCGTCCATACCTGGATCGTTAGATGCTATTTTCCAGGCGACTTTTCTTTGTGCCTTATTGCTTTTCTGGCTGTGCATCTATCATGGCCTGAGACAAGTACTTGATTTAAATTTGACAATGACGATTTTTTAATTCCATTTAAAATTAGAACGAGAGACACTTCCTCACTTTCTACCTGCCAAAACTTCTGATTGTTGGCATGCTCTGGTTATCGGCGTTGGTAATGGGAATTTTGCAAAAGTTCAACGAGTTACGAGACCCGACCTATAGCTACAAAATAGACACTGATAATTTCTCTGTAAGTTGAAATAAAAATTAAAATTAATTGAAGAGTACTAAATAATAATTTATTCTTCCAGAATTTCAAAGTGTTTTTCTTTATTGTCGGAGGATTCTACTTGTTCTATCTGCTGTACTTAATTTTGAGAGCCTACACGGATCTAAGAGCGATGCCATTTTTTGGTATATACTTGAATTATTTTGAGTCATTCAGAGCCATTAATGCCTATTTAATTTTTAAGACATGCGGCTGAAATTCCTAACCCTGCTGATGCTGATTGTGCTGAGCTTGAGTATTACAATAACCGTTCTCCGCTTTGGCTTTGGAATTTTGGAGGACAATTTTGTCGCCGAACTATCAACAACTTACAAAAACTCTGCCGAGTTCATGTCCTTTTACGGCCTCCTCAACTTTTATCTCTACACCATGGCTTATGTCTACGCGCCATCCGAAAACACCGTTTTTGGTGATAATTTTTAAAAAAAATTCCAAATTATTTTACATTTTACATTTGACAGATTCAACAATCACGAAAGACAACCCTGCTTTCTCAATGATAAACGACAGTGATGAAGAGGTGGTGTACGGGTCTGATGAGGAGTGCAGACAGCCGCTGACAAGGAGCCACGATGATGACAGCGACTGAACGCGTTTCATAATTATTAAATATTTATCAGTCGCCCGTGTTAACATTGTGTTAATCTTGAATGTGATAAATGTCAAGTAATTAAGTGAGGCTGTTAAAAATAATTTCATTTTTTCTGTCATGACTTTTATTTATAAAATATTCAGTTAACAGCTCTATAAAAATATGACACTTAAAACAACAGTCAAATTTTAAAACCGATACATTTATCAAGTAAGATCAATTTCATATTATTTGTAAAGTACACTTTCAGGTTACGTTAGATTGGTAACTTTGTGATTTTTAAATCAACGACTGAAATTCTCCCCTTTTTTCTCTCACAAAATACACATAATCATAACATGCATTAAAAGTTTGTACTTTAAATTTTAAATGTGCATGCTAGTAAAATGCTAGACTCTTGGTTCACAGCTAGATAATAATAATTATCTGTCTCACCACTGTCCGTGTGTTCTGAAGAATGAGATCAACACATAATCTCATATGTTTCTATAAATTACATTGATTGTAACGTGTATGATACACTTAAAGAATGAGCAAGAATGTTATTATTTACTTTAAGTGTTAAAGTCATGAATAAATTACTAGAAGTCAAAAACCCTGAAGCCCGCGCGAGTTTAAATGCTAATTGTAATCACTGCCCAAGATTAGTCCATATCTGCGTAGGCCTCGGCTTCTTTTCGCGCCTCGTCATCGGAGTAAGCATAGTCGTAGCTGTCATCTGGGCCATCTGGGGACGAGGGTTCCTCCATCACGAAATTGCTCGATGGCATTCCCATGCTTAACATGGAAATGTTGCTTCTGAAAATTAAAAGATTCTGATCTATTTGACTCTAGCGCAAAGGAAAAATTTATTACGTGCTAGGTTGAGGTCCGTACAGCTCATCTAAAATTGCAGAGGAGTTCTCGACTTGCAATTCGGCAAATATTCTGCCAATACAGACAACAAGCATATCTACGTCCTGGGTGGTTATGCAGAAGGGTGGCATGAACGTCAAAATATTATTGTGGAATCCTTCGTTTGCGACGATTACATTATTCTCCTTTAGCCTTTAAAGAAATATTTTGGGTTTAAACATTTAAAAATAAATGCAAAATGAAAATAAAATACCTATATGATATTTTTTCCGCTAGTGTTGGATCTGGTTTACGAGACTCTTTATTCCAAACAACGTCTACTCCTACGACAAGACCAATTTTTCGAACATCGCCTGGGAAAAATCAAATTCAACAAAAGAAGTAAACACAAACTGAGAACCAACCAATAAAATAGTGTTTATCCTTGAATTGGGTCAATTTTTCAAAAAGGTAATCCATACTTTGCAGGCCACTTTGCACCAATTGCTCTTCTTCTATAACTTTCAGAACCGAGTTTGCTATTGCAACGGCAACTGACTCGCATTGGTACTGTAAATATTATTATTAAAATTCAAGTAAGTAAAAAAATAAAATAAAACTTTGGCCAAGAAAATACCTGCTTAGACCAGTTTGGCAATGCTTCCGCTATTTTCCGAGATGTCACTACTACTGATAAGGGGTACCCATTTCCTATTGCCTTTCCAACAGTGACAATGTCAGGCACAGCGCCTTGAGTTTGAAATCCCCAAAATTTGGGGCCACATCGTCCGAGTCCAAGTTGGATTTCATCTGCTATCACAAGTGCTCCCAGACTTTTGATGTAACTAAAAAAGGAGTCAATTATATTAAACTTTCCAATTATCTCCATTCACTTACTTATAGATATTTGCAATGTAACCAGGCGGAGGTATAACCATTCCCTGAACCATGAACACAGGCTCTGATAGAAAACAGGCAAGCTTCAAGAATATTAAAATATATTTTAACATATAAAAAATAGTGCAAACATTATTACTTCTCCGCCTTCAATGATTCCCTTTTGAATTGCGACTTTGGCCTCTTCGAAATATTTTTGAGCAGCGTAAATGTCATGCATGTGCTTTCCTCGGTAAGTGTCGGGCAGTGGAACGACGGTGACCCAGCTTGGTTTGCCTGATTAAAATTCATGAATTAACAATTTATCAGTCTTAAAAATTCGAGTGTATGTCAAACCAACCAGCTGGCAGCATTCTAAACGTTTTTGGGCAAATCTTGGTGAGCATTTCAGAAGAGCCGTGAAAGGAATTTTCCATGATGGCCACCGATTTTCTTCTCGTGTAGCTTCTTGCTAATTGGACAGCCAAGTCGTTGGCTTCGCTTCTGAAAATTTAAGATTCATATAATTTTTGTCAAAATTTAAAACACAATCTTTCCTTACCCCGAATTTGTAAATAGGCATACTTCAAAGTTTGATGGAAGAGTTTTGAGCAGATTTTTGGCGTACTGTTCGTGCTGCAAGTTGTCCTGGATTGCACCAAGTGTCTGCATCATCGAGCGACCAGCAGCAACAACACAAGGGTGGCAGTGCCCAACTTTGTTTGGACAAATGTTAGTTTAATTTTTCATTAAAATAAAAGACATTTTTTACTACCATTTGACAATCTTGTTGCACAGTCAAGGTACTTGGTGCCCATCGAGTCAATCAGATAAGCGCCCTCCGAGCTCATGATTTTCAGAGGGCTTTGGGTGTAGTGCAGTTGACAGGACTCTCTAAAAATAGAGGAAAAATATTAATTACACATATATATTTTTTATTATAGTAAGATACAAATTTAATTTGTAAATGCAGAAAATGTGGTGTAATGTGGAATTGTATCAGTTGTAAGATTAAATTCTTTAATTTTCAAAGTGAAAGAAAAATTGTGATATGGAGAATCAATTCACTTAGAAAAACGCGTTTTTATCTTTCCAGATTCTTTCATAACATATATGATTACGTAGTCAGCGCAGTTCTTTAAAAAAAAATCAGAAATATATGTACAAAATTATTTTGTGATAATTATTATTATTGATCTTTATTTTGATCTTTGAAGGCAAAAAAAGACGAAATCAATGAATTCATGCGAATGCAAGTGAACATTTTAAGAACTCGCATAGACATCATACTGAAAGTACAGATGTTTTTAACAAGAAGACTTCTTGGTTTTTAAAGAGATAAATATATTATATAACTAAAAAAATGAGTGGTCCATGTGTGAGCAATGACAACTTGCAAATCTCGACTTTGTTAGAGCCAATTCTTACGCGATATAACTGCGCCTGAGTCGGGCCGTTTCCTCCGTCAGGAGGCCGCCGTTGCTTTTAGCATTTTCACCGTCCATTAAGACGAAATTTCCGGAAAAACACAAGACGAAAGGACTAAAAACACACAAGCGAGATGCTTCTCGTCAACTCTGAAAGTTTGAAAGCGAAAGGTTACATTGAGGGGCGGCGCCTCGATTACGTTGTCACGTGGGCTACTCTTTTGTAAACAGACACAGAAGTCGCCAAGGCACGGACAGGTCCAGACACGGACAGACCTTGTGACAAAATATACTCTCCAGTACAAGGCCGTGCGGTTCTGAATTCAAAGCAAGGACTATTATTTTATTAACTTATTAAAATCAAGTTACATAACAGTATTAAGAGACTTGAGTATAATTTTAATATTATTAATTAAAAATAATTATCAGTCTCATCTTGTTTTTATTTTTTTATTCCAACTGATTAATGTCGGACTACATCGTTATGGTCCTTTCTCAATGGGGTTGCTTATTTCACGTATGTTTAATGCCTTGCCAAAATCAATTATCAGTGCGCCTCACCAGCAAAAGGACTGAGTATTTTAGAGGAGATAAAATTAAACCAAACAGATTTCCACGCTCCGTTCTTTTTATTGCTATTTAGAGACGTTCTCACGGGAAGACAAAATCAATCAAATATCCATGTACAAATAGTAATTCTTTTTGTTTTGCAAAATGTAAAATAAAACAGGATCAATCGAAAAACCAAAATAATGCTTCTTTGCAACATTCAAACTTAACTGAAATTTTGTGGTGTTCAATAAAAATGAGTCACTTCTCAAATGGAGCACCGCAAGTGATGCTGGCTGACAAGTAGGAACAAAAACAATTATAAATCAGCAGGTCTCGGAGCCTTTTTTCATTTGCGACTTTCGAATTACAAAAAAATTGTAGTTTTGAAAGATATAAATTTAATCTGCTCCGGCAAAAATTCTTAACATGTTGATTTGGAAAGCAGTGTGACAGAAATTTCAACTGCGTTTATATTTTTTTTATGTACAAGCATGACAAACATGTATTTCTGTATGATGGGTAGTAATATGCAAAATCGTTGGTTGGTGCTGACTGCTGACAAGTTTTAAAGTGCCATATTTTAGCACGTCCAAAGGAATATCGGTTGAGCAGAGAGTAAATACAAAGGTTGCTTTCTTGATGCGTTCCGTTGTGTCTTCATTTTCTTACAAAATACAAGATTGGCGGGTCCGAGTCGAGAAAATCAATTGATGAAGCTGCGCCGCCACAATTTGAAGACTCGGATCCTCGCTGAACAACAAAATGCAGCTTAGATTTCCAGCGGGAATTGCTCAGGGCCTTCGTCACCACCAGCGGCGACTACTGGAAAAAAAAATTATGTTTAGTCACTCTGGCCAGACGTGGGTGATTCACATCAGGAAAATCACCGCGTTTCGGAAAATAAAGGAGGGAAATTTGTCACGGGAAGTTGATTCACGTGACCATCACGTGTGGCAATCAACCTCTCAGGTGACCCGACCAAAACTTGAATTAATTTTGTTTTCACCTTTCTTGGCAAGACTGCGCACGGGTGACTTTGGTAGAACCTGCTCAGGTGCACCTCTTGTGATGCCAGGAATGCTGGGGAGGTTTCTTGGTGGGGTCTTTGCCAGTGGCGAGTTCCTCATTTGCAGCAAAAACGTTCTGTCGTACACAATCCTGGTACCTGCAATGGCAACAAAGATTTTAATAAAATTGTGATAAAAATAAAAATTTTAAATAATTGGGATTATTAATTTTTAACTTAGAAAATGAATTGAAAAATAATAAAAATCTTTCTAAATTTGGAAGACTCATGATTCATGATGTGTTCCAGAATCCAGGTCAATTATCCCTTGTATTGTTGGGAACCATATTTATATTTATAAAACATCATTTGACATTTTCGGCAAATAATGGCATACTATCAAAATGCAATTGTGTAGAAAAAAAGTAAAATTTTTAGATTTGATGGATGTCACTGTTGCTTTATATTTTTTATTAATTTCAATCTTTGAAACGTAACAATTGTGAAGAAAAAGTTTTATTTAATTTTAAGAATCATCTTTGATCTTAAATATTTACAAAAAAATTAAGCCATTGAAAAATTTAGTTCTTAATAAAAATAAATGATAAAAATGTAAAAATTTAATAAAATTATCGTTTAAAAAAATAAATTTCATTTAACAATAAGTCCAAAACGGACACCACGAAAAAGCTCCATCATTTTTATATTTATTATATATTCTAAAATTGACAGCCAATAATAATAATAATTGTCAACAGAATATTTTAAAGAAATTAATATTTAAATTGTCATTCACCAATATCCCATTACATCTTGAAACTGTTAGCATAAATTGCAAAAGAAAAAAAAAACAGATCGTCTCTGATTACTACGTTGAAACGTCCTTTCAGAAAATAACGTCAGATCATCGTAATTATTGCAAAATCAGAAGTGACACGCAATAAATAATAATATTATTTGTAATGATGAAATAAAGATCAATTTTCATTAAGTAATTTTTTCTTCACTCGAAACTCAATTGAAGATTGTTTAATATATTTTTGCTAATTATGAAAATAATTTTAACCAGAGGTAAAAATAAAAAATAATAATTTGCGACGTTCTTTTTCATGGGAAAATATGTTTATATCTCTTGTGAACACGCACTACTGCCATACTATCTCGGGGAGATAAAAATAATTCCCAGCAGCTTCTGCCAGCCGCGTTGAAACAAACATAACAAAATTTAACTAGCTCGTCGCCGGCACGTGGTTGGCCAAGAATATAATTTAATAAAATGCAAATTTCTGGAGAAGAGAATCAAAACTTCGGTGCTCTAGAGTCGGATTATTTTCCTTTCATCCCCCACCCTTGTCGGCCTCTATGTTTGTAAACACGAAAGCATCCCCTGAAAATGGCCCGACCTGGTCACATGACCGCCTCCATCTTGCTCTTTAAAGAGCTCCATCCGTAATAATAACAATCGTCCGGAGGCCTGCACTGCGGCCCCCGCGGGGGCGGCGGAATGCTCACCTCCAGGCGTGGTCGAGTAGAGGGTGCCTCCGGGGGTGGACGAGTAGTCTATGGGCAGTTGGGTGGCGTCGTTGATCACGACATGTCTCGACGGAATCGACTGGCTCTGGGTGGCCTGTCTCGCGATGGGGGACGCAGACATTTCTGCAAATTTTGGGGGTGGCAGCCGGGGGCGGGACTCGCGGGTCACTTGAGATCACAGCAGCTTTGCTACACACACGTGCCGAATGCCGACTCAACTGGCGACGTCGATCACAGCCTGCTGTGCGTGCTTCGGAACTCCTCAATGGCCTTTGATGTCCGCGGAGGGGCTCTTCCGCTTTCGGTTTCATTCCACGAATCGGTTATACCGGTTTGTTGGAGAACTCCAGCGAAATTCCGGTACATTTCAGAGAAATTTTACATTTATAACATAATTTTTTTCATCGAACCATTCTTAACATTAATTTTTATTCTCAGTTCATAATTATTCAATGTAAAGTAGCTCAAATCTTGCAGAAAATCTATTTCGATTGTTTTGTAAAAACCGGTTTATGATTGTCAACTTAAAAAACCGCTTTATTTTCTCTGCGCAGTTCCTCCCCTCCAATCCCTCTCCTCGGCAACCCCTCCAGCGCCTCGCGGCTGAAACCACTTTACAAAAAAAAATAAATAAAATGAAAATTGCCAACATTACCATTACTTTCCATTGCCCCAGTTAAAATATACTGGAAAAATTCGGTGACATTTTTTTTATTGTTGCCTTGCAATCATTTCACGGTGCTGTCGGGACGAGATTCGCAAGTTGAACTTGACGATTCTGCGGCGTTCTCCTGCGGTGCTAACTGCGTAGTTCCACGGAGTGGGGCCGAAAAAGCAGCGAAATTTTCGCCAGCTTTATTAGCATTATTATTGTGCGCGGCGCGTTTCGTTGTCAGCCAAGGCTCCTTTAGAAGGAGACAAGCGCCTTATGTAAAAAAATAATTTGCGCTGTTTGGTCTGCGATTGATTAGTGTAGTGCCTGATTGAGGCACACCACACGTTCTTCAAGTTGTCTCAGAACTCGAAGCCGGTCGGCTTTTTATTAATATAATTGTATGCGAATCAGAATCTGTGAATGAAATTAATACAAAGAGGGACCTAAGCGGATGTACTAAAGGAGGGAAAAACGACAATCACTTGTGAATACTGATCAGGAATATATTTTTTCAAATTTAAAATTATGTTTTTTATCCAAATAGCTGCAATTACCTTCAAATTAATTCAGTAATTTAAATAACATAATATATTTATTTTTTAAACTACAATTTTTTGTAGCGAAGAGTGTTTTTTTTTTTAAGTGATTCTGTCAATGTCAAACCAAACATTTTTTTCTATTAACCTGATTATATGATTGTCAAAAAAACATTAAATTTGGGAGGCTTGCAAAAAAATCTACGGGCGTCAACACAAAAAGGTCAACTCCGGTTAAAAACAGCATTGTTATCTTGGGATCTTCTTGAGAAATATAAGATTATGCATTCCAAATTCCGCGCACAGCAACCAAAGCAACCTTGCATTATTCAGTGCTCGCATGTTTTGTCGCGTGATCTGTCTCTCTATATTCCGAAGAGAAGAAAAACGCCCATTGCGAACTCTTTTTTTTTACAAAATCGTGTACTGCTTTTTAGGCACCAGATTTTTTTTAGCGTTTCGTGGCGTCAATGGAGCGCGCGGTGGCCGCAGCTGCCGTGGCGATGGGAAACTAAAAGCAATTATCGTGTTTTTCCTTCCTCTCGCCGCGATCCAAAACTTACTACGCATTTTTGTGTAGAATTCCGTCTGCGTGTTTACGGACAAGAACAATTAAAATAGCTAGAACGCAGTTTTTATTTTGGGCAGGTGCTGCATTCGTGGAAATCGCAGCCGAGTCCTGTATAAAAAATACAAAGAAATGAACCAATTTGACTAGTCTTTGCGGAAGATGAACGGCGCATTAAATAAACTTTAAATTTACATAAATAAAAAGATGACTTCTCGTAAATCAAATAAATGCTTTTGTTTAGGGCAATGGAATCATTAATATGTCAAGAGGTGTGAAAAATTGTTTTTTTCTCTAAAGCAGACGTAAATGGCAAACAAATTATTCAAGAGACACAGTTACATAAATTAAATATCACTTTTTGCATTAAATTTTACACTTACACAACAAGTAAATTATATCTCTAAATACTAATACATACATAATCAGCGGAGAGAAGTTGCAAAAAAATCTACGCGACGATCAGATAAATATATTCAAATTAAAGATCACAATTACTTATTAATTTTTAAAGTGTAATGAAAAAATATCGAATATTTTAATGTTTAAATTTATTTATTTAGATTACAATTTGTTATATTTTACGTCCGAAAAGATAAAAAATTTAATCGCATAATATCAGTAAATTCAGAAGTATTTTGACCCTAAAGCTGTAATCAGATTTTGCAATTCTTGAGGGCCAAGTGCTTAACCCTTTAACGAATGCGTTTCGACTTTCGACACAATAAATCTCAATAACATGCCGATCGATTTGTGTAAATTCAGAGGACAAGAACTGCGAGTGTCTCTCTCTCCTTGATTTGATTTTCTCTCTCGTGCGTCTGCGAGAATTCATATATATTTATTTATACAATGAGATTTTTTCCATCTGCCTCTTCGAGTCTCTCTCCGATCGGGTATGACATATGGACATATCTTTCTGCCGGGGCGTGTTTAGTGCGCATAGCAACCCGTGCATTTGAACCGACTGAGCCCGACTGGGCCGCCGAGACCGCGAGTGAGTAGGACGAGCCTTTATTTGGCCTTGGTGCACACAAACGGCACCGAGAGTTCTCCTTCGGAGCCGGTTATGGCATTTACACATATTCACTCGCTGCTTTTACTCCGAGCACAACACACGCATCGGCAAATTAAGTGGACGCCGATATACCTGCCGCGTGTGTGCGTGATCATTCGTCGCGCTCGCCAACGTTGCCAATATTATCGACGTGCAAAAAAAAACTGCCGCCTTCTGACAGCTTCCGCAATTTGATTGTTCTTTATTTGCAAGCGGCTCCGAAGCTAAAGAGCCAGTTTGTTGAGAGGCGGGCTCGGCTAAATGCGCTTCAACAGAGGGCGGCTGATTTTCTGCTTTAGTTACACCGCACTCGTCTGACTCTAAATTTAATTTATTACAAGTCTCATTGTTTAACATTAATTAAATTATATTTAAATTTATTCTGTAATTCAAATTCATAGAAAACCCGTTTATTTTTAAGCCTACCTAGTAACGCACTTAATATGATTTAATATAAATAAATAATTTACGTTTATGCAACTGTTATTATTACTTTAAATAATTTCATTCCATATTAATATTGTTGTTAGAAATTCAAAAATTATATTTTTAGACATCATCAGGCAATCAATCAAAGGCTGCGGCCTTTTGATATCTGCAAACGCTGAAGTGTCAAAAACTGCGAGCCACTGCAAAAATATTAATTGATAAAAATTGCGCGGTCATTTTATTTATGAGACGTTCAAAAAGAGTGATTAGATCTATTTTCACGAAATTTTCAGATTTTTACCGCTTTCAATCCTTTTAATAAATTATTAAAACGTGCAAATATTTTTGTGACTTTTAATTATTACAAAAAAAAGCGTGAAAAACTGTGTTTTCAGCAGCAGCATCATTTCTGCTCGCAGGACGATGATATCAAATGACTTTGAAATGTATACTTAAATTAAATAAAGAGATCTCTCATTACGCACTTTTGTTTTCCCTGCTATTATATTTTCGTCCTTATGCACAGTTCTCTCACACTTTGGCAGGTCAAAGAAACAATGCGTGAAATAATAACGCTTTGAAGTAAAAAAGGCAATTTAGGTGCAAATTTTTTTGCGAGAAAGAAGTGGACGTAAACAAAATTAAATAACCTCCGGCAGGCGCGGCGAACGAGTTGAATAATAAATTATTTGAATTTTCTAAATCATCCGACTAAAACTCCTACGCTTTGACGTCATTTGCAAGTTCGCAGCGCTCTGGAAATCGTAAAATCTTAATGGTCTGTATGAGGCGCAGGCTGGCGTTTTGGTGCGCCACTTAAAAAATCTTGACTGAAATTTTTATTGCAAAGGCAATGAATTAAATGGCGTTGTAAATGAACTTAACGCGCAATTTATTGATTGGAACATAAAAATCAATGAACAATGAGAAGTGATTTAAAAAAAAAATTAACTTTTTCTGCCTTGGGCTGAAAAACTTCCTTTAAAGCGGTTAAAAGAAAGTTTTTAAGAAACCATGCAACTTTACGATTTGAAATCTCAAACTTTTGGATGAATATAAATTGGTAAAGTTGATATTAATACAAAAACGCTAATAAATGTAGCAAGGATTTGCACTTTCAATCTATATCGCTAATTAAACTGCATCCTTTATCCTTTTGATTTCATTCAATACAAAAAGTACGTCGTGAAAGTCTCGTGGCTTATTCATTGCAGAATTGAAAAATTAATGCTCTTGAATGCCCGACACGGAGCAGATGAATTAATTTTTTGCCGTTTCATCAGCCCAAAGGCTTGGTTTTCCGACGGAGAAAAAGATTCCGCAGGTAACGCAAGCTTGCACAATGCAATGTGACCCTCGAGCTGCAAGACGCGACAGCGACGGGTCGCGAACTTTTAACTCCTCCATCGAACAAGAAGTGCAGCTCTTGCAAAATAAGAGTAAATAAGATAGAGATGAGAGACGATTCGAGTGAAAACAGCGCGACGAAAATCACTTTCTATGTCTTCATATTAAGAAAAGACCGCAGAGCGAGTTGGTTGCACTCGGGGGCCGAAAATACAGGGCGGGGTTGCTATTTTCAGAGCCCTCCCTTTCTTTGTGTTTTCCCTCTCGCAGTTCACTTCATTAATCACATTACAAATGCATCCGCCTCTCGAGGGGACACTCGCTTGCTTTGTACTTTTTCGTGTTTTACGTGTGCAATCACGATTTCAAGTCATGATTGTTTCATTTTTTTTCGTTTCGACCCTGGCAAGTGTTGGAGAGGAAGAGAAAAAGCTGAGCGGAGAAGCTGGCTGGACGAGAGCCAATTACTTAATTGTATAAACGCAGGGCATCTCGTTATACTTGCTTGAAAATATGCAAAATATGAACCAACTTGTTTCTCAATTTGCCGTGTTTTGTAAACATTATCCATTGATTACAACTTGAAACAAATAAATCTTTCCATTTAACTGATTGCGGCTGCAGATAAAATAGAAAATTACTAGAATATCTCCCAAGAAAACCGTGTTTTTTGGTCTTTTATTGTGACAATTGATTATATTCTTATTGATTGAATTTTTATTCAAAACATTACATTTCAAAGAAAGTTTATTGATAAAAAGAAAATTATATTATTAATATATTTGTCAATAAGACTTTGAAATAGCAATTTTTTATTTAAATATAATAAAATTTATGTTTTTAATAGTTTTTATTACGTAAAAACAAACTGAAATCAAATCAAAAGTCAATATACCGTGGTTTTTTCTATTAAAAATCCAAATAAAATAATTAAGTCACTATTATACGACTTTTAGCTTCTAACTGCCTTGAAATGTGAAGAAATTGTCGCCGTTTATTTTTATTACTGCCTGAACTTATAAATCCAATAAAATCTAGTTAAATCACCTTGCACCCAAGTTGCATCATCACCAATCCAAATGGCAAAATTAACGGCGCCAGAATGACTGGATAATATTTTTACGACAAAAACCGGAGGAGAGCGATTCAAAATTTAATCGAAATCAATTTCCCCTCTGGGAAAACGTGAGAAAAATTTATCTAGAGTCATCGATGACTGCAGAGCAATTTTAACTGGTTTATTATCAATTTGGTTTTTCGAAACCACATGCGATTTCCAGGAAGCCAACCCGCAAGGTCAGAAACTCCTTTTGTTTTAATTAGCCATGTGCTTCATTGATTGCAAATGTGCCACGGGGCGTAATAAAAATTAATTGCGACTGTAATAAACAAATGGTTATCTTCCGAATTCACACCAAAAGATTCCTAATCTATATTGATCTCTGGAAAAAATTAAGCAGATAAAACTTGACGGCAAAAATTTAAGTGAAAAACTACGCATGGGGTTTTAAACAGAAATTTAATGCGACTTCAGGTGAAAATTGTGCCCAAGACCAGCAGGCGGGCTGTCGTTGATAAGAGAACTATTACGTTTACAGTTCCGAGCGCGCCAAGTCTCGGCCTTGAAAAGCTGCCCTCATTTAATATATCAAAATGGAAAAAAGCTTAGCTTGGCAATTCGTGCATCTGTTCGTTCATAAAATTGCAGGGAAACTTGTTACTTGTTAGTTTATTTTGTTAAGCACTGCGCTCGCCAATGTTGCCCAGCATTATTTTTTTTTATCTCCGCAGAAAAAAATGTGACCTTGAATGACTAGAGGGCTTTCCCATGGTCAGTCACCTCCTATCAAGTAGGGCTTATCAGGGAGGACTTTTTACAAACTAATCATCTAATAATGGTGGTGAAATTTTAATGCTTCCTTGAACTTTTGTCGATGAAGCAGGTTTATGAATAAAAAAATTGAATCCAGTCTTTGCTGATTTAAATTAAAATTGAAGCTCGATTCAGAATAATGTTAAAATTAACATGAATGCACTGTTTAACATTTCAGTATAATAATTTTTATTTTTTCCATTTTTTCCAAGATTTCATTCAGGTTTTGTTGAAAACCTTAGCAATATTATGACTCGGTTAACCGAAAATGGCATAATCTAATAAACAACAAACTATGCAGTGTCCATTATCACAACTTATCTTACCTCTGAAATCCGCCACTAACTATGGGTCTTCCTTCTTAATTTTCTTCTCAAATTCTTCAAACTCCTTCTTCGCAACAATCTCTGCTTCGTCCTCCACTTGCTCCACAGACACAACCTGAATTTGTCATCGATAATTAAAATAAGTTTTGAACTCAAGCCTGTGTCAAACTGTACCTCTGGTATGTAGAACTGGAGCATGTTTTGCACTCCGTTCTTCAGAGTTACCACCGAACTTGGGCAACTAGTGCAGGAACCTTGCATTTTCAACTTGACGATTCCGTCATCGAAACTCTGAAGAAGAAAAATTTCATTATTTATTTAAAAATTGAAAACATAATGAAAAGAATCTGTACCATGAAAATTATATCTCCTCCATCTTCCTGGACAGTGGGCCTGATTCTTGTGTCCAGCAGTTCTTTGATCATCAGAACAGTCTCACTATCATCTTCGCTAGCCTCTGTTGATGACAATTTTTAAGTGCTTTAATTCTTTTTTATGCTTGAAAAAATCTACCTGTATCTGAATTGGGCTTAGTGTCAGTCACAATGGGCAGGTTGCTTGCAAAGAAGTCCATTATGACGGCAAAAATCTCAGGCTTGAGGAGTTTCCAGTCGCTGTCGTCGTCCAGCTTGGTGACTGTGATGAAGTCTGGTCCGAAAAATACTGCCTTGACTCCGTCGATTCGGAAAATCAACTTTGCAAGAGGGGAACAGTAAGCTGCCGTTCCTGATGGAAAGTCCATTGTTTTTCCAGTGCCCAAGACCTGAATTATAAATTCATCAAACTTTAGAGTGTTTCTGATTTAAAATGAGAAGCGAAGCAAACCTCTCGTCCAGGCAAGAACTTCAAGCTGTTGGGATTCGGTGTGCTTTGAGTCTGAATGAACATGCTTCTGAGAGAAGTTCTGTTCACAATTGGGCTGCATCTTGTTGACAGAAGAGTCGATTGACTTTGCAGGTTTCTCGAATAAACGGACGCGTGCCTCGCTGCAGTGCATTGTGTCAAACTGAAAGAAATTTTTAGAATACTTATTAATTTCCAGATATTTTTACAATAAAAAAAAATAAAATAAAAGTTAAATAATTCGTAAGTAAAATAAAATAAAAACAAAAAACAAATATAAACGAGATTACATAATGAAATTGATATTTCCTATAATTTTGACACAGCAGGTTTGAAAGAACGTCCATTTAAAAGCTTTTTCCGTTCTTAAATCTTGACGATTCGAAAATTTGAAATTTGGCTCACCTTTGCGCTTGCAAGCGGATTAAATTTGCAAAATGTTTCCGGCACAAAATTAACAGTCTTGTTTTGGTTGCCATTTTTACGACCACGCCCCTCTCTCTCTTGATTGGCTCCTCAGCCTGATCGGTAGAGGGGTCGCTGATTTTTGGCTAGGCAAGGCGGCAAGTGAATTTGACTTATGCACAAACCGAAAAATGTTACCATGATAAAAATAAATCAATATTATTTGCTTTTTGTTGGAAAAAAATGTGAAATTACTTATGCATTATATAAAGATTTTTATCATTTTTTTCCAGAGTTTATTAAAAGTAAAAAGTCACAATCATTGCATACAAAACTATACATATTATAACAAAATCACTCTCTCCAAACATTCACATTTTAGATTTTGACAGTAATTGCTTTTCCCCCAAACTAAAATCCCTTTGTTTTCACAGTTCATCCTTGGCATTTGGATCTTCTGGGCCGTCAGTAAGTACGCTGTGTCCAGTGTTGAGCAAATCTTCAATTCCGTTCCAGAAGCCGATTCTCTCGCTGTAGAATGTGTCATTCAGAGTCATTTTCTTGTTGATGTCCAAATAATATAGCTTTTGCATATCTGCTGGAGGCCACTCGACTCCAAAAGCATCGTTGCCCTTGGGAATAGGTTGTCTGTAAAAATAAAATTTTATTATTTTTTCGTCTCCTTTATAATTTTTTTTACCCATAATTAATAAAGTTTTTAATCATCGAAATCAAATTTTGAGCCACTTCCATCTCTTTGCTTCCGTCTTTTGGAGCAAATCTTCCACCATCGTCCTTTGGTATCATGTACTGAGTATCGTCACCCTGAGGAACTCCTATACATGTGTTCATTTAATAATTTCAATTTCCATTTAAAAAAAAATCACAAACCAATGGCAATTCTGTTATTTCTGTTTTGGAATGAAAAGTGGTAGACATAAACTGGCGGAGACTCGGCCATGATGTGCATTGCGACGCTTTTCACAAGAGGCATGAAGTAATAATAATCTGTGTGAAGCTAAAAAAAATTAAATTATTTTTTACTGTCATGAAATATAATATTGTTTATGGTCAATTTACATTAGCCAGTTGTAATTGAGACCCCATTCCAAAAGACGCTCCCTTCATGTAGAAGTCTCTAATCAGTTTGGAAGCTTCCACTGCTCTATCCATTTCACCGTCCAGCTCGAAATAGTAAGGGAAGTACTTTTCAAATTCGTTGTTCAAATCCGACATGATGCCTCCAAAAAGCAAAAGATCTAACATAGCAAAGGGTTTGAATATTTTCCATTCACGAAGAATTAAAATAACTAAGCGAGTGTGGCAAGCCGTCGTGGGAAGTGACGCTGGTTAGCCATGGAACGGGATAAAATTCATTTTTCTGCATCAGTTCTCTGGGTTCCTCGGTGAGAAAAGCAGTGCCTTCGGGCATATCAAAATACTCAATCGTTGGGATAAAAGTGACAATCCAGTCAGTCCTCCATTGCTTTATTTTTAAATTTAATTATGATCTAATTTACTATATAATAAACAAAGTACCTACCAGAACCACATTAGATTTTTTTACTATCAGCTCCGCGGGCTTTGCTCTCATACACTTCAGAATGTCATGATTGCTGGTCGTGTTGTCCCCACATTCTAGCAGCTCTGCTAACCTGTGAGTTCGGCCAAGTGGGTCTCTGTTCCAGGCCCAGTGCGTTAGAGCATTTCCACTTTGAGAAATGGCAACGTGAAACAAACCTATATATTATGTTTTATAAAAATAATAAAAAAAGTATAATTTAACCCTTTGACATAGGAGACATCATGTGCAAGTGGGCGCTGACGGCGCCAGCATTATCTCCCATCAGAGCAACCTTATCAGGGTTTCCTCCGAAGGCTGCGATATTGTCCCTTACCCATTTCAAGGCCATAACTTGATCTTTTAGGCCGAAATTTCCAGGACAGTCGGCGCTTTCAGTGCTTAAAAAGCCTTAATTCATTTTTATTATTATTAAAAAGTAATTATTTTGAATTAATTTGTACCAAGAGGCCCGAGACGATAGTTGAAAGTGACAAAAATTATATTTCCAGGCTCTCCATCCAAGATAAGTTCTGGGTCGTATTTGTCCAGGTCACCACTGCTCTGGACAAAGAGGCCTCCGTGGATGTAGAATATGACAGGAGCCGAAACTTTGCTTCCCTCACTGGGGAGCTGAGATTTTTTCTCAAATTTCAATGCGACCACAACAATTTATTCCTACTTTGGTGGTGTAAACGTTGATAAACAGGCAGTTTTCATCTCCTACATATCTCATTTCTGGGTACCTGAGCTGCGCACATTTGCTTCTATTTTTGGAGGCATCGTAGACGCCCTCCCAGGCACCTGCGGCCACTGGCGCCTGACAAACATTGAAATAAATGCCAAAACAATTTTTTTACACAAAAATCACACCTTGAATCTCAAGTCCTTAACCGGAGGTTTTGCATACGGAATTCCGAGGAACGTGAAAACATCTTTGCCCGTCCTGGTTTTCAAAACTTTTCCCTTGAGTTTGCCCTGCCGAATGGTGACTGTGGGTTTTTCGCCGGCTGACACCAAGACCAGCAGTCCGCTCAGGAGCACCAAGCAAAAAAACGCGGCTCTCCCCATCGCAGACTTTTAGCACTTTGACACAAAAATTATAGAGATGTGTTCAGTCGATGCTGCAGCGTGCTGGGAAACGCCGGCGCAACGACGTGGCTAAATCACCACTCTCAACGTGGAGCCTCACCTGTCCAGCCGCTCTTATCTAATCACGCCAACTCAGTCTGTCACCGATGGGAAACACGTATGGCCACGGCTAAATGGGAATTTAAACTGAGAGGAAATGAATAAATACAAAACAAAGTTTGATTTATTTGTTTGTTTGGAACTGGAAAAAAGTCGGTCAAAATATTATTGTCGAGATATAAATAGAATAAAATAAATGGATTTTTGAAATGAAAAAGGTGATTTCAGAATGTACATTTGAGTAATATGATCTTCCTTTAATATTTTTCTTTTATCTGGTACACGAAGTGTAAAAATTGTGCTTACTGGAAATAGAATACTGTAAAATAATGAATAATACATTGATTGATCATGTCATTTAGCAAGTTGTACAATGGAAGCCATGAATGCATGTAAAAATATCGCGAGCGAGCTGGTGCGGGAACGAGTCCAAAATTTAGTCGTTTCGAAACCGAGCAGGACACCTCTTTTCTACAGTATATATAACAATAATCATAAGAATAAATTGTCACATCACAAAAGTTCGGAGCTTTGTCGCTGTGGGATTTGCTTTCATTCTCATCGTGAGAGAGTTTGTTGATAATATTATGGCATTACGAATACTCTTTCTTTCTTTCTTTCTTTAATGTACACAAATATCTGGTAGATTATACTTCTTATTACTTTTTTTTCCAATTCGTATTTTAATATCAGCATAATAGAATTCCCTCAACCAGCGGAGAGAAACCGAGTTCATTTTCCGCGCTAATTTGCTCCAAGTACGACCTCGGAATCAAGAGAGTTACAATTAACTTACGCGTGAGCAGGTCACCTGAAATGCAAACAGTCCTCTTCTTGCACTAGCGGCGAGTCTTTTCATTCGATTTTGTTCGTATATATCATTTCACTTTCAACGTTTGTCCATTCAATTTTTTTTTTAACGCAGCGTCCGGGTATTTCGAGGCATGGTGCTGCGGAGTGTATCTCAGTATTGTGCCATGCCACTGGCCTCTTTGTACTCGGAGCCCTCCATGGTGAAGAAGTCCTCCAGCTTCCATTGCAGCGTCTCGAAGGTTGGCCGCTTCATCGGGTCCTTGTGCCAGCACTCGAGCATGATATCGTACAGGGCGGCGGGGCAGCCTGGAGGACACGGCATTCGGTAGCCATGCTCAACTTGATGCAGCACCTCAGCATTGGTCATTCCTGAAACACATTAAATTTAAATTAAATACATATAAACGTTTAATATTATGCAAGGCTATAATAAACTTGAATTAACATTCAATCTAAACAAACCAGCCTGATCTATAATCTATAAAAATATAACAGGTTCTAGGTTCATTGACTCACCTGGATAAGGAATTCTGCCATATGTGACAAGCTCAGTGAGTAGAATGCCAAATGACCAAACGTCCGATTTGATAGAGAACTTGGAATAATTAGCAGCTTCGGGCGCTGTCCACTTAATTGGGAATCTGGCACCAACCCTAGCTTCGTATTCATCCTCCTGCAAAAATAGTAAAATTTTAGCTGTGTTTTTTTTTTATATAAATATCAAATTTCTACCTTTATCAGTCGAGCTAGACCAAAGTCAGCAATCTTGACAACGTTGGATTCGGCCACTAGAACGTTCCTCGCAGCCAAGTCTCTGTGAATATAATTTTGACTCTCGAGATAGGCCATTCCGCTAGCAATTTGAGCAGCCATGTCGATCAAGGGGGGCAGTTTCAGGGCCCGACCCTTGCCTTGCAGGTACTCAAGTAGACTACCATTCTTCATGAGCTCAGTGATGATGTAGATGGGCTCCTCCATGGTGCACACGGCGTACAACTGGATGAGCTTTGTGTGCCGCAACTTCTTCATAATTTGAGCTTCAGCTAAAAAGTCTTTGGGGTCCATAGTTCCTGCGGTTGATAAATTACATTAGGACTTCCAATTCATTTGATATTAATTTTTATTTATACCTGGCTTTAGCGTTTTGATTGCGACAGGTGTGGTATTGTTCCAAAGTCCTTCCCACACCTCTCCAAACTGCCCGTGTCCCAATTTGCGCACAAACTTGAGAGAACCTCTGTCGATCTCCCATTGGTCCCTAGTTGAGTGTGACAGTCCACCGGTGACAGGTTTCTCAACCTGAATGCAAGCTTTGCGAAGATTGACGCAGAGACCATCCGGATCTTGGCTGTAATGCTCGACGAGCTCCTGCAGCGTTCTGAAAGTCGTTCTTCTGGCAATAAAAAAGCCACCCTCGTCCAGTTGTCTAATTCTGTAATGCTTGACGGTGTCTCCGTCTCTCACTGTAAAATTTAACAAACACCAAATTATTAGCTTCATTGAAAAAAATCTAAAATACAATTAAATGATATTTAGAATTATTATTTATCTCATTACAATGACTAACCTGAGAGAGAATAATCATTCCTTCTAGATTCAGAGTCTCTGATCAAGAAGGCTCCATGGTCGTTTTCAGGGAGAAGCAGTTTCTTTTCAGCCTCAATGCGTTTGATTTTTCCAAAATACCATCTGTCAAAAATAAATTATAAATGACAATGAGTCGCACATATTTTTAATACACTTACGGCTCAGCCTCTATTGATCGTAACTTGGCCACGTAGTTTGAAGGAATGTAGCCTTCCTGTCTGGAGGCTTTGCTTCGAGCAAGCCACCAATCGCCCTGAGTGTCATTTAAAATCTCAAGGTGCTCGCCCTTCCTGAAGCTGAGGTCTTCATCTGTACGAGCATCGTAATCGTACAGGGCCACAAAGACCTAAAAAATATAAGCAAATTTTAAAACATTGTTCTACTTCCAGATCTAGTTTTTTTTCGATTTTTTTTTTAATGGTGATTAAAATTAAACTTTCATTTTCCTCAATGGTTTTATTTTTAGTAATTTCTTGTTGTGTGCAAAACCAATATTCTGCAAAACAACAAATGAATCTAAAAATACACCGAGGAAGCTAAATATAAATTCGAACACAATGAATCAAAACCCCGATCGTTTAATAAATTTAATTAAACATTCAAGATTTTCAATTCACAATTCTGATAATGTGGGGGATTTTAATATGACGTTTAAATAATAAATAAAATAATACCCCACAAATTTTTACAAAAGAAAAAAGTATATATTTTAACTAAAATTTTACCTTGTGATTTTGGGCATTGGTTCCAGTGGAACCCGAATTGCCTACGTTGACCGAGCCGGACACGTCTCCACCACCATCTCCAGGCACGCCCATGGGCATTGGGGGCATAGGCCCATTTCTAGGGCCCACACCGACCCCATCGTTGACGCCTCCGACTCCGGTGGTTGGGCTGGAGACTGGCACGCCGCCGACGCCGCCCAGCATCGAGCCACCTGCGCCCGAATCAAGCTGCACTGCGCCCCCTCCGGACACATTTCCAGAGTTGCGCGACCTCGAAAAACACGATCCCATCTTGCCGATTTGTCAGTGCCGAACGGGCATCGCCGAAAACGGCGAACACTCACAACCTTGACCTGGCTGGTTGACGGGGCGTGACGCTCGCGACGTTTCAAACGTGGCCGATTTTCTGCAAAGAAAAATAAAAATTATTCAGCGTCAACCAAAGATCACGCAAGAATTTGCTTAGAAAATAATCGGCCGAAAATAGGGCCCTTTTTGCCGAAAAACCTACAGCTGTCATCCGCACCGACCGTCGTCCGTCACTTTCACTTGAATGTTTTCGAGCGTGTCGGTCCCGAATTAAAACTCATCCGTACAATAAGTGCAGTTCCACGATCTAGAGTGTCCGGGAAAACGTTCGGACGCAGCGGTTGGGAGGTCGGCGGTCGATTTGTCGAATTCTTAGACCATTCCTGGAGACGACCCGAAGCTCGGACGGCCTGGAGAATCCAAGATGGCGACGGGCTGGCCTCTCATTTCCCCTCTCACCGACGGTGGTGCCGCCTTCTCCTCTTGCCCCACCCCAGCCGCGGGGATATCCGCGAGTTTTTTTTTTTGCATGCCGCTTGATTATACACGCCATCGAATGCGCCACTTGCATGCAAATTATAATTAATTACCTCTCTTCCCGGCGTTCGGAATTCCGAGCAAGTTAACATCTTAATTATCGGTTATCGGCACTACTTAAATTACTCGAGTTTTGTTGTAAAATTAAATATTCAAAATCAATTACAGAGAAGTTATACAAAAAATAATATTTTAATGTTTCCATTTACTCCATGTAAATTTTTTACATTTCTAAAAATTTAAGTATTAACGTTTTATTATTAATAAAATAATAAATATATAATTGAAAATTTTCAATTGAAGATTCAGTCCGCAATTAAATTCTGGCGGCGCTGTTATGAATATTATTTATTCTTCTCGGTCAATACAGAAATTCTAAATTAAAAAAAAATTTGAGAAAGGGTTTAAAACTGCTAAAACGCCCGAAATCAAAAGAGACTCGGGCGCCGCGGTAAAATGTTGTAATATTTTGCCGATTTTAAACTTTTAATTTATTTTATTTTTATTTGATTTAATCATTCAACATGTTTTACTTCTGAAATTATATAATAAACTGAAGAAACTCACTTTTTATTCAATAAGTCAATAAAGATCAATATAATAAAAATCAACAAAAGCCACTATATAAATTTTTAGGAAAAATAGACTGAAATAAAACGTCGTTTTAAGGAAATTCGGTTGGAAAACGTTTCATTGTCTTTATATTTCACCGACAGCACACGGAAAATACTTCACACAACGAAAGAATGAGTTAAATTTTCCATGCCGAAAAGAACACTCTTTCGGGAAACAAATCAGCATAGTGTGTGTTATGCGTGACTAAAAATGACTAGACAGCACTGAAAAATGCAGGAATAATAACAGGTATCATATATAATAATATAAATATGCAGTGAGTGAAGAATGCTCTAAAATCGCGATAGGATGAGACGAAATTAAAAACAAGCCGAGAAAAAAGTCTGCGTTTGAGATGAGCGTAAAATGATCAATGGGAATTAAAAAGGCGAAAACGAACACCTAACAGACATTGATCTCTTAAGTACATAAATAACTGAAACGTGGTTTCCTTGTGCCCTGCATGCTTTTCTTTTTTGTTAATCAACACCGAAGAATACAATTTGTTAATACAATGTGTAATGTGTATGCGCGCGACAGTGTTATAATAACAAGAGAGTACAATTTCACAACAAGATACATGTATCATGAGTGTCGGCACCTACGGATTCGATCACCACATCATTGGAAAATACTTTCGACACACAAGATCCATATCTCGTAATAATTAGGCACAAGGCGTTGACTTCTCTTAATTAAACTCGCAACTAATCAAGTCTTTCTTTAATTGGAGTGAATGTAAACTAAAACTATCGTCTTTAATAATGTTTGGGGTTTTTTGAGGAGATCTCTTTACTGATGGGCGCTTATTTGGCAAGTTTCCACACACTTTCGCTTTGCCTCCAAGAGCAGACCATGATTAAACTGTACGATCGATTTTCTTTCCTTCTTTCTTTCTGGCTCGCGAATAAAAACTGCTTTTGTGACAAATATAATTATATAATACACGCGACCGAATCAATATTATATGGAACGCGGAAATAATGATGATTCAAGTGCATGTTAGTGAACAACAATAGTACTTGTCGAGAGAGAGGCAAAAAGAGCCCTCTTGACGGCGAGAGTTTGTTCGTAATCGATCAATAATTAATAATTTACTAATTGCAATCAACAACGTAGAAGTACAGTGTTTGTGAGTGAAACGTGAGATCGATAATTAATTGAAAAATAGAGCATCAAGGCTGAGAGTGAGAATTGAGAATGTACGTGCACACTCCTTTACAAGATTTACAGCTGCCAAAAGTAGTGTTGCCAGGCACTTGGCACCGACTTACATGCAGGTATAGGCTTGGCTGCCCTCGTTCAGAACGCTCGATTTCTTTCAGGGACGGAACCTAAATTGGGCACCATCAATTTAATTTTTACTTTGGAAAAAATATTTAGCTTTTTTCATATCAAATATCAATTTTAAAAGTTTTTCCATATTTTGGTATTGCCAGCTTTTTTTTATTAAGAATAATTATCATTTAGTTTTACTGGCCAACAAATTTAATGAATCCACATAAATATTACGCTTATAACAGTTACACGTGCCAGGATGTTTGTGAATTTTCAGTTTGATTATTTTTATTTCTAGATAGAATATTTTGATGCCTACACTCTGGGTCGTCGCATGCCGTTTCTCCCGTCCCTTTTTATAATTTTCCTTTATATCTGCAAAATTTACATGTCCAGACAGACGTACGAGTTGCGAGATTAAAAATTTGTGCAAATAACAGTGAGTGTCTCGTTCGCGTTCATAACTTTCCGATGCAACCCTCCGAGCTTTCTTATATTTTGTCGCGCAGATCACAAAAATAAAAAAGAACAACACACCGCGGAATTATGAGAGGAGGAATATGTGTGAGAAGCTTTTCAGGAAATGAGAGAAAAATTAACGAGAGCGAAATCATACGATCGTTAAAAAGACTAGGTGTCGAGTATGTCGTTGGTTTTTAAAAATATCTTCTCGAGTAAAAAAAGTACTCTGACCTTCGTGTGTTGCGTTTCTTTTGAAGTCACTATAACTTTTTTAAAGGTAGCGTTTTTCTTCTTTAAACACTATTTTTTTTAATATCGCGAGTGTTTCACTTATAAACTCCTATGCGAGTGCTGGCCAAATTTTTATCTGCCAGCACCGGACACTTTTTAGATCTTGGCTTTTTGTAAAAGGGCGTTGGTTTTTTTTGTCTGCGTGGATCCTTAAAAAATTGATCGTCTTCTCTCTGAATTAAAATCTTTCCTCTCGCTAACGTCCTTGTGCACTCTTGTCACACACAACGCATGCATATGGTCCGCATTTGCACCTCAATAGTACAAAATTACATAATCAATGCTCGTCTGCCGTGTGAATGCATTCATTTTACTGCGACTCTGACCACGTGTGTGCCTCCTATACAGATATACAATTACGCTTCAGAAGAACATTTAAACGTTGTGCTGGCTGGACCAATAATCACACACTCATTATATAGAGACAATAATTATGGAAAACGCGAACCAACTGAGAGAATTTTCCTTTTTCCAAAAAAAGAAATTTGTAATGTACACGTAGAGGAGAACGGCACGGAAGTCGTCAATAATTTACAAGTAGTGGGGCTTGAAAAGGGCGAAACAACAACAAGATCAGGTCAAATCACAACCTCGATGAGAGAACTAAATGCAATGTAATCAGTCTAAAAACGGTAAAAGGCCCTTTTCTCCCTAGAAGACATTTACATTTTTCTGGACGCACTATTTAAATTACAAGATTTTTTGGAGTTACGCGTCGGAGGGAAAGCAGCGCCGCCTTTTCCTTGTGTTTGGGACCAATCACAATTTGTATGCAAATGTTGTTAGTAGAAAATTCAGGCGCATTATTAAGACGGATTCAAATTTCTCGTTTTCCTTAAATTATAGTCGTCGGCACTGCTTTCCCGCCGAACGTTTTTACGAATTATTCTGAAAAAATTTTGGCGCTCCAGCCAGGTTCGCTTCTTGTCACATTGAAACTTTTCACGTTTGCGGCGACAGCGAACAGGAATAATAATAATTAATTTATAATTAATAATTATTTTCATACGTGGTTGAGGAGGAGGAGGAGGACTCAGCACCTGACTGGAGCCGAAAGCTCTATCTGCGTAGTTCTGTATTTTTTTTTAGAAAAATATTCACGCGTTCGCAAACGCCGCGTCGTAATTGTCCAATTGCTTAGAGGAGCACGGCTGCTGGTGGTCGTCGATCGGCCACTGCTGCTTTGCTTTGGCCGCCTTGCTCGAGGCGGCCGAGGAGCCTGGGGGCACTAGCGAGGTTGGTCTCGACGGCGCCGTCGTGTGTGTTGGCGACGACGACGGCGACGGCTGCAGGTTGATCTCGTCGGCGGTGATGACGCGCCTGTACGGGTTCCGGCCCCAGTGCGCTACCACGGCCAACACCAGACACTCCACGCAGCAAAGGTAGCCAAAAACCTGAATTTAAAAGGTTTGTTTTATTAAAATATCAAAATTTAAAATAATAAAATGACAAAAAAAATTTAAAAATGCATTTATCATTGAAACAGATTTTGATAAGAAATAAACTTGTAAAACAAAAAAACAATTCAAATAATGAATTTTTCGCTTGGGACAAAATTAGAACAAGATATAAATGTTTCGATAAGATAAGATAAGGGTTCTTAATTGTTCCAATTAAAATTAAATTTAACGCTACACGCCTTATGACAAAGAAGGAAATGAGGAAACGTAAGATTAGAAAGTGAATGGCAAGTGAAGAAAAATAATAAAATGCAAGTCAAGGTGAAGTGAAAAACGCAGACTCACATAGGATACAATTAGTTCGGCACCAGAGACACGAGGCTCCCACTCCGAGTTGTTATACGCGTACACCAAGTGAAGCAGTAAGCTGGATCCCAGCAAGTAAGCTACCCCCAAGCAGATAAAGAGACACGTGTTCTGTGTGCAGGCGGAAGAAATCGGCATAAGTCAATTTTTATTCATGCTGAGCAGGCTCTCAATATCAGCGGGTGGCACTTAATTTTATATTGTGAAAGTAATTTTGCAATATTTTAAAGAACCTAATTGAAAATTTGCTTTTTAGCTCTGAAAGGAAATTTAGTTAGTGAGAGAGTACAAAGCGTTGCGGTTAATTATTGGTAAGAAGTGCTTCGATGCGTGATACTTACGATGAGTGGCCAATTGAAGGGAAACAGGTAGACTGTATGTGATATGTCGAGAAAGAGCAGCACGCTGGTGGTAAGGAGGGTAAATATCGTCACGAACAGCATCAGCCTCAACCTGGCCAAGATGGGTAACATGTGGAACGGCGCCCTTAATGACATGCTGGTGCACAGTCCAATCAAACAAGCCATGGTGCACACCTGAGACAATTAATAGAGAATTTCAAAACTAGAGCAATCATAATTATTATGCCAGACGAGGTATGTAACATAATGATTGATTCGTTATGCACTCTCTTGTTTAAAAAAAAAAAAAAAAAAACAGAAAATAAATTTATATTAAAACAAAAACTAAATATTTTAAGTTATTTTTAATTTTTTATTTAATTTGATTTTAATTTTTAATTTTATATATTACTTTCAGTAAAAAGTTTTGCATTAAATTTTAAAAGAAATGATCAAAATTAAATAAAATATTATAAATTAATTTTTATTTTAATAATGCTAAAAACATATAATTATATCTCATATTTTTATTTTATTACTTGGATAATTAATAAATTTACATTTATAAAATAAGTTTAAAAAAAATTTATTACTTAATTTAAGCTTTGAAAATTGATGTTAGATTTCTATAATAATACATTTAAAAAAACAAAAAGAAAATTAATAATAATAATAATATTTTAATTAAAATACTCACAATTAGCAGCACCCGAACGATGCCGGTTGCCGATTTGAGGTGTTTCTGGTCGCAGTAGACAATCACCCCCCGGAACAACATGCGTCCCTCGTCATCGTCGTCGAGGTCGTGTCGGTAGTTGGCGTGGCTGTCCCACGAGTGGACGGTGCCGACCAACGAGCGGGCGCCCGCCTCGCCGTCCGAGTCGGCGTCGCTGCCTTCGTGGGGCCCCTGCACTCCCTCGGGACCGTCTTCGTCCACGGCCGTCCGACTGCCGGCAATCTCAAAATCCTGTGATCAAGTGAGAGGGTTGAATCGAGAGCAGGGTGAGAGAGAGCGGCGCTCATCAAAGGAATAAAGAAAGAGAAAAAAAAGAGGAAAAAGCAACTCTTTGAGCAAACACAAACAGCAGAATGTGATATGAGGCGGTGTCTGGCTGAGTGAGAGGAGGCGCAAGTATAAATAAAAAAAGTAATGAGAAAAAAAATGCGACAACGATAAATGAGTGGCGCTAAAGCTTATATTAAGGGTGGCTTTTTTATTCGGTATTGGGGTTTTGGGAGATGATTGCTGTTTTAATCAAGCGAAAGCATTCGGATCGATTGCGACTGCTGCTTGATATTATGAATATTAATCGGGCGGCATTAGCGCTAATCTTGATAATGATGCGCGCACGGTTGGTGCTGAAAGGGAACCGGTGGAACAAAAGGTGTATAAAATCAAAAGTGTCTAATAAGCGATCTACAAGAGATTGTAGAATAAAAAAAAGAGAGATGAGAGGAACCCTGCAAGCCGAGGATGTATGGTGATGAGACATGAATAGATGAAAGAACCAGAGGGCAATTCGTTGGACAGAGATCAGCGGAGGAATGTTGCAGCTCTGCTCCTCTACGTACCAGAGCCTTCAAATTAATGCAGCAAAGGAAGTCGAATTATAAGGACGGCCGCACTTTGCATAGGCAGGCGATTTAAATAATTTAAATTTATCTGCTGGTGGATTTAATTAATTTCAGGGATGGGAAGCATGGGATTTTATTATTTGTTTCACTGTCTTGTTTATAATTATGTCTCTTTCAAACGTTCTCATCTTAGAAATTATTTTGTTAATTGTTAATTGTTTTCAGAATTAGATCATCTCTCCAATCACTAGCGCGGCGCTTTGGAATCAATTTTATATCACAATGCTGCGGAAAATGCTCAAGTTCTACTTTTACACACGACACACTCAAATATTTCTATTTAGAAAGCCAGGATTAATTATTAGGCACACTATATTCATATTTACAGTTACCCTTTTAATGGTTTGTTAATTAATTAAAATTGATATCACCTGGTTTACTTTTCTCAAGAACTTTGAAATATTTATATGTAAAATGCATTAAATTAGTGAAAGTAATTTGTAAATTTAATATTAATGGAGTGGAAGTTTATGTGTATAATGTGGTTAGTTTATTTAATTACTGGTTTGTGTATTGTTAAAATTAGGCTTAAAAGTACTGTTTAAGGTTATTTATAAATTGATTAAATTGTTACAAATGTTACAAAATCAAAATAAAAAAGGGAAAATTTGTAAAATTGATAGATTTATGAAGTTTATCAAAAGCTTTTTAACTTTTAAAATAGGATTTGAAATACAAAATCAATTTTTGTTATTACAAAAGAGAAAAAAAATTCTAAAGAAGATTGTTGTGCTCATAAACACAAAATATCAGCAACGTTGAGCTGAATATTGAAATAAAAAAGAGCAATTCTTTTGCCGAACACATGGGTCCCCCCAAATTTGATGCTGGCGTCCTGAAATTTTCGTGGCTTAATCCTCATGACTTGAAAGCAAACTCCATAAATTTTTATAAAAAAATTTTCAAAATTGCGGGTTTTACGGGACATTTTGAAAAAATAAAAAAACCTAATTATCTCGTCTCCCCGTGGTCGTATAATAAAAATCTGGGTATGTTTGGATTTGTCTCATCAATATCTACAAAAATAAATTAATTTAAAGGTCATAGGTCAAAGGTCAAGGTCATTTATTTCAAATTCAAAATTTCAAACTCAAATTTTAAGATGTGCCTCACGCTAAAAGTCAAATTTGACATCGTCATTCAATTTCTCGTGAAATTTTACGTAATATATGTCAAAATTGCGATGTGGTTATTTTTAGTTAAATTTAAAATAAAATTAAAAGATTAAAAAACGTGGTTTTTTGCCCCTCGGTGTGCAGATTTCCTTAGAATATCATTAATTTCTCGATTTGTGTTGATTTTAGACATATATAGTTAATGACAAAAATTGACCTTCTTATCTAGACCAATCGAATGGTGTGCATGTCAATGACCTTTGGTGAACTTGGGTCAAAGGTCACCGTGACCCATGACCTTGAGTGACCTGACCTATATGTGTGATACGTAGTTGGAAAGATCTTGTTAAGAAGATAATTTTTATCACCGGGTTTTTGTCTCTAGGTCTACTAGAATTCAATTAATCGTTGTTTTATGATAATTAAAAGGCAATATCTGCATTATAAAAACTAAACAATCTAATAACTTCGGTTCTAGTAGACGTAGAGACAAAAACTCTGTGACAAAAATTATTTTCTTAGCGAGATCTTTCCAACAACGTATCACACATATAGGTCAGGTCACTCAAGGTCATGGGTCACGGTGACCTTTGACCCAAGTTCACCAAAGGTCATTGACATGCACACCATTCGATTGGTCTAGTTAAGAAGGTCAATTTTTGTCATTAACTATATATGTCTAAAATCAACACAAATCGAGAAATTAACGATATTCTAAGGAAATCTGCACACCGAGGGGCAAAAAACCACGTTTTTTAATCTTTTAATTTTATTTTAAATTTAACTAAAAATAACCACATCGCAATTTTGACATATATTACGTAAAATTTCACGAGAAATTGAATGACGATGTCAAATTTGACTTTTAGCGTGAGGCACATCTTAAAATTTGAGTTTGAAATTTTGAATTTGAAATAAATGACCTTGACCTTTGACCTATGACCTTTAAATTAATTTATTTTTGTAGATATTGATGAGACAAATCCAAACATACCCAGATTTTTATTATACGACCACGGGGAGACGAGATAATTAGGTTTTTTTATTTTTTCAAAATGTCCCGTAAAACCCGCAATTTTGAAAATTTTTTTATAAAAATTTATGGAGTTTGCTTTCAAGTCATGAGGATTAAGCCACGAAAATTTCAGGACGCCAGCATCAAATTTGGGGGGACCCATGTGGTTAGTAAAAGATTTGCTCAAAATAAAATAAATAAATCTTAATAAAATTATAATTTAAAAGGATTAAAGTGTGTAGCAGTGTTTTAAGCTACTGTAATTCCAGTTGTCAGTGGCTGTGTGTTGAGAAATTTGTTTAAAAATCCAGGTGCGCATAATCAGTGTATTTTTAGAAAAGTGTAATTTTGACCTCTCCGAGGGTTGTGTCGTCTGATCTCTTACCAACGTCATCACCCTGTGGCGGGCGGAAAAGGCTCTCAATTCAGGCGGCTTGGCCGAGAGCCTGGTCACCTGGATATCCTCGGTGCGCACGCTGCAGGGCTCCAGGTCTTTGATTTCGTCTAGAAGTACCTCGATCTCGTCGGCGCCGTACAGGTCGGACACCGAGTTGACGTAGCGTCCGGTGGAGGGTGCGTTGGGCGTGATGGCCGTGTTGGCGCTGTAGCTGACGGTCGGCTTGGCGACGGCCTCCAGCAGGTCGCCCACCGAGCGGGGCATCCTCCTGTCCAAAACTCTCTCTCTCTCTACCAACCCTGCTCTTTCTCTCTCTGATTCTCTACACACGCATGACTAGTCTGCGCATTCACGGGAGCCTGTACAGTGTGGACAGAGCGGGTTCCAACTTGCTGCACTTACACACGCGGCGACGTCGTCAACTCGACCGGCGCATCGCCTCCTCGCCGCCGCCGTCCGACCGACCGTCCCTGTCGAGACCGCGTCTCTTCTACTCGGCACACTTGGCGACCAATGGCAACTGCGCGCTGATGCTGGTGCTCACCGGTCGGACGCTCGATTCAGACATTGTCTTCCGCACGCACGGCGATTGGGCCAAATCAAAGGCTCTGAAATGCAGTGGAAAATTATTATTGATGATATCAAATTAATTGAAAGACTCGAAAACACACGTTTATCCATTGATGCGGGAATTGTTTTTAAAAGTTGAAATTTTAAAACTGTTAAAAAAAGGGGCTTAAATTGTTTTAATGAAAGTAATTGTATCAAAAATTAATTTATTAATTGTAATATTAAATTTTTTGTCAAATGTTAAAACAATCAGAAAATTAATTATTGTATGCCAATTTTTGTTTGAATAATTCAATTCTTGAATAAGCAGCTGAAACATTTTGAGCAGATATATTGTTTATGCTTTAAAAAAATAAACAACAATTCTTAAAAGAAAAGAAAAACATCGAGGATATTTAATTAAAAACCTAATAATGATTTAAAAACGAAACGACTCAATTTGAATCATTATTATTTTTAATTTTGGTGTGTATATTTTTAAATAACCGTGTTTCATTCAAATTGAGTCAGTAAATAATTGTTGATAAGAAAAACAACATCATCTAAATACATGCCAATGCATGAGAATTCAAAATGTGCATCTGTGAATTCCCAAAGGCAAGTTTCATCGCAAGCGGCGGTGTAAATGAAATTCTCGAGTGTGATGAGTGTTATGCAACCGGCGCAGTTCGAATGCCGCTCCAGGCTGCCTACCTCGCAGCAGTCGAGTTACGATTCGATCAGCGTTAATGGAATCAAACGTGAACTCGCTCGCTTCCTCTCTTTCGGTGTAACTAGCAACGAGAGAGCAAAAAGTACAAAATGCTGAAATGAAAATCAGCTGTTCCTGTCACTGCCGCGTTTTCACCTGGAGACTGGTGGTAAAAGGACGGTAAGGAAATTAATACTTTATTTATTAAAAAAAATTAAGGAACTATAGAAGATACTTAAAAAAAATCTTAATTTGCAACCTAGTGAGGCGTAAAAATGAAGAAAAAGTGACAGAGTTTACTGGAGTTTACTATCAATATGCATAGTCACGCCTCTGAAATCAACAGGCAATTTCCGTCACCTGAACCTTTGAGTACACTTAAATTGAGAAACATAATAAAATAAAATTCTCGCGCTTATTTCCGGAACTGCGCCAACAACGAGGAGTATTTCATTGACTTCGATATGATCAGATTATAAGTTTATCAAATCCACAATTTCCGTCTGCATATGGAGAGAGTACTGTACACATACAGTCCTATCGGCGGATAATGAGTTTGCAAGTACGCACATGTACACGGTACATATGCATTATAAATAAAGTGAGCTCGGCGCAAATTAATCAATTAAACGCTCCGTGCGAGGGCAAAACTCGGAGAAACGCGCTAAAGAAAAGCCCGTCGAGACGTGCCAGCACCGGATGTCACTTTAACTTTCCGGAAAATCAACCCCCGAGAGCGTTTCCCGCAATTCTCCCGTCCCGTCGTGCGAGCATCTCCGAGCCCGATTTTGCACCCCCCTGAGTTTAATTAAATAAATTAACCCGTAAGCACGGCGGATCTTAATCGGTCCGGCGGCGCCGCTTGTGCATGTCCGGCCAGTGTACACAACCCCCGGTGGGTCGACGGCGCCGAGAGCAGGGTGCGGGGGTGAGTGCGGTCGAGGATCGCAGACTGCGACTTTCGGTTTCCAGGGTCGGTGGTGGAGAGTCGATGGGGGTGGCTCACCTGGTTCTCGGCGGCCGAATTCGGGCGTTCGGGGGTGCAGATCCGGGGCTAACAACACGCACACGCCATTTTTACTGTGTGACAATTGAAAATCAGCAGCCAAGGGAGGGCGTAACCCGTTGATGGCGCAACCCCCACCCCCTCGGCCTGCACCCTCCGTGCTCGGCGGCAGCTCGCTCTGCACACATATCGGCTATTATCATCGGCACGAGTCCGCTCTTCTAATTTGATGATTCATCGCCTCTGCTCTCGCACGCGTCTCCCGCGCTTAGCAAATATTGCTTGAACTCGGCGGAAAGAAATTCACCCTCAATCACCCTTTTGCCCAACTGCGGGTGGCGCACTCGAGAAAGGGCAAAAATAAAAATTGTTTCCGCCCGGGATCGAACCGGGGACCTTGCGCGTGTGAGGCGCACGTGATAACCACTACACTACGGAAACGCTTCTTCAAAATTGCAAAATATGTTTTACTTAATCTGACCTAAAGATAAATTATCCAAATTAAATTAAAAATACTTTGAATTGAATATTTATAAGATTCACATGCAATTTCAGCTCTTAATCATGTTCTTTGTGAGCTAAACCATCATTTCGACTTAAGCTGGCAGCTGCTTCTCTACTTGCAAAGTTTTCCTCTAGATGGTGCTACCATCCACTAATAAAGCTGATAAATTTTTCGTGATCCATTTTAATTATTTCCCATTTACGAGTTGCCATCATTATTTGTTCTTCAGACAAACAAATCTGAATCACATGATTTTACAATATTAAGGAACTTTTTTTAATTTTGAACAACGGTTATATTTAAGTACTCTCAAAATTTCGCGTTTTGCTATGAAAGCCTCCGTGGCGCAATCGGCTAGCGCGTTCGGCTGTTAACCGAAAGGTTGGTGGTTCGAGCCCACCCGGGGGCGCTTTTTGCAATATTTCCCCATGAATAAGTCCCTTTTATCCAAATAATGTTAATTTCATTACAAAATTAATGAAATTGACATTTTATTTAAATGCAACCCAAAATGTTCATGAATAAAATTAGCATTAAATTCGTTCTTTTGTGTGAATCGATCAGGGTTTTTTCCCCAGTGGTTTTACTCAGATATTATTTTTTCTCAAATCTGATTTAAAAAACCAAGAAAGGAAAAAAATAAGCATTTTTCTTTACACAAAATTTTTATTTTTTGCTTAAATCAACAATCAAGATTTTGAATTTTTATCACATTCAGCACGATCGAGTAAATTGAAATGATTTCTGATTCATTATTTTCATCTCTTATGATTAACATCAAACAAAAATAGCTACAGTTTGTGTAGAGCACACTGGAGCACACTTTTTTATTATTAAAATTGATGACCAATTTAATGCCTTTGAAACACAATCGGCCAAATTCAAATATTTGTATACATAAAGTAAAAACGTAGGCAACCACCTCAAGCTTAATAATCACAAATCTTTTGATTTTTAGTCTAGAAATGCAGAACAATTTTTTAATGATGACTATACATATAAATCAAATTTATCTCAATTTGCAAACAAGAATCATCCATTAGTGAGCGATACCTTGATGTGCCACTCTTCATGACAACACCTCAATCACGACTTGTGACGTTCAAACACGCGTGTGTTGTGCCAATGCGAATATACAGTATTATTTTTTTTATTAATGGTTCACACTTTGAGCAAATTGACGCACACGCAGAGAATGCAGGTATCCATTGTAAATTTATGCAACAATTACCAGTCAAATGCCGAGGGCAATTATCATATAATTTATTTATGGAATACAGATGATGTATAATTTAAATACACAACAGACCTGCAAAACCTTTATTTTCCATTAAAGACTAATATGTGAATGACAATACGTAGGGAACCATATTATTGATTAATTATTATTAATTATTGATTAATCAAAAGTTCACAACCCAGCCTGCAGATTATTGAAAAATATTATATCGGTCCCAATATTTTACTTAAAACATATTCAGTCATTGAGATCTTTGGTTGAAACAACATCGGTGATAAACAATGATCGCGTGATTTTTTTTCTTTGATTTTCACACGGTTTATATTATTAAAAAAAAAATAATAATAATTACAGTTATTATTTCAAACGAACGCCCAAGGGGGAGAAAATAGTGCTGGTCAGGCCTTTGCTGCTCTACAAATATACAATTAGACAATTACAGTTGAGTAATTAGCCCCCTTATGTACATTTTAACGCCGTAAAAAAGCGCCGTCTAAAATAAATTGAGCCGTCAAAAAAAAAATTACTAAACACTCAAATGAGTTTGACACCATTTCAAATACGAAATGAAAAAAAAAATGTTATTAAAAACGCTGTCTTTTTTTCAAGCCTTTCCTCAATTTGCATGTTTTGTTATCTGAACAAGTCACCTTTCAAAACCTGCGGGGTCGGTCAGCGTTGGCTCGCATTTAAATAAATTATCTGGAATAATTTTGCCGTCGCAAGCAAAAAACGTCACTTTGTAATTGCTCCTAATTACATGTGTGAGCCCTACATTAACTTTCATCGCTCAGAGCAGAGAGCTTGTTCCAAAGTTTTCTTGCACATGCTGAACGCAATTAATTAAATAATTTACACAGTACGCGTTCGTTTCTTTACAACAAGATAAAAATTCTTAAATAAAAAAATTTCCAAAAAATTTGAATTAAGTGAAATAAATTATGTTTTTAGTAAATTTTTCTGGGCTTAACTGAAATATAACCAAGTTATTTTAAACTTTAAACGCGCTGTTTTGGTCATTCAAAGTGATAAGAAGTGATTGCATGTCTGGCGTTTTCATGAATTTTTAAGTATATAAAAGAACGTTAAAAATCAGAAGCTTCCTCAAGTGACAAGTCGCTCCTCACACAAAATACCGCCTAAAGGTATATTTCAGTTATCTGGTGCTTATCAATAAAAGTTCTTAATGAAAATTGTGCCTTTTTTGTTTTTCATTTTAAAAAAAAACCTTAAATAGAAAACAATTAAATTAAACTAAATAAATTAAAACGCAGTTTTAAAAACTCGCTCACAGCGACCGCCGATTCAACAACGATTCACGTCTTTTTTTGTTCAAAAAATAATATAATTATCCTGTGACCTGATCTCATCACTGACCTACATTAAATTAAGTACCCTGACCCCGGTGTCCTTTGTGGTCCCTCTTAAGCCCGTCGATGCTTCAAACAAAATCCACCGGTTTGCCGGAGGTGGCGATCATGACGACGGAGGCCGCCTGACTGAGGCCGACGGCCGGGTCGCTGAAGGACTTGTGCACCGCCAACCTTGGGGGCGGCAGCAGGGGGTAGTGGGCTGTGTAGCGGGAGCGGCTGCGGAGGCTGCTGCCTCCGCCCTGCGACTCGGACGAGTTGCTTCCGCCCCCGATGACTGGCCGCCGGACGGGGTGCGGCCGCCGCTGGCACAGCAGCTGCTGCTTGACCAGCACGGCCAGGTCAGGGTTGAAGATCAAATAGACCCACGGGTTGACGCAGCTGTTCAGACTGGCCAGCAGCGTGAGGATTGTGAAGGTTGGACCTGCAAATATGCAATTTCACGCTTGAAACAATTCGTTTTCGGGGAAGTGACAAAAGTTTGATAAGGGTTTGCTTTACATGTCTCACAATCAAATGTACGCAAAAAAAAAATGAGAGAGGGGAAAGATGGCCAAACACTCGGCTGCGCCAGTGTGGTCGGTGCTGCTTTTATTGACAATATTTACGGCATTGGAGATCCAGCCAAACCAAATTAACCAAAAAAGGCATTTGAATGTCCCAAGCTTGATTTTGCATAATATATGATTCGGCCACTTAAAATACGTCACTGAAATTAGTCGGAACTGCTATAAAAAATGTCATCTTCTGTCTATTTCTTTTGAAAGCATATGTACAGAAATAAGTCAATTTTATAATATAATTTTATATTTAATTATTGAAATATATTTTATTGATACAAAATTGCTATTATTTCTGAAAGTAATTTGATTTTTTGTTTTAAATAAAAATTCAAGTTATGCTTCTAGATAATTTAATACGAAGTTGTATAAATAAATATAAAATATTTAACATCACGGACCAAATAATAAATAGGAGTTTTTCATATTTTATTGTACATTGAGGAAAACCATGTTGAATCAGGTTAAATCAAGAGCATTTCTCGATTTGGATTATTTCAGCAATTAAGGTTAAATTTTTTGGTATTTCAGTAGCATTAATGCTAATTCAAAAAGTACTAAAATATCCATTATGATTAGAACAAGTGATAATATTGGACTTAATATAAAAATAAAATAAATCAACTCCCTCTAATTATTTCACATTTCATGTCTTGAATATATTTATGGCTAATAATATTTAATTTCAAATTAAAAAATTAATATAACAAATATTTATCCTAATATTATTTGCAAATTAAAAGGTCGGGGAGGGCAGGGGAGGGTTTTATGCTTTAAAAATAAAAATTAATTTTTTGTTATTGATTAATTAAATAACTGAAATACACTTAACAACGCAAACACGACACAACTCTACACTAAAATTTACAAAAAAACACACACTCACACTAACAAATTAACCAAATTCTTAAAAAGTTTCTCCCATGGAAAATATTTTTTTTTATTAATAATTTAATAAGAATGTTTATTCTTGGAATAATAGATGCGAAGATTATTTAAGTCATTTATATAAAAGGTCTAGCGAGGAATTGGATCGGTTTTCGAAAACACGCATTCTAACTTATAAAAACAGAAATCTCTCTACTCAACTGCCAGACCGTCGTCCTTCCTCCGAACCAGCATAATAACGTGATCAGTTCTTAAAATTTTGCCATTGAGTGTTGGAAAACCAGGTCATTGAATTAGCCACCGTATAATGAACTCCAATTATACGAGGCCGAAATTGATATTTAATAATCTGTGTGGCGAGGGGCGTTGCGCCGAAATCAGTTCTGGACGCCGCTCTTTGATGAGCACGTCTCGCGGACAAGTTACAAAAGATTATAACTTGCACGTCCCCTGACAACAATATTACCAGATTCAGAAACACACGTTGGACGGTCTGAACAATTTCTTCTCGCCAATTAAAACGACAGAGTTTTCCTCCAGAAATTCGCACCGTTATAATGTAACTAGTTTTGCGCGGAAGCCCTCTTCGTTTTTAAAAGAGAGCTCTATGGTTTTTTTATTATGTGGGTACGCAAGCATGAACATTTAAAACTTCAAACCGTTCCCAGACGGCAGAAAGATAATGAAGAAGGAAATGAAATAAAATGTCAGCCGCGCACGGTCAAAAATAATTATATTGCTCGTGACATTTTGAAGGAGGCGAAAACAAGCGGCGTACAATTTAAATCGCGCTGAGAGGCAATTTGCAATCAAATCGCGATTTCGCATCTTGAGCAACAAGCTATAAAACTGACAATTTGCATACGTGCTTTTGCACGTTTTCTATTGGCAAACCACATATGGTGTGTTTTTTTTTAATACTTTTATGATAAAAAGGGTTATACGCTATTTCCCAAAAGAAGATCTATAAAATTATTTTAATAATGTCCAAGGCGACGAAGAGTTTAACCAATACAAAAATGCTAAATATATAAAATCTTGATTCTAGCAAGTGGACGCCGTCAATTTTAATGAAATTCCACTGACCACTCAAAGCCTCTTTTACTCCTTTTGCGCAAAACATTCTTCTGGCAAAAAATTAATTAGCTTCCCGGCAAATTCTTTTGGGAGCGCTGCAACTGGCTTGCCTTCGTTTATTTTTATCCTTCAACTGATATGACATGCACTTTACTTTTACAAGATTAATGCAACCAACATTAATCCCAACGGTGGCGTTAATTAAAATGTTGTGACGTGGATGAAATCGGAAAACGTCCTGCAGCTGAATAATGGAACAATTCTGAGCCATATCAGAAAATTGAAATTTTCTGTGCGTGCGGTGCAGTGGAGAACTTTTCTGAATAGGGAAATGAAAAATTTAGGACATATTTATGACTATGCTATATATAAATGACTATGAGGTGGTTTCCAGTTGTTGTGAAACTCTGAATTGATTGCAAAAACAGAAAGTGGGCGCTTGATTAAAGAGGATGAAAACACCTTAGGGCAGCACAATTATCCACAAAAACTAATAGTTTGGACCATAGGGATCATTTATATAACAAGAACATTGGAGGTCACCCCATAAATTTTTGAGAAAAACGCATTTGAAATTAACATGGCTCGCTAATGTAAAATTTTCACTAAAATCGTTTGATTGCATTTTAAGTCAACAAAACTGCCTTTGGCAAGGGTTTGTGACCCACCAGCATGTTCCTTGACAACCCTGCTACAAATGTGGCACCAGAAAATTGGGGGTCACCGCGTAAATTTTTGAAAAAAGTTAAATTGAAGGTTGAAAAACGTCGTTTTTTGCATTTTTCACGTTTCGGAGACAATTAAGCAAATTTTAGAACCCTTTGATTTATTTGATTTCTACAGTCAAATATCATGATAGTTAATATTTTGGTTTCTACAATACCCTAATAATGAAAAAAATTCATATTTTTGAAAATCCAATATGGCCGTCTGAGATACACAAGGGTTCACTAAAACTGATGCCAAATTAATTAGGGTGCAGATTTTTTAATTTTCTCGGTGGGAGGTTGGAGCTAATGAACCAGTGTATCTTTTCTCAATGGTTACCAAGTTTCTAGGTCAAAGGTCATTGACCCTGGCCAAAGGTCAAAATCTTAAGTTTTTTGCCCCTTTGAGATAGGCAACCTGACTAAAAATCCGAGATAGCCAAAAGATGCGGCATGTCATTTTGCGTCAGAGTGTAAATTTTCAGAATTTTTGGATAAGCTGTTTTGAATATATTAATGATTTTTAAATAGCGTCCGAACGACTGAAAATGATCTCTTCGGACGAGTTAAAAATTAGAAAATGAGGTTTTTTTCATCATATTCAACACAAATTAAGTAGGTTTTTTTGTATTAAATGTAAATTTGAAGGATTTGAAAAATATTTGCTAGGTGTTTTCATCTACTTTAAACTATAAATGCATTAAGAGTCTTTTTCATCACGTGTCTATCTCAATATAATAATTATATTATGACGAAAATATAATACGTTGATTTTTATTATTTTGTTTCATTCTTTTTTATAAGCTAAACAAAAATCAATTGCTATTTATATTTTTTATTTTGTCTATTATTATTATTATTATTTATATCTTATCAATTAATTTATAAATTAAAATTGAAAGTAAAATAAAATTTGTTTTAAGTAAATTTTCTGTGACAAAAACCTTTTTGTTTTAGTATAATTTGTTAAGTAATTTTAATAAAATTTTTTAAATAAAATATTATAATAAATCATTAAAAATGTATTATTATTAAAATAAATCTTTAAAAAATAGTCTCTAAAATTTTTTCTTATTTCCTTTTTTAATGATTCGCATTGTTACGGTGATTTTTTTTAACATTTAAGAAGCATTAAAAAAACTATTTCAAATGGGATACTGCTAATAATTAGAATAATTAAAAATTAAAACTCATTTTCCCTTGACAAGAAGTTTATTATGGTAGAGTAAATATTAAGAATTCAGAGAAACCCATACAATTTTTGAACCAAAAATTGATTAATTTTCTATCCTTGTGTATTTGCTATAAGCAAAACTTTTCTTCCAAAGGAACCACGCAATTAAATCTCGAATTACGCAAGCGACAAAGTCATAGGAAACTTTATGCTGCAAAAAGGGTCAACGTCAAAGGACGCGAGAAGCACCACGATCGCTCTTTTTGCCGACAAAAAATACACACCTTACACCAAGCAACAAACTTTGCTGGCGGCGCTGAATCAAACTCGCTGGAGTTTGAGGAAGAAAAATAATATATTTATATAAACCTTACAACTTAATAACTCCACCCACACTAGCGCTGTGAGTTATATTAAAATTTAATTTATATTATTATATATTTGAAACAAAAATTTATATTAAGCGACGAGATGCGTACCTGACCAGAAGGGTGAGTGGATTGCGTCAGGGTCCCAGGTGGCCCACAACTGAGCACTGATGAACGGCGACGAGCAGACGACGTAGCACATGATGACCACCACCGTGAGCTTGACCGTTTTCAGTTTGGCACGGGAGATTCCTCGGATGGAGTGCACGCGGGGCTGCAGAGGGCCGTTGCGGACGTCCTTGGGCGGGGGGAGGCCGGCGATGCTGTCCTTCTTGGCGTTGTAGTTGCGCCAGATGGCCTGGCAGATGCCGGTGTAGGTGAAGATGAGCACCAGAAGGGGCGCCAGGAAGACGGAGGCGCTGTACCAGGTGACGTAGGCACGCTCCCCCCACCCCTCCGGAAAGGTGCCCCAGCAGTCGAAGGTCAGGCCGTCAGGGGTGACGGGCTGGTAGGAGAAAATGAGGGCCTGGGGTGCGCAGCACGCAAGCGCCAACAGCCACGCCATGGTGACTAGTGCGCGTGCGCGGCGCACGGGCCACGTGAAGTACGAGAGGGGCAGACAGATGGCGTAATAGCGGTCGATGGCCGTCAGCACCAGGACGAAGGAGCTCAGGTACGGACCCAGGATCTGCCCGAACTTGACCGCCTTGCAGAGAGCGTTGCCCCCGCGGAAGCGGTAGGTCAGTTCCCAGGCCAGCTGCGGCAGGACGTTGAAGAAGGCGGTGACCAGGTCGGCGATGCTCAGGTGCATGATGTAGAAGTACATGCGCGAGATCTTGGCCCGGCGGAAGAGGATGGCCGCCAGGATCAGCGAATTGCCCACCACCGTGACGGCAAAGATGAACGCCAGCGTGGCGATCTCGACGCGCGCCAACTGCTCGTCGCGCGTTGGCGTCGCGTCCACCACCACGCCACTGCTGGTGTCGTTGTTCAGGTCCATGGTGGTGGCCTAGGCCTCCTCCATACCTCCCTCGTCACATCTGCCAAAACAAGAATTGTATAAAATTATCATTTATTCTTCTTGTACATTTACTTTAAATATAAAAACTATTTTCGGTTAATTATAATAATCATTTTTTCTTTATTTTTTTCATTAATAGTAATTTTTATATATTTTTTACAGACTGAAAATAGTTGTTATTCAGCTATCTGTCAAATTTATGAAAAAAGAACAATTTTACACCACTTTTTATTAGATTTATTAGACTTTTTATTTTATTTTTCTCTTAAACTCTTATAATTCATACTCATACCCTCATACCGAATTTTGGTTATTATAACCTTAAATAATTGCAAAAGTGAAGAAAAGTATGCTAAAAATATACATAAAAAAATGAGCACCACCAATCTCATTATGCATATAGCCTTGTTTTGCTCGCGCTGCCAAGAAAATGAAAAATTTATCCGCTCGTTGCACGCATCAGCTGAGACCCTTCCAGGCCTAATCTCGCTGGAGTGACCGAAGCATTATAATTCTTTTTACTCTAAACCAATTAAATTATAATTTTTTATCTATTAAATTTAATATCTGAATGGTGACGAGAGCATAAAATATTTTCATTTAATTAAATAATTTCGCCTGATTTGGTTCACGTGTGTCACAGAGCTCTGATAAGGCTGAATCTCATAATAAATCGTTGCATTCTCTTGCAGTTCTGTTTTAAATTTATGAGAATTAATTCCATAAGTAGAAGGGAGAAGGTTATGAGAGTATTCTTATAGAAGGATGGAATGCTATATTCGCAAGTTCAAAAGAATCTCTCCCATATGCAAGTTTGCTTGGAGGATGCAGGAATTTATAATGAGGTGTCGTTTTTCCGATTGAAATGCTCAAGAGCTCTATTATTCAATTTCCTGGCACTTTTTGCATAAATTTATAAAGAGAGTTGTGCAAAACTGACACACAACGGCTCTCCTTGAACGCTAGAAAATTGATGCCCGTTGCGCTTTTTTTTTCACTCATTCAGTAATTCAAAAAGTATATGCGCATAGAACAGAAGTGCCGCTTTGAATGATTGGATGTTTAGAATGAGAAAAAGATGCGTAAGGCAAAAAAGTCAAGGAGAGTGAGTTTATTTAGTTGCAATCATATATAAAATGATTGCATGCTGGAAATCCCCGGCGCATTGCGATGAGAGGTGCCCCCGCATAAACCAGGAAAATTTTCCAAACTTAATAAAAAACTAAAGGTGCACAAAAGGTCTGAGCGGTGTAAATCCTCTCGGGTTTTTATATCTCAAAGCATAAAATGGTAAAATAAAGTGCAACGCCCAGAAATTTAAAAAAAAATTGCTAATTGTGAATACCAACGCAGCTTAAAAAAAATTTTTTTAGTGTTTTCTGTGTTTTTATTTCAGGAATTTATAGACATTTCTTTTGTGACCATCCTTAAAAATATTCATAAAATTATAATTAAAAAATTATCTTGATACTATTAAAACATTACTAAAAGCCTTATCTATTTGTATTGTTTATTAAATCATTTAATTTAATGCATGTGAATGCATGTATTTAAAATTTCAAGTGCAGTCACTGATAATTACTTCAATTTTTTTTTTTTAATTTACCGTTACGCAATTTATTTGTGTTTTGAGATTACTTTTTGGCAAAGTTACGCAACGCAGACTATCCCGCCACCCATAAGATCTGGTTGAAAAGTTGATGCAATCGAGCTCATGCAACAAATTGTGAGTTGGAGGCTTTGCTCACAATTTGAGGCATTTCGCAAAAGGTCAAGACAGGCAGTGCTTGACAAGACGCTTAATTAAAGAAACAAAAACTTTTCTTTCTCATTTCAAGAGTCAGACTGGCTGGCTGTCGAGAAGAGCGCAAATTAACTCAAATTTAGAGTGAAAGTTTGTGCAACCTGCTGAGGAGAAGCTTTGCTGGCAGTTGCATGAAGTTGAGGATAAAACGGCAGAGAACAAATAAAACATATAAAAAACTAATAAAAACAAACGTAGTGAAACGTTACATGACACAGGACTTGCCTTGCACGTGTTTAGCGTTTAGCTGACAGACTCATGAAAATAAAAATTGAATATAAATTTTTCATCAACTAAATGCAAGTTGCGCCTCAACACTTTGGTATATGTGACGTGTCGAGTGTCTCTTGCTGCGCTGATCGTTAGCAGGCTCGCAATTTAATTTATGGTGGGAGCACCTGACGTTCGCAAACCACTCTCGTAGAACAAAAAAATTAATCTATAGTATATTTTTTAACAACGGTTCAAGATTCAAGATTCAAGATTCAAGATTTCTTTATTTTGTTAAGCATTATATACCACATAACATACATAGTAAATAACAGCTTTTTAAAATAAGTCAGTGTACATGGCATTATTTAAACGATAAAATTCGTTCAAGTCATAGAATTTGTGCTCTAACACAAAAGCTTTCACCATTTTTACAAGAACCTCGTCATTTTCGAGGACTTTTAAAGATATCGGTAATGCATTAAATATTCTGGGGATCATGATTTCTGGGTTTTCTACAGATTTCTTAAGCTTTACTTCTTTCACAACCAAATCATTACAGCAAAGATTAGTCTGATTATGTCTAGTCACTCTCCTCGTATCTACAGTATCACTATATTTCTGAAATAGGTTTCGGTTTTGCACCAAGAATTTTATACATTCAAGTATATACAACGATGGCACGGTCATTATATTATATTTGACAAATAATGGTTTACAAGTATCCAACGCTTCATTAGATCGCCAGTAGGGAATGCCCGCCATGGCTCTCAACGCTCTTTTCTGTGCTCTAAATACTTTGATTAAATGACTAGAACCCCCCCAAATTACAATCCCATACATTATATGACTCTGAACGTGTGAAAAATAGATCAATTTAAGAATGTTATCTGACACCTTGTATTTTAGTCTAGTGAACACATGAGAGACTCCTCTCATTTTATTGACAACCTTATCACAGTGATCATTCCAGTTAAGTGTATCATTAATTTGTACTCCCAAGAGTTTACCAGTTTTACAGATTTCTATACTCTTATCTTTAGATTTTTCCCATCGACTCCGCATCAGCGTATCATTGTATTGGGAAAGGTATTTCCTCATTTTTGTATCTGATAATAAAATTAAAAACTTTTATCCCTGTGAGAAATGAAAAAATGTTCCGTCCCGATGATGTCATTGGGCTGGAAAATTTGTCCCAATGATATAATTTTGATCGTATGGATTTTAATAAAATTGATCGCAGAAATTATCTCCTCTGATGATAAATTAAAAAACAAAAGGTTATATAAAATTTAAAGCTTTTTGGTTAAAAAATTTAGTTATCACCAGGTTATCACAATTTTTTATATATATTTACGCCATGTTTTATAAGGTTGGGATAAATCCTTACGTTTCTATGCAGGAAATTGTCAATCTCATAAATCTGTATGATTTCTGCCATCACTTGACTAGTTTTTTCTCTTCATTAAATTTAATATAATTGCAGCAGACTGATTTAATATAATTTTTTTACCAACACTCAACAATATTAAGCCTAGTCCACGATCAGATTTTGGTCGCAGTCGCGCGAGTTAAACATATGGGAATAGCATTGAGCGTCCACGATCAAGTTCGTATGAACGAATTTGTGGTCGCACAAAGTTTGTACGAATTCGTATGAGTTGAACTGGATTCAACTCATGCGAATTCGTATGAACGAAAAAGCTCGCGCATGCGCCGCTGAAAGTGGGAGTGGTTCTTCTGCTGCTGGCCGACCGACGGCATCGACTGCATGGCGACGGATTGTTTTTATTTTCAAAACTATCTTTGACTCCGTGAAAAAAGAATTGTTTTGTCGCAATGAATGGATAGAAAAGCTGTAAATACCAGGAGGATAAGTTTTCTAACTTAAATTAATTACATGAATCACATTTCTATCTAAAATTTCACCTACCTTAGGTTTGAAAAAATCATTCCCACGCGCGATAAATATGTTTTGTTCTATTTGTTTTACTCAGTTTTACTGATATAAAACCGTTTGTTTATTATTAAATATGTTTTTCCCTGCCAATTATCATGTTTTAAAAGTTATAGTCATGAACATTAAAAAATTATATAAATAAATTAACTCTGTGAAATTTTTTGTAGATTTAGATCTAAAACCGTGCTTCTTGGATTCTGTTTTAAAACTATTTCTAGCCATTGTGTCCAACAATTGAATTTTTGCATCGAACAATTATCTTTTTAAACAATGGAAAAAATTAAAATAAATAAAAAATAAAAAGCTCAAAATTCCTTTGTTGAAAAAAAAATTAGATTGAAATAGTTGGCACTCGAGCTAAAATTTGGTCCTCGAGAAACTTTTAGCGAGCCATTTTTTTATGATATATAAGAAAAATAAAGAAATTCTAAAAATAAAAATATAATAAAATTTGAAAATAAATATTATTTTTTTCAATTTCTAAATTTCTTTGTTGATTTCTTAAAAAAAAGGTCCGTTTATTTTATTTCTCAGATTGTTTGTTTTTGTAATCATCACGAGACTTTCGCGTCTCTATTTTAAATCAACAACCAATAAAAGCTGCGCTCAATATTACGAAGAAAATCTGATCGTGGACGCTTCATGCGACTGTCGAAAAAGTTTGCGCGAACTTGTGGTCGCGCGACCAAAGTTCGCGCGAACAAAAATTTGATCGTGGACTAAGCTTTAAGCTACATTTTCTACAAAAAATAATTTTAAAAGTAATTAATAAATTAAGATTAATGCATCTATCGTGATTGCCTGTAAAATATTATTTGCAAATAATTAATAAAAATATAATAATAAAAATATTATTATTATTCAATTCTTTAAATAAAAATTGTGATTTTTATTTTAATTATTGCTAACGCTTAAACAATTTTTTTTTAGATTTCCACGGCATTTATATTATTTGGATTTGGCAGAAAAGCAAATTTTTTTTCCTGATTTTTATGCTATTCCATACAGGAGTAGCAGATGAGCAGGGATGTCTGCAAGTAAACGC